AGGAACACGTCGATCTGGGCAGATCACATATGAGCCCAATGCACCCGGCAAACTGGGCTTGACAGTGTAAAGATATATATTGTAGTGGGGAGACCCCCTCCCCCTACTACATGGGTGCCATCCAGACTATGTGACATAGCCGGCAGTATACGGTGGCCGGATAGCCAGTTCTCGAATACACCTTCTTACACCTCCCCGACCTGACCCCTACATACGCGTGTGTTTTGTGGTGGTCTTTCTGCTGAATCGACCCGCACGTCCCAGCGCGTGCTGCCATCGAGCGTTCCCCTCTTCAATACATATACTGTAAAGACGGGGATACACATCTATACTCTAAATGTGATAATTCGGTGTGGTGAAGCTTAGGTCTGGTACGATCGTGCGACCGGAGTGTGGATGATTCTCCAACTGCATCATATAGCAATCCTTGGCCGAATGAATCGTGAATAGTCTATGGCTGTGCCCGGCAGGGTCGCTGCGGTCGGCGGTTGCGGATTTCGCGAATTTGATGGGGGCTATGATGCTCTTAAAATATGGGATATCAATCAATCCTCTGGCAATTAACCTCTGACATCTCGACGAAAAACTAGTCCTGTGAACTAAACCTGATGGGGGTGATTTTCGGAGTACGGCGGATGGACCACGGTCGGCGGGTGATGCGCGCTCCTGCAAAAACATCGGGCGTTTTCGAACCCCAGAAACCAAGCTTATATCAATATGGATTGGCCTCAAATTTGATCTGACTATCAAACCGAATTGCTTTTACAACATATTCAAATTTGGGGTATCTTTGTCAGCAAAAATGTCAACACAATGGGCCCCGAAACCCATTTTACGACGGCAACCCTAAAACCCTAGAAACCCTACGGCACATTGAATTTACGCCCATGGGGTGGGGTCCCGCTGCGGTCGGCGGTCGCGGACTGCGCGAATCTGATGGGGCGCGGGCCCTCCGGGCACGCACCGAGGGCGCCGGGAGCACGCACGGGGGACCAATCAGAGGGCGAAGAAGTCGAGCGGGCCCCGGGTGGAACACCCTCTAGAGTATAAGCTGGAGCTGCTGGTCGGGCTGACTCGTGCGATACGCAAAACTCAGGAGACGGACCCAGGTCCGGCAGTAGCCATGGTACGTCTTGGGCCGGAGCTTGATCTGGATGGGGCGCTGCCAGATACCGGGCTTCTGGACAAAGCTGTTGATGCGCACTTGGTCAAACTCGTTGATACGATGAGTAGGGGTGCACACGAATAATCACTTTACGAATATTCGTACGAATACCGTAAAATTTTACGAATACGAATAAGCATCGTCGCTTATATAATATCCGTACGAATAAAATGTGTCTTATTCGTAAATTATTCGTAAAAATCACGTGTGATTAATATTCCTCAGAGAGATATATATCTCGTAACAACATCAACCGCCGCATAGTCTCCGCGCTCAAGGTGTTTCTCCTGACACCCAGTAAATCTCGTCCCTTGTTGAATAGTCTCTCCACCGACACTGATGATGCAGGAATGGCCAGATAGTCTCGTGCAGCAGTAGCTAGCTGTGGGTATTCGTTCCTCTGTGCTCTCCACCACGATAAAAGCCAATTCTTGTCCTGTGAAATCGACTCATTTATCGTGACGACGTCATCCTCAAAGTACCGGTCAATGTCAGATGAATGTTTCTTCTTAGGTTGCAGCTTCTGAAGTAAACGGGCCTCTATGCTCTTCTTCAGGCTCGGCTGCTCCTTAGAGGGCTTTGCCGACGAGTCGACTGCCAATGGATATTGATCATGCAGTAGTTCTTTGATGTGCGTGACAACTTGGGGTGCTGTGAGCTTGCCTAGATCTCTGTCTAGCAAGAGCGTTTTAAATCGCGGATCAAGCACTAGGGCGACATAATAGGCGTCTTGTCCATCCATCAGGTTGTAGTATTTTTGGAACTTTTTCAAGCCCGCAGCAGCAGCAGCAGAAATCTCCAGGTGCAGATCCGAGAATTCTCCCTCCCTAGACGCAGCATCATGCAACAGATCGTGCAGTTCATAGTAAATGGGGATGGCTAAGGTAATTTGCGGTTGACGCTTGGAAACAGTGAGGGTGAACTCCTCAAACCTGGCTAAGAAGCCCTCAATTTGTTGGAGACGATCCCAATCCTCAGCACTGAAGGGTGGAAAATCTAACTGATGGTGGATCCATTTCTTGATTTGCTGCTTCGCGTTCAGGGCGTCTCGGAGCATTCGGTGTGTCGAATTCCACCGTGTATCCACGTCGTACTCGATGAACTTGTCCTTGAGCCCATTGCTCTGGCAGATGATCTTCCACTGCTGCTTCCGCTGCGGGGTTCTTGCAATCCAAAGCGCCATAATCCGAAGGCGAGCCAACGGTGATTGCGGGCCAATCTCTTTGTTTTCCTGCATGAGATCACAAGCTGCATTCGCCGACGCGTGGTCCCCTGCTTGCAACATGACGAGTATATCGCTGACAATCAGATTGAGCACATGCGCAGTGCAGCGAATATAACTATCCACTCCTTGAAATCGTAGGGCTCTTGCAGCACTCACGGCTCCGTACATGGCTTGAAATTTCTCGGTGAGATTGAGATATAATTCCGATAGCAAGCGCTCATTGCTTGTGGCATTGTCTGCTGTGATCGCGAGGAGCTTGTGTTCGATTCGAAGTTCTGTGAGAAGCGTCTGAAGAATTTCTGCCATGTTCTCTCCGCTATGAATGCCGTGGAGTTCCGTAAATTCAAGAACCCGCTCTCGGTACTGAAAATCCACTGTCAACCAGTGGCCAACAACCCCGAACATGGCTTTTGAATTCTTGCTCGTCCAAGCGTCTAGCGAAAGAGAGATCGTTTGGCACGTCTGCTCTAGCTCTTCAATCAACTGCTCCCGACAATTGTCGAAATCACGATCGATTCGACGAGCCATTGTCATGCGAGATGCGAAAGGGAGTGAAACACCCAAGTCCTGGAAGATCTGTTGGAAGGGGGGCGATTCTATGGCGTCAAATGCCATGTCGTCTATAACCACCCACCGAACCAGGTTTTGCTCCAGGACCTTTGCTCTCTGCTCCTCAGTCCGCTTCTGGAAGAAGCTGCTAACTGACGGCTGTTTTATGCTGCTTCTGTCGTCCTCCGAACTGTTTTCAGGGCCACTTAGGATAATACCATGTTTAGAGAGATGGAACATCATATTGGATGTTGATGTTGCCCTTGTAGAATCTGTCGTTTTCCAATTGCATCTCTTGCAGCGCACCTCCCGGTCGTTGATTGGGCCCTTTCCCCTTTTTGGCCACCACATCCTTCCCGGTAGCGGGGAACAGTCGAAATGTGCCCAGAGAGCTTGATTCTGCATCTTTCTTCGAGAAAGGCCAGATTCATTGGAGATACTGACCACGTCAGGCAACGCCTCCGCAGTCAGTTCATTTTGGGAGCAGATCGCCACGAGTGGACTTCGAGCCCGGCTTAATTGGCTTGCAGAGTCATCAGGAGTAATCGGTTCAACGCTACTGCGTGCCCTTTTCGAAGGAGGGATCTCAATAATGCGGTCTTCTGGTGGAGCCTCCTCGTCGATGCCATCATTGAGCGCACAGTAATTGATTCGCTGAGACCTGTATGGCCGTTTGCGCTGTGACTCCGTGGACTCGTCCATTCGTAGCGCGAGAAATTTGTCCTGATAGTTGACTGATAGGAAAGAAGTGCGTAGAAAACGAAATTATGGTCGTGTATCTGCAGTGTAAACAATCACGCGACGCGTTGAGCATCGTTAGATGGGCGGTGGGTCTCTATTACAGTATGGGTAAGTTAGTCTTGGCGGAAATTACGAATAATTACGAATCGAATACGAATAAAGTCACGAAAATAGCCAGTCGAATACGAATAATGAGTTGAGGAAAATTGACGAATACGAATAACCAAAATCCTTATTCGTGTGCACCCCTAACGATGAGAGACGATCGACTCAAATGCCCGATCGATGAGTCTTTTCACGCTCAGGCCAATCGCGACCAAGGTTGGCTCGGTCATGGGGTCCGGGTGGGAGGCAAGTTGGGCGATGTCCCGGAACGCATGCCCTCGAACATACTCAGGCCATCGGGTGAGCTCCAGCCACGGGGAAGTGTCGGTGGCATTCTCGTCCGTTGGCGCCATCCGGTCTTCTGCATCCGCGATCCCATCAGATCGGAGGAGCGCCCAGTCCACCTGGGATCGGATATATGCAGCTTCATCGAGTTCCGGGGCCGGGGCCTTGGGGTCCGCCAGCTCCGCCGGATTGGGCGTGACAGCGAAGTAGAAACTATGCGGCCCATATGGATGCAATCGCTGGCAGTACACCGGCTCCAGGGCCCGGAGTCGGAGTATATCGTCATCTGGGTCGACTGGTGGCCTCCCCGGGGGTAGACAGCATCGCGATGCTTATCTCTACGATGTTTGCCCATAGTGCTTGGGGTGCGGCACGCGTATCGACAGCCGTCGGCAGGACAGCGGTAGCCACGATGGACCGTTAATCCAGGAATTGGCCGGGAGTCAGGGGGTGGTGGGGTGAATGGCTCCGTGTCAGGGTTCCAAGGGTTCGCCTTCATGGCTTCAGCATGAATAGCTGCCCGTTGGTCGCCAGTGCGGGCCATAGGGTGTTGTCGGTGCTTTGCGCCTAGGTGGGCAATCATGGTTTTGACATCCACCACATATTGACAGGTCTTGCAGATCCATAACCGATATGTGGCATTATATGTGAAGAATACCCCGATGGCGTCCATAGTGAGAGCGCTAGTGGAGAAGGCAGCGGTGAGTGAGGTAGATATAGAAAAACACAAGGTGTAGATTCAAAGAACTTGATCTAGGAAGGCAGGGAATAGGGGTTGAACGGCACTGGGGCCGATGTGATAGGTCATCCCGGAGAGTATCTGTGCCTTTCTGCCCACCCACACCGTCCCGTTGTGGGTGCGCCCCAGCGTAATTACCAACCCCACCGTAATTACCAATTTGATCACATTCAAACTACATACACGATTTATCAACGCATCGGCTCAGGATCTAAGAAAAAAAAATCCCCGTTCTCTTGCGCTACCCTCGCTGCTTCAATTGATGCCTCACTCTCCTGCATAACCAAAGGTGGTGGCTTGCAACCATATAGCTTCTCGTAGTCTCTAGCTAGCCGTCTCTTTTCTGCCGTAGCTTCCTTGGCCTTCCTAGTCGCAATTGATCGATTCGCATCGCGTGTAGTTAATATACCAGTGTGACTAAGGCCCTTAATCTGCCGCTTGGTCTTAGATCGCTGTATTGGTTCTTGTACGGCCCTAATTCGCGCAATTGTATCATTGGCCATAGCGAGGTGATCAACTGCGATACGATTATGTTGGAAAATACGCTCAAGATTGCGCTGTAGCTTTGGCGTAAGAATATCTGCGTGCTTTGATAACTTTCCCTGGTTCTTCTGGAGTGCTTCAGTCGATTTTGGAGGTGTATTTTCAACGCTGGACGATGAGAGATTGGCTGGTGGCGGAGATGGTGTGTAGGAGCCATAAGAACGAAGATCAGGCGCGATTAGATCAGGTATAGTATCCCAACCATTAGATAGCTTGCTTAGGACCTTGCTAGCATCAACTGGGTAGATACCACGATCTTTGAAAGATTCACGAATAATTCGCTGGTTAAAGGCTTTAGATCGTACGGGCCCGATTACCCGTAGAAATTCAGCCTTACCCATCGGCTCGCCTGCCCAATAAGATATCTCGTTGTTTAGGCTTCGAAAGTGCTGTTTATAGCTGAGAAACGGCTTGCCGTCAAGCGGTTGGCAAAGATGTGTGGAGTGAGGTAAAAAACCAAAAGGTAGAATATCGTTGTCTTCGCATTTTTGTAAGAATTCGAGGGTAAGGTGCGCACCGTGGCCATCGAAGATTAGGATGCGCCTCTCACTCCGCTTCGTACGATTGCGAGTAGCCTCGATAAAATAATCAAGCCATTGATTAGCTAATTGATCAGAGATCCAGCCATTAGGTGAGGTTCCAACCATCGTACTAGGTGGTAGATCTTCGCTGCCGTCGAACCAGGCCTCCATAAAGACCCCGCCGCTTTTGAATATAAATAGCGGATCCATCTGCCACCCATCGGCAGCAATACATTCAAGCGCAGTAATATTTTCGCCTCGCTCAGTCTCAGCAAGATCAGGGCCAGATCTTGTATTCTTCCTACCAACCACACGCTGGTTTTTACCCTCGCCTGGCCGGAACCCACACTCATCGAAGTTGTATACTAGCCGCGCAGGTACACCTTTAAGTAGATTTTTGAGCAGATCGTACCAGTGGGCTAGTAGGCCTACATCTTCTGCTTGGATACGCTTCGATTCCTTCGTACGCTGATTCACTGGACCTAGCTGTAGGTCTTGTGGGAGACGCTTAATAAAGCGATATACCCACATCTTGCCAACCTTCTGATCAGGCTTACCAGCGCGTGCAAGCGAGCGAATTGCCCACGCCTCGATTAGCCTAGGCTTTGGTGGCATATTCCAATCGATTAGTTGGCATATCCAGCGCGTCAAAGCTTCCTCTTGAGCCCTATCTAGGACCTTATTGACTGGCTTCCTAGCTGTACGAGCCTGCATGCCCTTTCTGACGCGATTCTGGAGGTTCCGCCGATTAACACCAAATTCACGCGCGATCTTGGTTATATTTGGTTTTTCTTCGCGTCTAGCCGCTTCGCAGGCCTCTATCATTCGAGATTCGTCAGATTCAGCGATTTTAGGCATGGTGGGTGGAAGATATCGATTCGAATAGGATGGTGGTAGGTGTTTGAGTCAAATTGGTAATTACGGTGGGGTTGGTAATTACGCTGGGGCGCACCCACAACGGGACGGTGTGGGTGGGCAGAAAGGCACAGATACCTCGGGATCTGACACGCGGGTGCGGGACTGCCGGAGGTCTGGCTGACCGATCTAGATATTCCAGCGCAATGCAACAAATAGCGACATCGAGAGATCAATAGTTGGGGAATCAAATCAGATATGGCCTCGGAATTATCAGGAACACGTCGATCTGGGCAGATCACATATGAGCCCAATGCACCCGGCAAACTGGGCTTGACAGTGTAAAGATATATATTGTAGTGGGGAGACCCCCTCCCCCTACTACATGGGTGCCATCCAGACTATGTGACATAGCCGGCAGTATACGGTGGCCGGATAGCCAGTTCTCGAATACACCTTCTTACACCTCCCCGACCTGACCCCTACATACGCGTGTGTTTTGTGGTGGTCTTTCTGCTGAATCGACCCGCACGTCCCAGCGCGTGCTGCCATCGAGCGTTCCCCTCTTCAATACATATACCTCAAAGATGGGGATACACATCTATACTCTAAATGTGATAATTCGGTATGGTGAAGCTTAGGCCTGGTACGATCGTGCGACCGGAGTGTGGATGATTCTCCAACTGCATCATAGAGCAATTCTTGTCCGAATGAATCGTGAATAGTCTATGGCTGTGCCTGGCAGGGTCGCTGCGGTCGGCGGTTGCGGATTTCGCGAATTTGATGGGGGCTATGATGCTCTTAAAATATGGGATATCAATCAATCCTCTGGCAATTAACCTCTGAAATCTCGACGAAAAACCTAGTCCTGTGAACTAAACCTGATGGGGGTGATTTTCGGAGTACTGCGGATGGACCACGGTCGGCGGGTGATGCGCGCTCCTGTAAAAACATCGGGCGTTTTCGAACCCCAGAAACCATGCTTATGTCAATATGGATTGGCCTCAAATTTGATCTGACTATCCAACCGAATTGCTTTTACAACATATTCAAATTTGGGGTATCTTTGTCAGCAAAAATGTCAACACAATGGGCCCCGAAACCCATTTTACGACGGCAACCCTAAAACCCTAGAAACCCTACGGCACATTGAATTTACGCCCATGGGTGGGGGTCCCGCTGCGGTCGGCGGTCGCGGACGTCGCGAATCTGATGGGGGTGAGGGTCTTCCGGGCACGCACCATGGTACCGGGAGCACGCACGGGGGACCAATCAGACGGCGAAGAAGTCGGAGGGAGCCCTCGCTCCTTTAAGGCATTATGGATTAGGCGTCGTTGCGATGGTGCTACAGCAGTTTGAATATGCTACGACGGTAGTGCTGGTACTGGTGGTGCTTGTGGTATAGGCTCAGGCGCTTGTACGAGCTCCTGAACTTCCTGCACTGATAATCCTCCATCGTGTGGTATTATTCTATTTGATCGACGTCGCTTTGCTTCTTTTTCTCTAGCTCAGCACGTAGACCCTGGTTTTCTTGCTTGGTAAAAATTAGCTCTGTCATGACTTGCCCAAGCGCTTTATATGCCTGGTCAACCACCTGTTTTGTAGGCGTTGGCGAGCTTTCCGATCGATATTTTAGTAAATTTTTAGCTGATATTGCGTGCTTTGCGAGCTGCGCAAAATTTACAGGTGTTGTAGGGTAGTAAATGCTTGATCGGCTTGAAGGTCGCTCGGGTAATAGTGTTGGCGTTTGAAGTTGAATATTAAGCTTATTAAGCACTGGTTCTGGGTTTATTGGCACTAAACCGGCTGCTTTAAAGCTATTTTTGATCGTATCCGATTTAAATGCGTCGGAGCGAGCTTGTGGGTATGCCGCGAGGAAATTCAGCTTGTCGATATGGTTAATACCGAGCCGCATTTTCTGGTCAACTTAGCTTCCGTATGAGCGTTTAAGAACTGCAAAACACCCGATATCGAGCGGCTGTAAAAGATGCGAGCTATGAGCTGGCATACAGATCGGTATGATCTTATTTTCTGAGCAAAGTTGATCGAATTGTGGTGTTAAATGACTGCCGTGGCCGTCGAGGACTACTAGTCGATATTGACCAATTGTACGGGGATTTGTCGATGGAATAACACTTTTTGAAGCCACCGAAGGCCTATTTTGTCGGTTGTCCACCCGTTTGCGCTAACCTCGAAGCACCAGTCGGGTGGAAGATTATCAAACCACGACTCTTTATAGACTTTGCCTTTAAAGATAATCGTTGGTGGAAGCGCCCACCCTGAAGCGCTGATTGACTGGATCACGGTTACCCAGGTGCGATTTCCTGGCTGTAGGACCGATCTTCGACCGTAATATTCTGCTCGCGCAATAACTCTCGCGGTTGCGGTAAGGCCCATCGCGAAGCCAGTCTCGTCAAAGTTATAGATGTCCCCCAATAGGATACCGTATGTAGAGATCGCGGTTTGTATGCTCTGGGGCGGTTAGGTGTTGCGCTTCTTTTTGGGGGGGGGCGGCGCAGGATGGTACACACGTACCTCTCTGACATCATTCTGGCCCCTCCGCAACGATTTGCCGTCTATACATGTTTGCATGGTTTGCAGAGGTCTCCATGGAGAATGCCAACATAGCCATCAAATCGACTAACTGAAGTATCTCTGGCCGTTCGACTCGAACCGCAGACTCAAGCGTTTAAGACAAGGGTTCGGGAACAAAAGCTGTGCCCCTAATAGGAACACGCGGTGCTTGCCGATCTTCCTAAGTCAATACGAGGTCTGATGAGTCATGCGTATCCTGTTGGCTGACTCTGCTCAGTCTCCTCCACATCATGAATCCCCAACAATACTCGCCCAAATATACTTTAAGAAGAAGAGGTGGACTTCGAAATAAACTGCTATCTCTTTCACACCGAGAGCCATGGCCCATCAGGCACACTCCCTCCCGTGGCATACGCTAGCGGCCAACTTTGACCAGAGACGAGGGGGCAAGCACAAGTATTTTCTGGCGCCACTGAATAAGCCGCACCAGGGAAAGCAGATCACACATTTCACAGTTGCATTCGCCCGTGCGTTGACCGAGTTCTCCGCCACGGAACGCCGCAAGCACTCGCCAGCCATCAACGTACGGACGAGCATCGAAGACGACGATGAGGTTGTGAGCGAGATAGCTATCCAGCGTCTAAATGATCTCTTCTATCAGGTTAGAGATGAGACACGAACGGCTAAGAGATGCAATGTCGCGCCGGATGAGCCCCCTTTTCCGCTGCCACAACTTTCGACCCAGAGCTATTCCACGGGCTGGGCTGGAAAGGTCATCCGAACGAAGGAAGAAATCGCTGCCCACGAGGAAGAACTGCAGAAAAGGCGAAACGCCCCGCGCTCTGCTCGGTGCTGGAAAAATGTCCACTGGCGCCAGGACGCGACCGACGTGTTGACAATGTTGCTTATGTTGGGTGAAATGGAGAGCTTGTTTAAGATCGCCCGATACGCCCCAGAGACGGTAAAGGAAATGTGGTCCTGGTATGACTATCAGGACCTGTGCGGACTAAAGCAGCTGATGGAACGAACGGTGGACTTCTATATTGGAATGAACGTGCTTTACTGCAAGCCAGAATGGTATGCAGAGGGTGAGAATGCGTGGCAGTCCTATTTCGACGAGGAGATGGTGCGAATGACGTACCCTGAAAGGGACCTCGACAGATATCGAATAGGTTTAATTACCGGTCCCAACAGCCCCTTTACGACCACAGAATTGCCTCCCGCCGAATGGGTGCCGATAAAATTTATCCGACGGAAAGACTACCGTTCCACGCCTATTTACGCGTCAATGCTATCGGAGCGAAGGAATTGTCATTCTCTTGGACCTAACTGCCCCTTAACGCCGGGATATGCTTGGTCTATTCCGCACTGGCGATTCTTTGGCTACGACGCAATTAGCTACGGAGCCTGGCCCCTTTATACTGGGAGCCCTCTCGCGGATCCTTTGAAAAATGGCGGTGGACAGGGTTTGAGAAACTATCTGAAGATTTGCTGGGAGATCCTCGTGCGTCTGGACATTTTCATGGCGGAATTGGGCGTGCGTATTGACTGGCAGCAAGTAGCATCGGGTTCTATTGCAGATTGGTATTATTGTGAACCTATTGATCATGACAAGTGGTGTATAGCAGCGTGGCGTCCGGACTTGGCCGGAGACTTCGACATGACTAAGTGTGGATTCACGATCGAACGTTTTGTTTAGCCTATCATGTGGTCTGTTTTCAATAATCTAGTCAGTGCAATCGAACTTCCCGGTCTACTTATAGCGAATATTGATATAGAGCGCTTTCTTTCTCGTCCGCAACATGTCCAACGTGTTGAAGACGCTGCAGTGACCGTAGTTCGAAGTTCTGTAAATGAAGACAATAGGCTATGGAGGAAATAAAAACAAGAGGATTGTGGGCGCGGGACAAGCCAGATTGCCAGAATTTTCTCCACTCCGTTAAGGACCCACCCCGCCTCGAACATTCACTGCTGTAGAGATTTCCAGTATTTTTGATGATTCATTGCACACTGAAATCTAAAACATTCTGAGACACAATAGTACGACTAAGCAGAAGTTGTTCAGAGCCTAACCTGGTACGGATTAGGGCAGTTTCGGGTATGGGCCGAGAAACGACGAGTGTGTGCGATCGGGGAATCTGTTTTCGACTTTCACTGTACACGTGGTGGCCGGCGACGACTCTCACCTCCCCGTGGTGCCGGCTGGGAACCTGCGAATGCCTTGCCTGGATGGTATTTGCAGAGCTAAGAAGAGTCACCACCGGCCAGCACTGTCCGCTGGCTAGGGCTACGGCTGGAGCGAGAGCTCACGGGTCAGGGGTCCTGACCCCACGCACAGGCGACAAGGGAACACTTTGAAAACCACCCAACACACGACTGCGAAACTGATCCTACAATCAGTGGACACTAGGGTCGTGGGATAGGACACCCTTGGGGTGCTCTCGGGCTGCTCTGTTGAAAGGAGGATATCGCTGGGTCCGAGGATACAGAAACGACAGAGTCAAAATCAAAAAGACGAACGACACGGCACGATCCAGCATGCTTGAACCCACACAGAGAACGACGAGGTACTTTGGTTAGTAGGAGGGACAACGATGTGTTGCTTGGCTGTTCTGGGTACAGAGAGGATACAACCGGGCAAACTCCTGCGAGACACGGTCGGCCTTGTCGGAGAGATCTTACAAGGTAGCGCGAAACGGATTTGACAATCTGCGGGGCGCAGCATATAATGGAAGCGACGGAAGACTATGTGGGCGGACTGCAGATACGACACTTTCTATATGGCTCGAGAGGACGGAGGCGCGTGTCGGTCTACTGAGAGAATAGGATTTTGAAGATGGCTATCGAGGATGGAGTCTTTAAGGCCGCTATGGAAGTAGGCTTAAGGTGCAAACTAGCATTGACTTGCGGAACCGGCTGTGCCCCGCGAAGGATGCGGATAAGGATCGAAGGGGATGCAAGGTAGAGGGTCTATGTAGGTAGACGTGCTGCCACCTCTACAATGTATTATCAAGCGTCCTAGTAATACAAATCAATACAGTAAAACCGGGTTATAACGAACCCGGCTAAGACGAATCCCTTGTGTCAGGATGTCGGATACGTGTATCATCTAGTATCGAGGGACGGCCAATTGATGCATGAGATGGATTAACGAGAGTGTGTCTGTGTGTTGAAAATGATCCAGGGGCTATAAACTGCGTATTACATCACAGTTCTTCCGAGAATGACCCGAATTACCATACAATTACGATTGCAATGTGGGTGGATGCTGAATAACCAAGAGCAGTGGAGAATCCACAGTATTTTACCTCTCTCAGAGTTGACACCTTGTTATAAAGAATTTGCCACGCATTCCTTTCTAACATTCCATACAAATAACGAATTATCCCCCTTACAACGAAATTCGTATAAATAGATAGGATTCCTGTTTTTCCCATACAAAAATCTTCAACAAATCGTAATACCCAGGTACCACGTGATCACAAAATGCCTCGCCGTACAGCTATCCCCATCTCGCAAAAGATTGCTCTACGCGCTCAACGACAACTCCAGCCAAAAGCTTCGAATATAGAGCTGGCTCGCTGGTTCAAAGAGACTTTTCAGCACCCAATTGCTCTATCTTCAGTTTCTGAAATCCTTTCCTCACGATACAAATGCCTTGATAATCATCTATCTCTACACCAAACCAACTCCAAGCGTATCCGAATCGAATTCTGGCCCGACCTAGAAAAGGCCTTATTTCAGTGGGTACAACAAGCAGAAGGACAGATCATTATCAGCCAGGAGGTTATACGCGAGAAAGCGCGTTTCTTTTGGGCTAAAATTCCCAGCTATCAAGGGAAGGATATGCCTTCTTTTAGTAATGGTTGGCTTGCTGGGTTCCAATCTCGACGATCAATCAGAGCCTATAAACAGCATGGAGAGGAAGGCAGTGTCCCTGAGACTGCTTCTCAAGCAATGAGACCTATCCAACAGCTACTATCGACGTTTCAGCCAAATGATATCTACAACTGCGACGAGACGTCACTATTTTGGAAGCAGGTCCCAGATCGAAGCCTTTCAAAACGCAGTATACCGGGCAAGAAGAAGGAAAAAGCAAGAATTTCAGTTTTATTTTGCTGCAATGCAGATGGTTCTGAACGCCTGCCACCATGCTTTATTGGTACGGCTAAAAAGCCTCGTGCTTTTACAGCTGCGGGAATCAATATTGAAAACTTTAATTGCCAATGGTATTCCAACCGCAAAGCCTGGATGTCAGGCCAGATTTTTGAGGGATGGCTCCGATGGTTTGATAATACTATGAGTGGACGAAAAGTGGTTCTTTTACTAGATCATTTTTCTGCTCATAAAGCTGCTTTCGAACAAATCGATGAAGGCCCTTCTCCTTTGAAAAATACCTTGGTTATTTGGCTTCCGCCTAATTCGACAAGCCGTTTTCAACCTCTTGATCAGGGAATTATTCGAACTTGGAAGGCTTACTGGGAACGACGATGGGTGCGTTTTATCCTTGAAGAGTACGAAGAAGGACGAGACCCTTCAAGATCAATGCATGTCCTACATGCAGTTCGATGGGGTATTGGAGCTTGGGAATTTGATCTTTCATCCAAAACAATCCAGCGATGCTTTAATAAAGCTCTTCGTTCTGAGCAAATACGGCTCTCTGAGATCAATCCGATTACCTCTGATATTACTAGGGATTTTCAAGAGCTTCAGCATTCATCAAGGATCAGAGATCCTATGGATATTGACGACTTCATTAATCCGAACGATGAGGTTGTACAAGATAATATCCATGAGATAGATGATCTAATTCTTTCCCAATTTCAACCTGAAATTGAGCAAGAAGAGGATGAAATCATTCAAGAACTACCCTCTATCTCAATCAAGGAAGCTATTGATGCGTTGAAAAGGCTTCGGTTGTACGAGGAGCAGCAACCTCAGGGTAGTTCTTCATTTTTGCGAGAGCTTTATAAACATGAAAGAGTGGTGAAAGGGAGAAAATTGGCAAACCAGGAGCAGAGGGATATTAGAAGTTATTTTAATGTCTGAATTTGATTATTGTGGTTATATATAATGGTTCTCGATATAGCGAATACTTAGATATAACGAATGAATTTAGCTGTCTGAATTGATTCGTTATAACCCGGTTTTACTGTACTCTGGTGGGTAGATCGAGGAGCCCAAGGTGGTCTGTCCCCCAGGGGGTTGGACTGAGGGCCGCCGAACTATGACGCACCATTGTAAAAGGAAGTCTTGAAGATGCCGTCGCGGAGAGAGCCCGGCTCTCCCTCGAAACGGCGATGTTCTTTTCGAGGGAGGGGCAGGCCAGGCGATATTTGTGTGCGATGTCCAGCACGGAATATCGTGGGCCCGACGCAAGGGGCTCTCACGCAACAGTCCCGAATAGAACATATCATCTAATCTTACATTCTATCTATTCTCCAGCGCTTGCCTACTCGAGCTCATAGTCTGACGACCATGATCCGCCATTCTGTAGGAGAAAGGAATTTCAACTGAACTCGGTCTCCGTTGTCTCTTCTCACAATGGCAATAAATGCTTCCCTTGGCAGAATTCTAAAAGATGAATTTCAGTCGCTGTCTCTGCCTCCATGCTCTGGATTAGTTCAGCGCCAGGAATGCCATTCATCACTATAGCCTGACACAAACTCCATGACCCATAGGGCGTATTTACCCTACATAAAGAAGCTTGAAAGGCGTCAGTGGCCTACCAAATTTAATTACTGCCTAATCGCTGATCACGCGTCCATTTTAGACGAGAGTTCCTAGGAGCACCTTCTTTCGCTGGTATATCCCGGATAAGAAAGGTCCTTCAATTGGCTACACGGCAAATTGCAGTGGAGTAGACTTATATTCAATATAACTAGGCCATGAACTGTGTACAAAAGGCTTGAAGAAGAGAATCTCCCCGCGCGCGTTCGCTATGTCAATATGTGTCGCAAACAACGAAGAAGTGGATATATCCCACAACCAATGGGGTGGTAGAGGTCTGAATTGCTGTGAAGCCCCTGTTCTGGCAATTTATGGGGCAAGCTGACTAACTACAAAACAAGGCAATACGGCATCAATCTAAACCCAATTAGGTCCTCCAGCACCTGGATTCCGACAATATGCCAAGGTCTCGTGGCACACGTGACCAATATCGGGCATTGGCCCGAGACAGTTTTGACGCCGCTAAGAAATCAATGATTGGATAAATGCCTGCCTGGCTTTGGACTCTTCCCTATGAAATTGGAAATGCTTTTCTTGTTATCCATGTCCCGTGGAAGCTCGACGATCAATCCAAAACCTGTATTTTGCCTCCCCCCTGTACTAGGTCCTTCCGTTCCTCGTACTTTACCTGCCGGCTTGAGGCCCATTCATGAATAGGTTCCCATTTCCGGCATGTATACGTAGTCTCCATGTCCAAGAACAGCGCTGATGTCGCCTGATCTTGAAGGGTCCCCATGTGGGTATGGGATGAATTGTCCAGCCTCTTCTCGTGCCAAAGCATAGGAGTTAGATCTGCATGGCATTGAATACTATGCCTCAGATAGTTGATGCAATGCTCTGCATGTGCCATTGTGTAAGACTCTCCGTGCTCTTTCGCAAAATTAGTTTGGTTATAGTATGGTAGATACAGAAACTGTCTCAACCGGTTCTGTGCCATTAGAGGTTAGGTCATATTCTGAATAGTTCCAATAAGGACGAAAAACCCACAAGGCAATGAAGCTGATGATTGAACTGTACGCTTCTCTCAGATAAATGGTCAGTAACTTGAACAAGATTGACTTTGCCAAATTAATGGGGGTGAGGGCCGAGCGATTACCCAGTAAAGAATTTGCCGTCCTGTGGCCATGAAAACGTATCGTCTGCGAATTTGCCGATTTCAGTTGCGTCTAGATTGAAATTTAACCCTATAATGTTTTATCAGCACCAATATATCATTCAAAAGGGCACCCTGTGCTAAAACGAAACATACCGTAGATCAGGCGTATCCATGCATCGTCCACCTCTTGACTTGGGGTACCGACATAAAGATGATCGTCGCTGCCTTTCATCTGTCGCTTTTCGAATTCAATGAGTTTTCTGGCCGCGGCTATTTTACAGAGCTTGTTAACAACCTTCCTCAGATGACATACGAAAAAAGGCTACTGACGTAATTCAGTATCGAAACCAGGCAAGCGATACCGACAAAATTCACGTATAAGTAGTATTCCTGATAGAAGACCGAAAATGCCGACCAGAACCCATGGAACAGCTTCCTTCCAACGTGATGTTAGCTTCTGCGAATACACCGGCAAGTCGTCGTCCTCTTCGTATTGACCAAGCAAGTGTTCCATGTCGCCGTCGGGGGTGCTCGTCATCTTTAAATTTTCGAGATGATCAAGTAATAGGCTCTGTGCCGACAGGAAGTCCAAACTTGAACGATCTGGAGATGTATGGAGGCGGGGGTTCGCTTAAACCCTAACTAATATCGATATTGCGTACTCCCATCCCACTAAAAGAATTATAGCAATCAATATTTGTCTCCACACTTTAGCACAAACCCTCCATAGTGGAGTATACGACAATCAGGTGACCCAGTGAATCCTACAGTGTCTTGAGAGATATTTCGGCAACTCCGACCCATAATAGTCAGGTATGCCGAGGCTAGATCTTCGACCTCGGGGCTAAAACTCTCAGAAAACCGCTACACTACTCTGCAGCCTGGGTGGAACCAAGCTTCTGCAAAGCCCCCAAAATCTCAATCTAGGTTTCTCGTGATGTCGCCCTTGTTCATAAATACATATCTTCCTAGGTTAGTCTAATTACTCTAAATAATCCATGAATCTTCATCCGATACTAAACTCCGTATTTGGAGAATCTGACGAAAATCATACATCAATTGGCATACCAAATATAGAGGCAACGGACCCCTGAAATGTTGAAAAGAGAACTGGATCCTATTTGGAATTTCTGGGGCCCCAGTCGCATAGTCTGCCTTGTGCCAAGTTGACACTGGTTTTGGCCCCCAAATGTTGATCACCAACAGACTGTGTAAACGTACGGCTTTAATGTGGAGGGCTGTCGTGGCCCCCAGCGGACCCCTGAAATGTAAAAGAAAACCTGGATCCTATTTGGAATTTCTGGGGCCCCCAGTCGCATAGTCTGCCTTGTGCCAAGTTGACACTGGTTTTGGCCCCCAAATGTTGATCACCAACAGACTGTGTAAACGTACGGCTTTAATGTGGAGGGCTGTCGTGGCCCCCAGCGGACCCCTGAAATGTAAAAGAAAACCTGGATCCTATTTGGAATTTCTGGGGCCCCAGTCGCATGGTCTGCCTTTTGCCCAAGTGGACTCTGGTTTGGCCCCCAAATGTTTGTCACCAACAGACTGTGTAAATGTATGGCTTTATGTGGAGGGTTGTCGTGGCCCCCAGTTTACATTTACACAGTCTGTTGGTGATCAACATCAGCATAGTGGATATTATACTATTCTTATCTAAGGGAACATAGGATGTAACTTCTCGCACTGACCCTTCTTAGAATTCCCAGACCTGAGTCGTTCAGCTAATCCTTGACTAGGTGAACCCTAAAACCCTGGTCCTCTATGGGAATTGTCTCGCTTTGGGGCTGACAAACAAAGGCATTGTCTCAATCGCCCCTCTGTGACTATCAGAGGAATTTAACCGATGGCTCTGGGCTGTGAAAGGCCTCACCTCCTTCCGGATAAAATATAAATACTATTGTTACTCCCCCGATCTTGACCTTGAAAGAACTATTGGTCACATTGTACACATTCCCAATCCAACATCTCCGAGTCGTCGACACTGAATTTATTCTATCCGGAATCGCAAACCTTTTCGGCAAAATGAAGACTGTTACTAGTTTCGTACTTCTCGCAATCGCCGGTGTTTTGAATGCTCAGGTCATGCCACCTGCTGGCCCAGCAATCACTATTTGTACCTCTCAAGTCACCGATCCATGTGGTGGAGATGGACAGCCAGCATGCTGTTACGCTGAATATTCGAAGCACGGCCTAAGCTGTTTGAATGGGCACCTTTTACTTCACATGCAGCTTCCTGACCCGCAGAAGAACTGCGGAGAATACGAGAACTTCCAGAAGGACGAAGGCTGTTCATGCCCAAAAGATTGCACCACAGGTGATATTGATGGGAAAGGAAAGTGTGTCTAGGCACTAAAGATGAATTGAAAGGTATCGTACTAGATATTCTCTAGAAACTCGTTTTGTTGATGTGCTAATCTTTCTTGGGAGTTATTAGAGAACCTCCGCGCGACGCCATGATAAATCTGCACAGCTGAATGTCTTTGGGTATTTCGACCATGTGATCTATCTTCGTTCAATATCTACGAGAGCTTGTTGTTTCCACTTTCTTTTGTGCATAAGTCACACCGTCAACCGTCGAGTCCTTCGGGACGATCAGGAGACTGTCGACAGCTGCAATCAGATTGGTCCAATTTAGTTCTATTATTTCAGGTGTTTTGAGAAGGAATTGAAGTTACTAAGTTATAACAATACTAAGGCCTGCTAGTGGAAGTAGAGAATCGACTTGGTATTTAAATCGTAGTCTGGGATACCGAAAGACGCTCAACTGTAACGTCCGCTGCGAGTCAGCCTAGCTGGCTCGAGTGGGTTCCGTGAGTTGATAATTTCCGAGAGAAGCCTGGTGGCACACACGATCATTGTCCGATAATTGGTCAAAACTAAAGTCTGGCGTTTTCATTTGAACTGATACTGATTGACTCGATATTGCCACTCCTCATCAAGGATGGTCTTTAGTGATTGACTCTCAAACCGGTAAATAGGAAAGGTAGTGAAGTAGTAAAAGTGTAGCTATAGATGAGGCTGCGCTGGTGAAAAGAGAGGGGGTGAAAAAAGAGGGGGGGGTGAAAAAGAGGGGGGTGAAAAAGAGGGGGGTGAAAAAGAGAGGGTGGTGGTGAAATTTTTGAAGTCGTCACCGAGTGCTCGATCCTCGTCCGCAATTTCATTCGCATCACACGTTTAGTTCTATATCGCAAGTTTATCGATTGAATAGGTATGCCATCGTTTGGAGTAGTGGGTTGTAGACGCAAGTCGCATTTGTCTTGGATGGATGATCAGAAGACGCCTAATCTGGCCGCAGAAAGAAGTTTGAATGCCTGGTCAAATTTTTGAGGATCTTATTCTTCACCCCGATTACTCCATAGTCAATCACCGTGCGAAGGTTCTCGATGAAAGCCCATACATTCTTTACCTTTGCGGAAGTAAAGGTAAGGACAGCAAGTGGCTAACTACAGTAGAGTGCACGCAGTATACCCAGGGTGTCCTCCATCATGATCTGAGCGGCTGGAAAGATAAAGGGATCTGCTAAAAACACACCCCCTGGGTCTAATCACACACCCCCATTACCCAAAATGGTAAAGCGCAGTCTCTGTATTTCCTCCTTTTGTGACAGCGGTACGTCCTGCTACAGCCAAATTACTATGGCAGCAGATGAAGATCTATCGCCTAGTAAGAAACTAGAGGTCGGGATGATGATAAACCCTAAGGGTGGAACACCCTCTAGAGTATAGGGTTCAGCCCAAGCAGCTTAAATCAAGCAGAGTGGTCGGCTCGTCCTCTAGCAACCTTGAATCGCTGAAGGCGTGGCTCAAGGTGTTTGAGATGAACGCCATGTAGCAAAGGCCACCAGTACTGTTCTCGTTCTGCACTCACTGCCTTCCGCATTTGCGGTTCCAGCTCAAGAATCTGCACCGCTAAGCGATCTTGTCGGTTCGCAATGGATTCTTCATCGGAGGTCATCTCGTCTTCAGCATCAACGGTGGCCGAGCAATCTCGCCGTACTTGCCGTTTGCGCGGCCGCAGAACTCGTCCAGAATGTCCCAAAACCTCATATTCATTCAGAGCTTGGATCATTTGCCTACATAAGCCTTTTGCCCCAGTATCTTGGACTCTGTTCTGCGCTTTCAATAACGAGTCATCTCCAATCACAAGGTCGAAGCGAAAGGTGGTGGGTGGGGGTTTTCGTTTCCACTTCGGGGCCTCAGGATTCTGGGTAAACTGGTCGGCAATTCGCAACAGCTTCTCATACAACTCCCCCTCCGGAATTCGTACCAGGTCCATCTCTGGCTCCATCGCGTGCTCCATATACCGAGGTCTGCCATAAGAGCAGCCCCAGTCGGTCGTGGGATGATGCTTGATGTACGACGCCGGAAGGAGATCGCCTACCCGGTATGTGCCACCATACCATTGCTTGTAGTGCTCATGCAATTCGGCATTTGAGCTAGACCACCATACCTCCTGTCCAGTATCCTTGGACTTGCGCATGAATCCATTCTTGTGTGGATATGGCAGTAGCCAGTGGCTTTGAAGGAAGGAGGTCTTCAATGCCTTCTTCCACTCACGTGCTTGATCCTTGCCGAGGATTCGGTGGATAGCCTCAAAGCTTTGCTGATACACCATCCGATATGGCTTGTCCTTCCACCCCTTACGATCATACCGGCCATCTTTCCACTCCCACAGCCAAGCGAAGATAGTGTCCACGCTCTTCACCGCGATCCGGCGTTGATCCAGAAGCGGCAGTGTTTGGGCACCCTCGATAAAGACCCTACGAATGCTGTCATAGCTGAGGGGAACCTCTCCAGCGAGAGCACGAGGGGCATGGTCTGGATGTAACAGTCGTTTGACTTGCAGAAACACATCCTTGCGAAACACACAAAGTGAGAGTTGTCGGAGGAAGCCCCGTAGAAGATCCAGACAAGGAGCAATCGAGCTGAACTCTTCCATCCACCGGTGGGCCTGGTGCACCCGGAGAAAGTCGAGGCGGACGTCTCGAATCTGCGCATACCGCGCGTGGAACGCCGCCTGCACCGAGGGGCTGTTGAACATCATGTACTGCGCGGATGGTTGACGGAAGGTCATCGTATCCCAGTTCACCTTGTCCAAGAACCAGGCGTATCCGTACTCTTCCATATTACGCTGGAACCCCAAACCTTCACACCGGCGAAGACCATCCGTCCGCCGAGCATCAGGCCGGAACCAGACGTCCCGCCAGCAACCGGACACACGCTGCAACAGGCCACCCGCGTAGGAGAATTGCAGGCAGCGCAGAAACATCATCATTATCCGCGTATGCTCCCACGTGACAAAATGACGGTCGTTGATGCTGTAGACGCTCTCAAAGCCCACACAGAACTTATTTATGTTCCAGTAGAACCAGAAGAGGAGGGTGGAGGTCGGGAGGGAGTAGAATGGCTCCACGTCCGATGAAACCCCGGGAAGTCTCGATTGATGGAGGTTGCGCACGCGGAGCTCCTGGTCGATCGCATGGAAAAGACGGAATGAGACGCGATGTTCTTCACGAAGGCCAAAGACTTTCATATATGATCCTTGCAGCGCAGCATGGCACCGCTGCTTTATGTTGAGATACGCCCGCATTAACGCGATGGGATCATGACTGAGTCCGCCCCCGACGTACTGCCAGGTTTTGCGGAGCTGTGGATCCAATGCCAACGTCTCCAGGGAGGGGTTCGAAAATGGGTACACATCCCCGGCCGCAAAGACCTCCTTGACGCTTGAGTACAACTGTGTATAGAGGAGGCCCGCCTGCCGCTGCGGGGAGGTGCGATGTGTCTCCAATGTCATGCTACCACTGTCGTGAAGGAGACTGATCGGGTAGAACTGTTGCTTTGGGGGAGGGAATTCGGGAGCATGCGGCTGCCCCATCCACTCGGCATACGAGTCCAAGCAGCATCGCCGCCAGAGGAGGGTCTGCGGCGCAAGCAGATGGGCACGAGGATCTCCCTCGGAGCGGAGCCGCGATGCCAGGAGACCCACCCCACCCACCCGGGCAGGGCCAGTAGGACAGGTTTCTTTCCCAATATCGACGTAGGAATGGTCCGACAGATGCGATCCGTCGATCGTGTTGTCCCAGTGCCGGGCAAACTGCTGCATCATGCCATCCCACGTGTCGGCCTTGGTCAGGGTCTTCAGGTTTTTACCCTGGAGGAGAATGGTTACGTCCAAGAATTGGTGGAGCCCTGCACGCTCGATGGTATCCTGAATACTCGCCCACACGAGCGGAAGTGCCTCTGGGGGGAGAAAATAGAACAGAAGCTGCGCCCGGGCGACGGGATCCACCCGTTGCGAGCGCATCTCGACCCCCGCGCCGTAGCATTCAGCCGGCTGTGGTCGAAGCTGGAAGGGTAGTGTTGGACAAGGGAGGTGTCGTAATGTTGGTAGATCGCCGGTAAGAGTACTTGGTCCATCCAGACCCGAAAGTCGTCATCCCGGAGACGGCTGGATTGCTGCTCCTCGCGGAAGAGTCGCGGGAACAGGAAGTAGAGAGAGATATCCTCGAATCCGACCAACCGATCAAACGTATAGTGTGGTATCTGATACACTGGTCGCCGAACGTGATGAGCACGGCCATCGCTTCCAACGTAGTGTACGGGAAGGGGATCAAGGTGTAGGCTTGAACGAAGATCCGACACAGGCATCTGAGTCGGGTTCCACCGTACCCCAAGTTTTGCCACGGCAAGGCTGTGCGCAAAACCCACTACAACCCTAAGGACGGTTCAGCAGACAGGTTATACTTGATAGTTGCCTCCGCCTGTTGCAGAGCATTTCCGCCATGAGAATCGAACCCACTCGGATCATCCAGCAAGAAGTCATTATCATTGGATAAAGGCAGTGAGCCTTCCGGTGTGAGGTGTGGCTTTGGTATAGGCCCCGCATCAAGTGTATCTGGAGCAGCTGCAGGCTCAGGGGCGGGTCCGGACTGTGGAAGTGAGTCTGCGTCTTGTCTTGGCTCATGTGGTTGAATGACCGGTTCTAACACTGCAGTCAATATTAAGAAAGTTGCGGTGCGTAATCAAACTGGGAAATTATATCCATCTTACGTGTTCGTGAACGTGCTGGGACTGAAGACTCCTGGGATAGCAGTTGAGCTCGCTTTTGTTGCTGATAGCGGAGCCGTCGAGCGGCATTCTTCTCAGCCCTTGTGTTGTATGTCGTTATAGGTCCTCTTCGACCCATTATGCTAGATTTTAAAGGGTGGCCAGGACAGCATAGGATGAGGTAGCATGGCTGGCCCTCATAAGTGTGTGAGGTACGTTTGTCAACTTTTGACAGCGCAGTCCACCCCTGATGACACACCATGGACTGGATATATCATTTCTTGGCACTGAGCACAACAATCAGCGCTCACTGGCAGAAACATATGTGTGTGCACCGCGAATGGCAGTCAATAGATCTAGATTTGTGTGTTCCATGATTAAATTGGATCATGATATCATATGTTGATGATTATGCGACTGTCTAGTTGTGAGAATACATGTTTTGGATAACGTATTGCCCGAGCGACCGCATTGACCGAGCGACCCCACCAAAAATCAAAAAACCTTCAATTTTTCACCACGACGAATACCACAAAAATAACTCAAATTTTGCTATTTAATACGTGTAGGGCATTTAACATAGGTATGACCTTTAATCCCACATCCAGAGCAGGTGACCTGCCGCCTAACTATAGGCATAGAGGGTAAAGCAGGTTCTGCAGGTGGTTCTTCAGCCACATCTGGCAAAGATATATCTTCACTATCACTATCATCCTCAACAACCACATCATCCTGACCATCCTCTCGACTCCCGAAAATGCCCCTCTGGCTAGTAAACTTATGCTTTATTGCTCGTTTATTGATCTGTTTCTTATTAGAAGCCTCCAATTGGTCGCAGCGATTCTGAAGAAAAATATGATGGACCACTTTTATGGTCATTTCATAGGTCCTCTCAATCTCCCGTTTGGTTGGTGAAGAAAGGATTGAAGAAGAAGATTCTAGACCTTTTTTGACCCGAGATTGCGATTTTGAAAATCTTGAGAGAGTCCAGAGAGTATTTGGATCACTATCACTGCCAGAAGAGAGTGGTCGCTGAGGAAGGATCTCAAGAGGAAGTTCATCCAGGCATACATTAAGCTTTTCCAAGACTCTATTAGCATAAAATGGTGCTAATCCAGTAGCCGAAAAGCTATTCTGGATAGTAGAGGTCTTAAAAGCTCCCTTTCTTGTATCTGCAATCAATTCAAGGAAATCTTCCTTATCAATAGAATTGACTCCATTCCGCATCATGGTTGAAACCGCTCCTCCATAAAGCCTCTTCAAAACCGAAAAACAACCCACATCTAAAGGTTGTAAAAGATGAGAGGCATGAGAAGGCATACAGATCGCGATGATATCATTTTCTTCACAAATTCGATTGAATTTAGGGGTTAAATGACTTCCATGACCGTCAAGGAGTAAGAGGCAGTATTTTCCTACTCTTTTCCCAATATTTGGGATAAAATGAGATTTCAACCACCATAAACCAATTTCATTGGTACTCCAGCCACTTTTGCTCACAATCAGATGAGATCCAGGTTGATTTGAATCAAGGGGGATGCGTAGATGTTCAGGAAAGAATTTCCCCTTAAAAACGAAGAGTGGAGGATGGACACTTCCATCAGCTCTAATACACTCAATAGAAGTCACCCACTCGCGATTTCCAGCTTGTAGGAGAGCTCTTTTTCCATGGTATTCAGCTGAGGTAGCTATGTTTGCCGTTGCTAATGGATTCCCACAGCTGACACCTAAATTCGCATTTTCTGGAATGGAACGCAGATCCTCTACATCATACCCAAATGCGCTTGCGACTTTGCGTTCATGATCTTTTAAGTTATGAGGGTCGGTCTGCTTCGCAACTCCAGCGTAGCGATTTTGCACAGAACGATAGGTAGCTTCCGAATCCATTCTGTTGAACTTTGCGATTCACGACCCGGAAGTAAAGAGTGTGTCGGCTAAGAGGAGAGTATACAAATGATTTAACTCGGGAGTATAATGAGAAGAGATCAAGCCGAGTTATATACACACGAGTTGTCTGGAGTCTATTTGGCGATGCCATATATATCCTCTATATAACGTCGTCGATGTGGAGAAAGGCGGCCCACAGTTTCCACTGATTGGCCGATTGATACTTTCTGGGATGTCCACCGTTTGTTAACGGAATGTCACTGCCAAGCCTGTTTGTCATGGACCAGTCACCTCGCCACCGCCACCCCCCAACAAATGTTAACAGAACAGACGTACTGCATGGTCTATATGGCTGATGATTGTGAGATAGGCCCGTCATCTGGTACTGTATTGAATTCATCAAAAGCCTCAGCCCCAAGATAGAATACTGGTGCCTACTACCTAGAAATTCATAAAGCTAAGGCGTAACGTCGAGGCGGCTTCGATTTATTAGTTGCAATGAAAGCAAACGGAAAGCGCCACTAGCCGTCTCCAGTATATCTAAATTAGAAATGAGTCATTATCTACCCCATTGTCGTAGTTTTGTTCATACAGTATTGGATAGGATTTAATATTGATTGTATTACCTGTAGTAGATGCATGTCTCATGGCTCAAGCCTCTTCACTATTGATCCGTGAACTCGCAAAGGAAGTTACCAATAACTAACGAAAAGAAAGCGTCCTGAAAGTTTAGTTGAGCTGTCAGGCGAGAAATTTTCTTTCCTTTACGATTTAGTCTTTCCAGCCAACCCGTTTGGCTATAAATTTGACGACATAGACAAGGCCGAGCAGCACCGGCACCTCGATCAATGGCCCGACAGTAGAGGCAAGCGCTTGGTTGCTGTTGGCTCCAAATGTTGCGACAGCGACAGCAATCGCAAGCTCGAAATTATTGCTGGCAGCGGTGAAACTTTGAGTTGCAGCCAACTTGTAGCCAAACCCGAGCTTGAAGGTCACAAGAAGGGTCACGAAGAAAACAGTAACGAAATAAACAATAAGCGGAGCGGCGACTCGGACCACCGATACGATTTGATGAACCACCTGCCGGCCCTGAGATGCGAATAACACCAGGATCGTGAAGAGGAGCCCAAGAAGTGACCATGGGCCAGCCCACTTCAGGAAAACCTGGTCGTACCAACGTGGGCTGGTGAGCTTTCGAAGGGTAATGCGAGTGATAATTGCAGCACCAAGAGGGATACCAAGGAAAACTGCCACGCTTTTGGCAGCGGTGGAGTAAGATAGTGTAACTTGGCTGCCAGAGTGACTAATGATGTTGATAAAGAAAATGGCCAAGGGGGCGAAGAGCACCATTTGCAGAAGCGAGTTAACCGCAACAAGAATAGCGCAGTATTCACTGTCGCCACCAGCGAGACCAGTCCATATAAGAACCTATCAGCAATAATAAATTAGTCCAGTTGGGGCATATCGTAGGGAAAGGGTAATGTACCATAGCAATGCATCTGGCCAACCCAACTAAAATCAAACCTTCTCGAAGCTCTGGCTCATCCGGTAGGAAAGCCCATGCTAGTGCTAGCTGGGGAAGTATAACGTTAGCAAGTTTCCCCGTAGGCGAGACGAAGAAATCTCACCATCAAAAAAGGCGCAATAATCCAATTAACAAAGATACTAAATGCAATCTGGATCCAGATACCACGGTCTCGGAAGACATGGTGTAAAGATTCGTATCGCACTTTGCAAAGAATAGGATACATCATGACCAAGAGACCGATCGCTTGCAACGTTTAGTTAGAGACGGTATTGTTAAACAATTCTTGAGTACACACCGATCGGAATAGACACTCCAACGAATTTTCCCTTCTGAAGGGCTGGTCCCGTATTCTCCACGAAATTCCCCAGTATGATTCCGATTGCCATAGCAAGAAAGATCCATACGGCCAAAAAGCGATCTAGCCAGCCAAGCCCTTTAAAGGCTGATTGCTTTGCCGTAGACTCCTCGGGTTCGTTTGTCCTTTGTTTTTCAACATCCTCGGTCGTGGGAGTTGTTGACTGATTATTCAATGTTGTATTGCGAGATTGCGGTTCGGCCAGTACGGGCAGTTTTTCCTGAGGAATTCCGGTAGCCATCTCTAGCATCGGCAGATTAAATGCGTAAGATGCTTTACTTGCGGATGACCTCTGTCGAATAAGGACACTAAAGGAAAAACCAATAGTAAGGCAGTGATGGCTTGAAAATCTGCACCAACGGAGTAGAGTAGGCTCTTAAATATGCAGAACCTGGAGATTCGCCTTGAGACAATTTACCGCTAGTCCTGATATAGGAAGGCTGGTGATTCATGATAGCCAATCACACCAGGTGGATGACCGTTTGCCAGTTTTGTCCAATCATAATCAAGGAGTGACATGACGGCAATGTTCTAGGCTTGTGATTTGTCAGTGATAAAAAATGCTGCATTCCCTTCCAAAACCATCAACCAATGATAGTGTCGGGGTGACATACAGGTTGCTATCCAGAGGTAGGCACATGAGATGACCATGCAAAGTAGTGCTCATTGATAGTTCCTATGTGGCTCGTAATACAGTCTATCACCAGCTACCAGCACAGACTTTTGTAATGAATGCCTAAGATCATTTTCAAATAACCAGACCATAGTTTTGACTATGGCAATATAGTCTAAATGCGGTTTTGACATGTACTGCGACTACGGCTCACCAAAAGCCCCTGTTCAAACGCTAGCGAGTTGTGGGGCGACAGTCCTGCATAAAAGAATATTCTAGAGTGATGAGAGATTAATTATTCCCCTTTTCCAGCCAACGTTTGGTGTATAAAATCCAAGAACAGCCACTTTGTCCCTCTTGCTTCTACACAAATTAAGCCATCACCATATCCCTTTTTCGTTTATTCAAAATATATCTTGAAGGCACCTACTATTCATTCCCGCGAAGTTCTGCTATCGTGAATAATTTCACACCGCATATTCAACTAGCTACACGCCAGGTCTACTCAACGCATACTCGAAAGGCATGCCCATCATGGCTAATAAGCCCAGTGTCTTATTTGTCTGTGTTCATAACGCTGGACGCTCGCAGATGGCCGCTGGCTTCCTTTGTCATCTCGCAGGTGACACCATTGAAGTTCGCTCCGCCGGATCGGCCCCAGCCAATTCTATCAATCCCGCCGTCGTCGAAGCCATGCGTGAAGAAGGAATCGACCTCAGCAACCAAAATCCCAAGATCCTAACTGCCGACGCAGTGCAAGCCAGCGATGTTGTCATCACTATGGGATGTGGGGACGTTTGCCCCTTCTATCCTGGCAAGCGCTATCTCGATTGGCAACTTGACGACCCCGCCGGGCAAGGCTTAGACGCTGTACGGGCTATTCGTCACGAAATCCGTCATCGTGTTGAGAAACTTATCACTGAACTCCGGTCTCATAATTCAACAACTTGAAGATGCTGCATATAAGACCCAAGTCAGGTGGTGATATGGTAGTCTTCAGCATGTGTTGAGGATTGTGAATGGTCGCGTGGCTGGCATTTCCATTGTTCTGAATAATCACTCGGGGGCTGCGATATCACTTTTCGTGCAAGACCTTTGCCTCGCAATTCATCAAATCGAGCCAACAGATTTCTCTGCCAGTGAAGTTCTTCGATTTGGTCGGACTGTACGCTGCGTGTAAAATCTAGCATGATGATGATGATGATGATGATGATGATGATGATGAATTCATTTGCCCGATGTAGCTTGCTTTAAATATATGCTGCTATGCAGGAGTGCTGTCAGGCCTGCCGACAGCTTGAAGGTGGTCGCCCGCCCACTGAACGATTGTTTCCATGGGTTGCAACGCAAGCCCCTGATTGGTCGCCCGAGAATGTATGCAATCTTGACAAAATAGACAAAATAAACAAAAGAAATCCAAAAAGAACGTCGCTTCCCCTCTACCCACTCTCCTTTCCACAATCAAACTTCATTCTCTGATCTACTTCATCCCCCACCGCCTTCATCTGCGCAGCCCTCTGGGCCGTCGGCTGCCGCTCCTGCGCTCGCTTGCATCAAGGGAGTACAGTGGACCTGGCACTGCACTCCTAACGGGCACCATCCTTCTCCTTCCGTCACACTGTCCTGAGGGTCCATCCTTTTTCGTCGCCTTTTTCCGTGCCGAGAGCCAATGGGTCGACTGCTTGAAACTGGTTTAAGAGACCTGTCCGGACCATGAATTCGGCCACAATTATGCGAGCCTCTGGTCGCGTCAGGAGCTCGTCGCGTCACAGAGCAACTCCGCGGTCGGACAGAGCGTTTCTCATCCAGTTGCGCTCATCTTGGAGTAGCGGGCATTCAAGCAAGATATGATCGACGGTCTGGTTCCCCAGATTGCAACCACAACTCGCTGACCCGCGCCGATTGATGCGAGTCAAGTAGGCAGCAAGGCCAATTCGTCCAGTACGAAGCTGCATCAGAATGGACGCTGTCGCTTTCCGCAGGTCGGACCAGTATTCCAGGGTCTGCTTTGTTGGTCGTTCGACTAAGCGTTTCGTCGGTCGACCTGTTCTCTCTATAGACCATGACCTTTCCCACTCGATTTTTGCCTCGCGGCGAATGCGGCATTTAGCTGCAGCTGCAAGGCGAATATAACGATTGTTTGGGTTTTGTGGTCCTTCTGGTTCCTGGGCCGCCTCCTTTGCGTGTCGGTCGACACGTTCATTGCCGGCCACTCCTTGATGAGCAGGTATCCACCTGAGGTGGATTTGACGGCCATTGGCTGCGTGTTGCCTTACCAGGTGGAGGAATTCTTCCAGGTAGACCTGTCCTGATGGCATCCGTGGTTGGCGGAGCGCCTTCAATGCCCCTTGGCTGTCTGCAAAGATGACAAGCCCGTTTCTCGCCTGTGCCGCCCACGGTTTCGTGGTCTCCAAGATTAATTTGAGTGCCATTTCGATGGCACTGAGCTCGGTAGCGTATACAGTGGACGTTTCATCGCCGCCCAGATAAAGTTGCTTCTCGGTAAATGGGGTTTTTGGTGTAAAATTCTGCCTTGATTCGCTACTCCGGCTCGCGGGGGTTATCGGGGTTCGAAGGCAAATATTGAGCTTTAAGAGTACCCGATCGGGGGAAACGGCACTAAACCAGCAGCTGCGAAACTATTTTCAATAGGCTCTGATTTAAATGCCTCGATTCGGGCGAGGGGATATGCCTTGAGGAAATCAAGTTTGTCGATATGGTTGATCCCGAGACGCATCTTTATTTCAACCATCCGATTGTACGAGCGCTTTAACACCGCAAAACAACCGATATCAAGCGGCTATAAAAGATGCGACTAGTGTGCGGGCATACAGACTGGAATGGTATTATTTTGTTCACGACTTTGATCGAAATTCGGAGTCAAATGGCTTCCGTGACAGTCGAGGATCAAAAGTCGATACCGGCCCTTCACTCGCGAAGAAGTTGATGGAATAAAGAGTTTTTCAAGCCAACGAAGGCCGATCTGATCAGACATCCAGCTGTTCGGGCTAACTTGGAATTTCCAATCATCCGGATGGTTATCGAACCAAGATTCAATAAAAACCTTCCTTTAAAAATTACGCATGCAGGCAAAGCCTACCCGAAGCATTCGTACTTCAATAGCGGTCAACCACTCGCGATTTCCAGGTTGTAAAAGTGGTCACCGACCGTAGTATTCAGCTCTCGTAACAGCTTTTGCGGTAGCGGTTAATCCCATCGCGAAACCAGTCTCGTCTAAGTTATATCGTCGGGATCGACGCCATATTGAAGGATAGTTTTTTGAACAAGCGTAAACCATTCACTGATGATTTTTGGGTCTTCGCACTTTGCCCGAACGTAATTATAGCGTTTTGGGAATCGGTTTGATAGCTCGGGATGCCTTTTCACAAAGTTATAAACCCATTTTTCCCCGACCGTTTGAACAGATGACATTCCGCGCCCCGCAAGAAGAATATTCGCAGTTTCTCGTACGTTAGTAGGCCGGGGCGCTGCTCCACGATCATCAAGTGAGAGGATCCATTTTTGAAGAGATTCCTCTTCAACTTCCGTCAATTTATGGTTATTGGCGCGTGAAATCGCGCGGTTTTGAATACCGCGGAGGCGACGGCGCAAAGAGGATTCCGGCACTTCAAACCGACCGACGTGCTGCTTCACGAATAGCGGTAATTTCTTGGTTGTTTATAGCCTGGATGGCTAATAACATCATTTCCCCTTTCTCTGTTGAATTTCTGGAGTTTTTGGAGCAAATTGGTGGCATAGTGCGTGGTTGAATTAGTTAAGTGCTAATTCATGGACGCGTTTTGGGTGGGGTGCGCCACTCGTTTACATGCGCCGCTCGCTTACCGAATACGTTACGTACTCCTAGACGGAAACGGAAACAACAGGACGAAACTGCGCACGAAATCGCGTCATTTACCACAGAATCAACCCTTTTCTTCTTTCATCCCACACGCAAAGTACGATAACCGACTCATCTGGCCCAGAAGGATGACGTTTTCTGCCAAGCTTTCCACAGTATTGAGAAAATACACCCTATGAAATGAATATCATTTGCCACAAGAGTAGGCATAGTTCATTAGTTATAGTTCGCTTGATCCAAAATGACCAATAACTAAAAAGATATGCAGAAAGCCACATCGGGCTTAAACAGACATATATTCAGATTGGGAATCACAAACCTAGACCCTCCACGTTCGCCCGGCACGCCTATGGGAAAGGATAAAGTTCGTCCACGCCCAATGACCAGGATGCGTAATGTATCTCGTAGTTCCTGCCTGCTAGAATTTAATGATTTAATGACTGGCTTTCGAGGGTCGTCACTACATCTTAGCATACATCATGACTAGGTTGTTGTCCAAACTTTTAGCGTTAAATAGAAAGGTGGTTGCCCCGGGTAAAAGCTGATAGGGTTTCCGAAACACATCTCTATTTCTTCCTGATAGTGGCCGTACACTGATCTTTGCTTTCGCTAACGACAAGTGGGCGAAATACAGCAGCCACAAAATGCGGCTAGTCTATTTCCTTCCTGCCTCTGTGTCCTCGGCTACTGCGCAAAACTTGATGTCTGCGTTGGGTTCTAACGGCAATCTATCTACTCTGAGCTCCCTTATTTCAACCGACAGTGAGCTCCTTCAAACAGTTGAATCTGTGGACAATATCACTATACTTGCCCCCACCAACAAGGCTATCGAGGATTTCGAGGAGGGAAATTCGGCGCGCCTTCGCGATGGCCGTCTCACTCAAGCTTTAATGCAGTATCATGTCCTTAATGGCAGATACCCTTTTGATAGTATGAGGGAAACAGGGATGTTTATTCCGACATTGTTGACGGATGATGCACATGTCAATGTCAGTGGAGGGCAGGTTGTCCAAGCGGTCAGAACCAGCAGCCATTCACAAAATGCGTCTAAAATATCAGAAGATAAAGTGGAATTTTACTCAGGCTATAACTCAAAATCAACCTTGGTGGATCCTGTATGTTTTTTCCAGCGCAACCTTCCTTATTATGCTGACTCCCCCACAGGACATCGGATTCGATGGCGGCCTAATTCACACCATAGATTCCATGCTCGTTATTCCCCGCAATGTTACCGAAACATCTCTCGCTGCTGGCCTTACATCGCTTGTTGGAGCAGTTCGTGTGGCTGAATTCCAATGGAATGAATGGAGAAATGCCACATATTTTGCCCCGAACAATGAAGCTTTTCGCGCCGTTTCGTCAGTGCTGGCAAACATGACAAAGGAGGAGCTACATACGACATTAATGTATCATGTTATCAATGATACTCTTCCTATTTATACAAGAAGAATTAGCCATGCTGATTGGATCACTACGACTGGCACAAATATCACCTTCACTTTGGCAAGTGACGGCACCATATATGTCAATTCCGCTGCTATTATCCGACCTAACGTATTAGTGGCAAATGGTGTCCTCCATGTCATCGATAAGTGAGTTAACACATTTTTAACAGCAGGATATCTATACTCACTAGAAACAGTGTCCTCAATCCAAATGCCACTTTAACTGAAACCCCATCGGGGCGTTCCGGGACACCTGCATTTGGGAATGCTTCACCTACGAATGGACTCCCTTTCACAAGTGGGGTTCCTTCTGCTAGTACTACAGTTGGCAACGGTCCATCGCTGACTACAAGTGCTGGTGGGATAAACCCAGAGAATAGCGCTGGACACGGTCTGGCTAAAAAGCAATGGTGGTTAGTCATCACCACTATCTCGTATGTGGGAAACGTGTGGTTCGATTTCCCCCTAGCTCTGTCTATTTTCCTGGCTGCTAACCTGAGATTGTGTCGGTGCTGAGTTGTGGGACTGTAGAATTTCTTCTGCCCTGCGCTTTGTGGGTTTGGAACTCGTGTTCGAAAAATTCTTCTGGCCGTCAAGACTATTAACATGGTGTCATATAAGCCTGGAAACCCATTCTAAACACTCGGGAAGGGTTTACCCCCATAGTAGTTTGTATCTGAAGCAAGGTTCGTCCTTCCGATGAGTCTTCTCCAGGTCAATTCTTGCTGGCGATGATCCTAGATCGTACGTGTACCAGGAAGACGCTATTTGCCACAGGGCATCTTTCGCCTGTGCATTGCGACTCTGTTATTTTCCTCGCCAACAAACAAACAGTACACTACGTGCACCACCTAAACCTTTCAGTTGTTTCCCGAATCCTAATGGCAAGACTTCCTAGTCTATATTAGGAGTGATCTCGGAATATCGATATTCCTGTGTGAGTCGGAGTCGGAGTCCGACTCCGACTCACGTAAGATCAGCCGAGCACTGGGTATCCCTCACAGTATCCGAACAAAGATGATCTAGTCTTTATATATGTTGGTATCACCAGCTAGGTACTGTGTACACAGTTAAGTGGACAGTGTGTATGCTCCAAAGCAAAGTCAATTGATTCTTGTTGATAGATGTAGATGTTCAGTCTAGTTGGAAAAACACCCCTAGATCCCACACGCCGGCCTTCGGCGGTCACAACACCGAGGCCACAGCCCAGCGCAAGAATGTGTACACCAAGCAAGGGATGTTATCCATCGGTCGCTAGCAGTGGGTCATAACCAGTTTGTTCTGACAGGAGAATATATCCCGACAATATATTTTAAAGATAAACCAGATTCGCATAAATAAATCAAGATACTAAGTGATTTCACAAAAATTTCATTTAAATTTGTGCAATTAAGATTGATCAGTGACTGGAAAGACCGAAACAGCTAACTATAAATAACAGTAACTAATTTAAGAAGCTGAATCATCATTTTTATCCATCCGAAAAAGGAAAGGCTCGAAATTATTATGCATATGCGGGTAAGTGAGAGTCGTGCCGAGGTCTACGAGGAACAAAGTGTACACCGGCTTCCCGTCTCCTCTGCGACGGGAAGAATGGGAAGATCAGTGTTAAGATTCAAGGTGTGGATGGAGGGACATTAAGAAGATTTTGTTCTTGAATTCGAACCATCTTGTCATAGTAATAACCAACATCGTGCTCGCGATTTGGTTATATAGTTCACCTCGGACGTAGGAATCGGAGTTTCAGTATGGCGATATTGCCGAGAAACAAAAGCCCGCGGCATTATCTGCGGAAATATATGTCAATTTCTTTGGCATACGTAAGAAAATTGGGTGATATTGCGGGGTACTTCAAAGAATACCTGAATTAAAATGAGATTCCGTTTTGTAAGCGTCGTCTCAGCTGTCACATCATGATTGTGTCGTGTTGTAAATTAATCAACCGTCTGGCAAAATTACGTTGCCGCCCGTACTAGTCACTTCAATTGTTAGTATCCATTGATGATAGATCTCGGGGGCACGTGAGGGTCACGGTGGTGATAACCAAATTTTATCGGTAGTGTCCAGTGCGACCAATCATACATTGGTATGTGGGTATTGTTAATAAATCTTATATACAGTGCTGTTTGAATGGATCTTGTTAAGACTTTATATGTACGAGCTATCTATATGTGGACGTTTTAAATGTTTAATTCATGTCATTCGGCTACAATTCAGCTGCAGTGATGCCGCCATATCAAACATTGAAACCTGGAAAGATATGATTATTATAAGAAGTAATAATACTGCGACCTATTTCGCAAGCAGGATTTTGCTCAAAAAAGGGAAATAAATCACCGACCTCGGGACCAATTGGCCGACCGAGGCAGCCAATAGTTTTCACTAATCCTTCCAGTTCAGTCTCTTCGCTATCAATTTAACAGCATAGACAAGGCCCAACAAAACCGGCACCTCAATCAGTGGCCCAACAGTCGAAGCAAGCGCCTGATTACTGTCTGCCCCAAACGTAGCGACAGCAACGGCAATCGCCAACTCGAAATTATTACTGGCAGCGGTAAAACTCTGCGTCGCCGCGAGCTTATACCCAAAGCCCAACTTGTACGTAACCAACAACGTCAAGAAGAATATAACCGCGAAATAAACAATCAGCGGCGCGGCCACCCGGATCACAGAGACAATCTGATGAACAACGTGACGACCCTGAGATGCGAACAGCACCAATATCGTGAACAAAAGCCCAATGAGAGACCAGGGGCTTGCCCATTTCAGAAAGACCTCGTCATACCATCGCGGACTTGTCGCCCAGCGGAGAGTGAAGCGCGTGAGGATTGCTGCGCCCAGCGGAATGCCGAGGAAGACGGCGACGCTTTTCGCGGCGGTGGAATATTGAAAGGCTATGCTATCGCCGCTGATGACTTGGATGAAGAAGACGCCCATGGGTGCGAATAGGACCATTTGCAGGAGGGAGTTCACGGCGACGAGGATGGCGCAGTATTCGCTGTCGCCGCCTGCCAGACCGGTCCAGATTAGAACCTAAGAGTTTGTTAGTATCGTCGAGTACAAAAATAACGTTTGCCCCCAGTGGCTGTTGGGGAGGGGGGTTGTTTTTACCATAGCGATGCATCGTGCTAGTCCGACCAGAATCAGCCCCTGGCGTAGCTCGGGTTCGTCTGGAAGGAAAGCCCAGGATAACGCCAACTAGAGTGTTCCGTGTTAATTTCTGAGTTAGAGAGGCAGTGGAAACCTTGGAGGCTTACCATGAAAAACGGGGCAATGATCCAATTAACAACAATACTGAACGCAATCTGAATCCATATCTGACGGGTTTTGAAGACCTGATGCAAGCTCTCAAAGCGCACTTTGCAGAGAATGGGATACATCATGACAAGCAGGCCAACAGCTATGAATCTGTATTAGCAGATAGAAATAGACAGTGCAGAGAAATCGTTGAACCCTTACCAATAGGAACTGAAACACCAACAAACTTCCCCCTTTGTAACGCGGGTCCAGTGCTTGGCACGAAATTTCCCAAAATAATACCAATTGCCATGGCCAGGAAAATCCATACCGCGAGAAATCGGTCCAAAAGGCCGAGATTTTTGAAGGCAGAATATTTTTTCTGCGGTGAGTCTGACGTGCTTGCTTGTTTTTCTATGTCGTTGGGAGTGGAAGGCGTTTGGGCTGCAGCGCCCAATGCGGAGTCATTTTCAGTCATCTTCAAATGTTGAGATGGTCCTGATTCGATTGAAGGCGATTAGCCTGGTCGTTGGAGGTTCGGGCGAAGTGTGAAATTTCGCCCGCCGGGGGGGGCTTCGAGCAACACGCGTGGAGGTTTATATAAACATTTGAGTTGACAGAAGACGAGGCGATTGTTCGCATCTGGATGTCATTGGCCGATGCTGATTGGTCAACGCCGTATTCTGGCCGCTGCTCGGGATTTCTTGGCCTACACCTGCAGCTGACAAATAAACTTTAGCTCAACATTAACGATAGCCAATTAGAACGCGCCAGTGACTCATTGGAAACGAAGTCTCTATCGAGCCCACTACTGCTGTCTAAACACCGGACGAATAGCATATTAACATTAGAAAGGGCGGGCGACAGCAAAGAGAAATCTCCACTGATTTTGACAGATTGCCGCGAATATTGTCCGCTAGGATCCAAGGCTAGAAGAAGAGGGTTGGAGGACATATGGATGTTGTTCAACAAATCTAATTTATCCACATGCCGTAAAGTACATAGCCTAGAGCCTGACCTCTCCAATGCCACACGGTATATACAACGGACACATCCCACTATTAAGCTAAAGTTGTGTCGCTCGTGCCAGCCTCAGCTTCTCCTCCTTGGCCCTTTTCTCTTCCCGCTCACTGAACCGATCACCAAAAAGTTCCAAGTGGGGCCGCATGAGGAAGGTGTACTTTACCAACTCCTCCATGCAATCCACCAGTCGGTCCCGGTTACCACTAGGCATAAGCCTCCGATCTCCCGGTTGACCTTCATCGGGGAATTGTGTATACGCTTTCGGGATCGAAGATTGATTCGGAATAGTGAACATGCGCATCCACCGGCCGAGAAGACGCAGGGAGTTGACGGCGTTGAACGATTGCGAGCCGCCGCACACCTGCGCAATGGCGAGGGTCCGGCCCTGCGTTGGACGCACACTCCCGGTAGTCAGCGGGATCCAGTCGATCTGATTTTTGAAGACGGCGGTCTGAGGATGGTCAGTAATGAGATATCATGCATTGGGGGGCTCCCCCGCCCCCGGGTGGGGGGAAAGAAATGCTCACAAGATTCCCATGTTGTTCGGGGGATACCCAAACATGCCCGTCGCTCCACTTGCTGAGCTCTCGGAGCTCCCGCACCTTGGGATGGCCGTGCTCGGTATCATTCTTGACCGGTAACCCCTCGGGATTAAACACACGCACGTCACACCCCAGACGGAAAAGAATCCTGCTGGCTTCCAGCGCCACCAGACGAGAGTAGGATCTCCGACGTAGGCTGCCGTACAACACGAGCACCTTTAGTCGGTTGTTTGATTTTTGCAGTTCCTGCGCTGCCAAGTCCATGGCGGTTGTCAACTCCAAGGCACTGACCCAGTCCTCGGCCGCGTCGTCGAGGATGAAGGGGCGGTATTTCTGACGGATCTCGGCGTCATCCTCGCTCTGCGGTATAGCCAGAGACGGGTGTTCGGGGTATTGTACGCTCTCATGCCCATTGACGAAGTCGGGAACAGTTGGCCCCGGCTGGGCAACCGCGGGATGCGCCATGGTGGTGTATCTGTAGAGCGACAGACTAGCCGCTGAGCCGATGACCGGGGTGATTTTGCGTGCTAAGGGAATTCGAAAACGAGTAATCATCAAGGTATTTAATATAATTTTTATGCGGATCTGGTGATAGCACTTCTGATGAACAGATGTCTTATTTATAGAGTCGAACAAATTCTAGATGGCCAGATTGGGGCGACCGAAACGCGGCGAGAGATGTCACTGGTGGGTGCTGATTGGCTGGTGAAGATGGAAAATTCTCAAACGGGCTAAGTGGATTTGATTCTCGGCACTAAGCCTTGCTTAGGTAATTAGCGTGCCACTTGACTCTCCCTCCCTCCCATGCTTCCCCGTACTGGATCCTCCGAATTACCCAATCGCCACACCACACTTCACGGCCATCTTAACATGACAACGATGAGGACCGAGAGTCCAAACAAACAGTCGACAAAACCCAAGGTCAGCCACCTTGCAAAACCTAATATGTGCAATCCAGCGCCATTCTTGGGAACTAACAATCTCCCAGACTGATCAAATGTCGTCATCAGTACGAATTCGCGATAACCAACGGCGTTCGCGTGCACGGCGCAAAGAATATATCCAAGATCTTGAGCAACGCCTGCAGAAATTTCAGACTAAAGGCATTCACGCTACACGAGAGGTGCAAGAGGCGGGGCGAAAGGTGGCAGTAGAGAACAGTCTTCTCCGCTCGCTGCTCATACTGCATGGTGTTTCTGATCAGAGAGTTCAAGAATACTTAAGAGCACATACAGCGGACATGTCTCTTCCTACGTCGCGCTCGGAAGCTGTGCTAGTGGCGCGATCGCACTCGGGGCAATCTCCCAGACTAAATACAGTGGATTCCGGGGTGCCGAGTCCATCAAACTACGCGCGCAACGATCCGTCGCCCGAGAGAACGGCTACGGAGCCTACTTCATCGACCTCGAGTTCGAGCCAAGTTACTTATCAACAGGTGGCTATATCCGACAGCCAAATTTCCGACGGGGACTCGGAGCTGAGTGTTCCGTTCGACTCTCCCGCTCCTGATACTTCAACGTTACCACCACCCAGCAGGCACCAGGACTCCAGACAATCAGGACAATGTACCCCGTGCGAAACTGCAGCCGGGATCATTTCATCTACGCGAAGCTACCCCGACATGCAGGATGTGCGGTCGGAACTAGGGTGTCAGTCGAGCGCCAGCTGCATGGTAAAAAACATGGACATCTTCCAGCTGCTAAATGAATGATCACACGATAAAATATTTAATTGACATTGAATTGGGCTAATTATCCCGGTCACCCCTTTGTACATACCCATCGTGAACCTATGGGACTGCGCTTGTCCGAGCCATGCACTGCAAAGGCGTTCTCACCAAACCAGATTCTAGCCTCTCCATAAAAGTTCTTAAGCAAAGTTACCTAAGCCTTGATAGCGTAGATCCGAAACGAGCCTGGAAAAATTGTCAACAGCGCGATCAAGACTGAGCCAGGATGGAGGGTAATAACCGACCGACCCACTCATTAAAATCCAACTCTTGCAACGTCACTCGTAGTCTCCTTACTCGAACCCCAACTGCCGCAGCACGAGCTCTGAGACAAATACGACGACTGCTTGTAAAGATTCAGGTCCGACTTCGTGTCAACAACGAGCACTCCTACCGGCAAGTTAGTACAAAAGACTCAAGTGCCCTTGATGGCGGTATACGTACCCTCGAATCCGGCCTGCTCAAGGTACTCCTCATACCTCGCAATCTCACTCGCACCGGCAACACACCCAACATACAGCGCCGTGTTCTTAGTAATGTGATCCGGGAGCGGCTTTCGAGCCAGAATATCACTGATGGCAACCCTTCCGCCCGGCTTCAGTAGGCGAGCAATCTCTTTAAAGACGGCCGGCTTGTCGGTCGCTGGGACGAGGTTGACGACACAGTTACTAATGATGCAGTCGACGCTGGAGTCTGGCAGTGGCACGGAATTGATAGTTGCTTCAATAAACTTGGCGTTGGAGACTCCCGCCTTCTGCGTATTCTTCTCAGCGAGTTCGATCATGCTCTGTGTCTATTATCAATTCTGGTCTCTACGGAGGAAAGAACTCGAACTCGAATTACTCACCTTTGTCATGTCAACGCCGATTGCCTGTACATTGACCCCGACTTTACGGGCCGCCAGGAGGACGTCAATGCCACTGCCGCTGCCAAGGTCCAGAATCGTCTCACCCTATATACTCGAAGGTTAGCATTTTCTATTCGTCACCGTCGTGCGAAGATATCAGTCAAGCACCAGACTTCTTTCATATTGGCAAACCCTACTGGGTTTCCGTAGCTTAATCCGAGGTTCGTCTTCTTGGGATGTAGCCAAAGGCCCTGGCGATCTGTGTTGTAATTCAAAGGAAGATTGCTTATATTCCTTCTGGACAGAAAACTTGAGGGCTTATATACACTTTCCAATCAAAGCTGGTAATTCCGTGAGGTTAGGAATTGATTCCGTTACGATACGACATATCACAACAGGAATCTCCAGAACATCTGGCCTACGGGATCCGGGCTGGACTTATTTCGTTGCCGATTGATACATCGATTGCAGTTGTTGACTTCCACTGATCCGCACGGCGTACAAAACAAATAGCTCACCGCGAGGCCATCTCTGAAATAGCCCCACCAGCTTGTGTACCATACCGAGTGGCAGCCTTTCTCTGCCTACATGAATAACAATCATGCTTGGTGAAAGCTTCTGTTAGCTATCATCGTAGCCCAAGGCCATGATTGATGTAATCGCAAATAAGAGAATCTGGTTCCACAATGGTTTAGAGATGTGTGAGACAGAGCCTTTATCGTGACAGTAGAAAGTTTTGGTATTAGTAGAATCTACTTACTAAGGTATGGAGCTTCACTATGGAAGACTTGACAGCAAAGGCCTCGAATATTCTTGAGATGATCGAGGGCTTATGAATACGTTCTTGAAATAATATGTGACGTACTTGAGTACTACGCAGTTTACTGGCCTGCTTATTATGAGTCCCAAAGGAGTTTTCCTTCGCGTTTTACGCCAATCAAAAAAATATAAACCAACAGAACATTGCTGGCGCAGCTACGGTCGGAGCAGGGTTCCTCGATTAGCCGGTTCCCACCAAAAGATTTGGAGATTCAGTTCAATTGTTTGCGATACCGTACCACAGGATCCTGCCAGGGCCTCTCAACCTCCTCGTATGATATCTTAGATTGTATATCTTAGATTGTATACTCCATCCCTAGGACTGCGCTAGAGACATGTGGCCTGCTAGTGCTAAGTGCTGCTCTCCTAGGCGGTATGATGCAGAGCCCAGGGGCAGGCGGGCACACTCACTGTTCAGTCACACGGTCTTGGCAATTGGTTTTTGCTTGCTAGTCATCATCTGGTCAGTGGTCTGATCAGGTTGCCAGTTGACAGACACCAGGCCCAGCTGGCCTATAGGCCGGGGTTCGTGAGCCGGCTGGGACTAGAGGGCACAGCCTGCAGAGCATTGACCACAATACAAGGGTTGATGTCCCGGCAAGCCACTGGTCAGGCGGCGCATGCCCAATGTCGAGGAGCCGTGGTGGAAGGACTGTGGTTTGAGGGACGAGGTCCCCAGTCGACAGACTGAAAACCCAGCTAGACCTAGAGCCTTGGACGTACGTCCACCCGAGATTTAGGTCTGCAGCATACCTGGAACCAAATCCTTCTGGCCACCTAAACCTGATGTCTCAGTTTCTATGTCTAGAGCGGTCGTAAGACCGTGGTCCCAGGACCTGCCAAGTCGCCCCTACTGCCACTTCGCCCATGAAAGCAGCTGCTGAGGAGGGGTGCCAGACCACCACCGAATCGAAGGCCACTGCGGGGACCCACCCTTCTAGCACAGTTGATAAGCCAATGACACCAACCCTCACTGGGACAGCTTGGGTATCTGGGTGAGAACTGTCGTGCGCATTCCCTGGGCACCTCTAGACTATCTTAAGACTGGATTAAGCCTAGAACGATTGGAATAGGAGATAAATAGTACCAAAAGCCAACTCATATGACATTTACCCCTTTGTGTCGTCCGTGCTCTTCAGCAGGGCGTACTGTGACTAAATTCCTCTCAAGAGGATTCTCCCATGAGCCGAACCCTCTCGAAAGAAGTCTTTTGTTCTCGGCTTTCCAAGGGGTCCTTGCTCTTGAAACGGCCTAGCTGGGACTGATGTTTTGTTGACGTCCTCTCGTTTCACACCCTCCAGGATGCTCTACATAGCTCCATCATAGCCACAAGATTCGTCTTTCATCCCATTATTACTTCTGTTAATATTCTCTCGGGGCACCATACGTCTTGTCTGTATCATGCTCTTGGTACAAGAAGCATATATAGAGACAGGAATCACGAAGTAAATCCGGGGACCTCAAGCAGCAGTGGCTGCAAGGCTGCCTTGGACGCCAGTTGGCAGACTGGCAGCCAAGCTCGACCGAGAGCTTTGGACCTACGTCCACAGTCGGAGGGATTTGGCTCCAGATCACCTGCTCTAAGGCTTGGTGCCTAAGGCTGCAGCCAACCCACCGCGTCTTCCCGACAATAGACACATGCTAGTTGAGCTACGGCCACCATGGACAGCAATCATCGGATCGCCATCACAATTGGCTTTACAACAAGCAAGGTCTACGCGTGTCCTGAAATGGGTATCTCATGAGCGCCTAGGATCCCTTCCATCTTCTACCCGGTCTAAGACTCGCCATGCCATCCATAGAAGGTTCTTCTTTACTAGTCCACCTTCGGCTTCTCTTCCTCATGCACGGACACCACGATAAGGCGCTGCTGCCATCAGCAGTCGATGGAGGACAGAACGGATTGAGTTGAGGCTTCCTTGGAGGATTATCCTCTGATACTGAAGCAGACTAACGATAATGACAGAATCGTAGCATTTTACGATTAAGACTCAAAACTCGATTGACAGGAGCTCTGGCATCCCTTTCTTCAGAAAACGAAGATTCCAGTCGGACATTAAAGAGAGTTTGTGAAAATTTAGCCGCTGTTACTCGTGTATTGACAGTGCTCTTTGCTTAGATCTTCGACCAGCGCAGAAGCACCGCAGCCGCAATAACTGGCAGCACACTCACTAGCTCTCCCAGCCCTGCAAATTCTGGAGGAATTCTCGCACTGACGAAAGCACCCGCAGCGAGAAGGACCGCAAAGCTGTTGTATACGAAGCTCCATGTAAAATTGAACTTGATGCGGTAGATAGCCTTCCGACTGGCGTTCATCATGGTGGGGATGCCAGCCAAAGAAGGCCGCATGAGAACCACATCCGCGACGGATTGCGCGATATCCGTGCCTTCGTTCAAGTGGACGCCGATTGTAGCCCGCGCAAGAGCAATGGCATCGTTCGTGCCGTCACCACAGAAAACAACAACCGGTTCCTTGCAATCTGTGCCAGTACCGAGGAGCTTCTGGATGTAGTCCTTTTTGTCGGTGGGTGAACTTCGAGAACGCACATTGTCGCCAGGAATGCTAAGCTTGGACGCTAAGATCTGAACAGCTCCGTCATCGTCGCCAGAGACCACATGTATCAAGACGCCACGCTTCTGCAAGGTCTTAACCGTCCCAGCAGCGTCAGGTCGAAGCTCATCTTCAAGGCCATAGACCGCCTTTAATGCATTGTCGATTGTAAAGCAGAAGGCAGTGTATCCTTGAGCAAGCATTGGTTGAACAAGTTCATGTTCCGATACATTCAGCCAGCGAGAATTACCAGCTCGAAGTCTCTGGACACCTAAAGTGGCTTCAACGCCCTTACCAGTAAGGCTCTTGGGTTCAGGAACAGTCGAAGCCATAACCCACTCTCTTCGTCGACAATGATAGCTGTCGATGCCTGAAGTGACGGATCAGAAATGGATTCAACAGCTCTCTGACGAGCGAGAGCGGCAATCCATCGACGAACCATGATCAAAGTGACCAAGAGAGTGCTCGTTTCACAGAATTGACCGATCGAAAGGGGTTTCTCTGCAATGAGGTACCCAAAGGAGACGACCGAGAAGATGTAGGCAGCACTGGTTCTCAAGACGATCAAAAGGTCCATTTCTATAACTCTCGAGAACACAAGAGCCTTCAGGGCCTTGGGATAGAAAGGACCTGCTATGACAACTTGGACAATCGTGGCTAAGGTGAATGAAGCCGAGGAATATGCCACCTCCCTCTCAGGGAGCGGAGCCCATGCCATGATCAGGACCGGAATTGTCAAGACAGCGGAGAGAAAGGTCATATATCCGACATGGCGAACATGCTTGCTGCCGGCCTCCAGGGAAGGGTCACCGCGTAGAGGAGCAAGTTCAATTGGCCGACCCCAGATCTTCTCGGTGAGGTCTCGAGCTCCCAGTATCTTCGGATCAAAAGCAACTCGTACAGTCTGCTTGTTCATGGGTGCCATGTCAATGACTCCGTCCGGCCACGTCTGACTAATAAATTTCAAGGGCTCATCGGTGACAATAAGCTCGAGGCTAAATCCCTGGTTCTGGACTCTTTGGCACTTGAATTCAGTCGACTTCCTCCACTGAGCCAAGGCGAAGATCAATGTTGAACTCGGCCCGGGAGAGAACCAAACTGTTTTTCAGGTCTTTGACGGCGGGGACAGTACCAAGGGTTCGGTTGAGCTTTGTCTCGCAACCAGTACAAGTCATGCCAGAAATGCTGAGAACAACATATTCCTTGCCAGTATCCTGCTTCTCTATGTCGGTGATGTCCTGAACTAGTGCGTTGTCAATCTCCGAACCAGGATCGGGCGCAGCAGATGAGCAGCAAGCACCGGTGCAAGAGCCTTGGGGGCTGGCCGGCTGATTTTCTGTGCAGCAAGAACCAGCGCAACCAGTCCTTGGACCCTTCAGAATACATTGCTTGGGTGGCTTGCAGCAAGAGCCAGAGGAGTCGGTAATGGAGAGCTCTTTGGTGATCGCGTTCTTACTTATTCCGCAACAAGATCCTGCACACTCCCTAGCTGGAGGCTCAACAACGGGCTAAACCTTTGAAAAACCAGAGACAACGCAGGCATCCGCGGATTGATTTTTGACGGACCTGACGCTTTCACCAGAGCCCCTTTGCAGGCGAAGACGGTTCTGCGCGGCCTGGTCCTTAGTGACAGACCCGTTGCTGCAACAGGAATCCAACGAAGTGCGAAGAAGGGAGTGAGCAGATGATTTCTTAGAGCACTGCTTCCCATCTATTGAACGGCATTTGCGAATTTTACAGCAGGTTTCCTGGCCAAGAGCAATAAGAGCGCGGCAGATACATCCCAGGGGGCTTTTAGAGTAGTGCCGTAGCGGTCGAGGGCAGAGAGACTATGCTGGCTGCATGCCTTGCGGTCGGAAGCTCCACCACAAGCTAAGGAGAGTCAGCAACTCTAAATGCCATCCTCGGAGAACCTCTACTCACTGCTTGGCTGACCGGTTGGGCCGGGGGCAGCCGCAGCACTCGTCTCGCATTCCCGCAGAGCCAAGCGGCCAAGGCAAGACATGTCGCAACATAGGCTGACCTTGCCACGGCAGCAGTCAGGCGCGTCGATATTCTCGATTTTTTCGTCTGTGTATTTGCCAGGAGAATAGAAATCATCCGATTCCTCCTGGGCGGGTTCTTCCTGACCCGGGGCCGTATTTTCGCCATCGCAGCAAGAATTCTTGCAACTGCTCGTCTCATTCAGAGCCGCGATTGGCGTAACATCAGGCTCAGGGGCTGGAGCCGGTGGGCCGCAACTGTCGCATGCCATTGCTGAAATGATCTTTTGCTTTCTGTCCAATTTGAGTTTGAGGTGTTGCGAAAGTTGAGTTTTTGGAAACAAGTAAGCCTGTCGGTTTGGGATTAGTTTCACTGGGGGACGCGCGCTGACGCACGCTGTAAGCCCTGAAACGACGTGGCAATTGTGGATTGTGACAAAACATTCGAAAGTCGGGGCAGTATGAAGCATTACGTACGTAGATTTTGAAAACAGAGGCAGACACATCAGACCGAGAGATCCCAGGCAGCCAGTGTCTTCGCTTGAAGACCGCGCAATCTCTCCATCTCCACGAGTAGATCCGGGTCTGGTGAAAAGTGAAGATCGTCAGTTGTGATCTTTTGGAGTAAGTGGAGGCCTTGGAAAGATCGCAGTCAGGATTTTACCGCACGGAAAAGCAGACGACAGTAAGCGAGCGAAAAAAGTAGAGTGAATTAATGGAAGGAAGCAAAATCAGAGAGCGAAGCAGAGGCATAGAGGTAGTGGACACGTTCTCTTGAACCTGGGAGGGTAAAGCAAGAAGAGCATATTGCTCGAGCAGGTCCAAGCAGCGGCGGTGTAGTTGAACACAAAGCCATACAGGAAGGCCACCAATGAGGATACGGCTTCTCAGAAGTGCGTAGCAAGAGCGTGTATGTCATGAAAGAGAAGTAATAGCGAATAAGAGAAGGTATATGGAGCAGCAACAACAATAAAGGTCACATTGCAGAGGAAAGGGCCAGTGAACAAGAAACAAAGTACCAAAAGGAAACCGAAACAGGAGAGAGCGTGGACAGAGTGACAGCGAATGAGAAAACAGGCGCAGGAGGGCCAGACGAATCAGAAAGAAGAATTTGGCTAATAGCAACATCAAAGACTGGTAACGCGCGCTTCGCAAGCTTCGCACGCTGATGCCCTGAAACGAAGTGATGAAGGGAGTGAAAATAGCGGTAAAATATGGATAAGAAGACGAGATGGTAAGGAGATATATAAAAGTTTGTAGAGTCACATTGTGATTGGCTGTAGAGTTGCAGGAAATGCATCCGAGAAAGTTTATATATGTAGCATGTGTGACGTCTGTGATCAGGTGGGGAATCCCTTGTACCATCCTAGTAGTCTATCTCATCAGGGCAAGAACCAAACGGTTATACTTGAGCCTCGTCATCTAACCATGTCGCATTGTCCAGTTCGTGTTGAATTCAATTGTGAATATACTCTCCACACACTCTCTTTCACTCATGATCTTCCTCGAAGCCTTGTCCCAGTCGACTCCAGGGTCATTATGAAGGACTGCGAGTACACAGTTCTGCTTGAGCGTGCAGTATTACCGATCCTCAACGAGCATGAGGTTGTGTGTCGAGCAGCATCAAGTCCTCTGTGTGGGGTTTGCGGTTCCATCACGACGCAAATACTACAAACGCCTATATTCATTATTCAAGATGCAGATCATCCGTTTCTTTCGGTGTGGGTCCATTCACTCTGTGATAAAGCAGAATGCGAAGCACAGATGAAGGAGGATATGGACAGTATCATGGGCAAGCTGAGACGGCAACTTTCAGATGAAATGCGTTCGGAAGCGAAGACTTGTAAAATGTGTGGGAAGGCAGTGGGCCTGAAAAGATGTGCCCGATGCAAGGCGGTAGCTTATTGCGGAACCGAGCATCAGAGGGTGGATTGGAAGATACACAAGAAGTTCTGCGTATCAGTGGATCGGGAAGGTGACTAGGAATGGTGTGCGATTTATTGGTCGGGTTTGCTATATGTCGGTGCGACCGTTTCTTACACGGGTTTGAAGGAATTCATTCTGGTCTCTCATCTGCTTGGGATTTATTATGAACCTCCCTTCGTTTATCCCCCTCCCAGGCGGCCATTGTTTGTTTCTCCAGTTCCTGCAGCCTTTGGATTTCACTAAGCAATCGAGGATCGGGTTCGAATTGTAGGTCCTTCATGTCAAGCCTCTGCAGAAGATGAAGGCCTTCGGAAGACCGAAGCCTGGATAGCTGGACGTATGTTGAGCAGAACTTTCTGTGACGATCGAGGCCCCGGATGGTCGGATCGTCTTTGAGATCGAGAATGGCAGACGCGAGAGTTGATCCTTGGCCTTTGTAGTCTGTGAGACAGAAAGCCGGACACATTGGGACTTGTTTCCTTCGTACTGAGTACCCTTTCAAGGTGATAGATCGCTGAACGGGAAAGACCGGCATGACAGACGGATCTAGGCCATCGAATGTGGCCGGCTTTGGTTTATTTTGCTAGAACAAAATACAGGTTGGAGGCTTCGTGCACATGATGTACAAGTAATCTATCTCGAGAAATTCGGCTAAGGCAGACGTCAACAGCGTTAACTATTTTGCAATAATATGTGGACTCACCGGATGGGTCAACTACCACTCCCACCGCAGTTCCTGCCGCTCCATTTACCTGACCAAGGGCGGTGCAGATGTTTGTCAGGATGACAGCGGGCATACCTGTTGAGTATAGGAAGAGGCCAGGAAACGGGATCGTGGCTCCTTGGTCGGGTTGTTGAAGTAAGTCATCTGCGCGAAGTCGTATATTTCCTGGGCCTGTGGACTTCGTGCGGGTGTGGATCGCGGAATATATATAGATTCTCTGATTCCTCAAGCGTGCAAATTTTTCCATTTGAATTCGATTCACCATATGTCGAATGGAGTTCCGTTTGACAACGGTCATGGCACCTTCCAGTTGCGGATCGGCTAAGGAAGTGATAGCTTTGCTGTTCAAGGACAGGTCATTACTCGTCAATGAGCCAGAGCGAGCACGCAACAAGAAGTCCCGGAAAGACAGGTCTTCGGTTTGTCTCATCTGCTCGTCCAAGATGATTACCTGCGTGAACTGATGCCAGAGAAGTTGGCCGATTTCGTCTTCATCTTTGTTCAATCGAGGGACCCTCCAAAGTGCAGGCCCGCGAACTGGTGAAAACTGGAAAAAGTCACCTACGAAGATGACAATGGGGAGACCGCCAAAAAATTCCGGGGAGTTCCGGTCCAGGGACTTAGCCATTTTACAGTGATTGTTAATCATGCTGAGCATGGTCAGATCCATCATGCTTACTTCGTCGACGATTATTATCGTTTTACGCTCCCACAGTCTCTTTATTCGAGATCTTGTGGTTGAAGTAGCTCGGGAGCGATCGATCGATATGCCTAAAGACGTGTGGTAGGTATTTCCGCCAATATTGTCAGCTGCAGCGCCAGTTGGTGCTGTGAGAATTACCTCCTTTTTACGATGGAGCAGATCCATGCCGGTCACGATAGCTTTGATAACCTGGCTCTTCCCTGTGCCACCCTCGCCCATGATGCAGAGCAGCATCTGCTTCCGCCGGGACGAATCAAAAGGGTGTTCAGCCCAGGCCAAAGCGTCGGAGAGAACCTTTTCGACCACCATGCGTTGCTTGACATTCAACGGAATTTGCTCCGCTACCAAGGAAGTTAGAGAATTACCAGTAGGGGCGCGGCCAACCCGGAGTCGGCGGTCTTCAAACGATGAGATGCTCATGGTGGTGAGCATGGGTTGTAAAACCCCGTCGCCCATTTCCAAGTCAAAGTCGTCGGAGCCAATGCCAGCATGTAAGCTACCGTGCGCAGGTGCGTCCTCATCATTAGCCTTGGAAAGATCCTTTAAGTGTAACTCCCAATCCTTCATGGTGGACGGGGGAGAAAATGGAGATCAGAAATGTCTTCCGCAAGGTCATGGAGAATATCGACGGGTCGAAGATTTCGCAGCACCGTGGTCCAGGTAGACGTTGTTCCATGGACTAATGGAGGAATCCGTCGTCCAGTAGCAAGAAGCTCTTTCTGCCACAACCTAGCGATTGAACCGTAGGCCGCAATCAATGTCTCTGGCTTAAAGGTCTCATCTTGAAGATGGACAGAGTCGACTCCTTCCTCATTATCCGAATAGGAATCGGTCCGTTGAATCACTCCCATGTGGTGATCATAGGAGTCATAAGCAGCGCTCGCTGCGGCTGATTCGCGTAGCTTTGCGTCTGCCTGACAATCTTCCTTGGACTTTCGCAGTAGGTCAATATTTCTTGCGAAATCTCGGTTATGTGGAGAGAGAGTAGGCTCAACAGTCGCCCATATCTGTGGGTAATTGTTTCCCTGCTCCTTTGACCGACAAAGGAGGGGCCCCAAATCTTCCCACGGTATAAACAGACCTAACAGGATCTCTGCCAGGTCATTTATAATGGCCTCGGTCGTTGGGTGACCGCCGGAAATCGCGTCCTCCGCAGGTTGGAACTCAGTCAATTGTCCACTAAATGAGATTGTCGCCACTTGTGACTTCGATCGAGCCAAGCGTTGCACATGAGATAGGTACCTCGGGTGGCTCACGTCAAAATCCACATCATCTAAGACTGCATCCCGCACGTTCATGGTCCGGACGAGCATGCAGTATTCAAAGAAGGGCAAACATGCCAGGTGTGGGCCCCGCCATTTATAATTATCGAAAATATTTGCAGGAGCGGCGTCTCCAATCTCGTACGTACATGGCTCATCGGCCATTGGAGCCGAGTTGGCCCGGTCGGATCGAAGCATGGTACGGACGTGTTGGCGTAGCCACCAAAGATTGACGCGCACGAAGTTATAGCTATTGGTGTAATAGGAGGGAAGTTGAAGAAGCTTACTGGCCACTTGGACGCCGCTAACCTCACGGTCATGGGCAAGTGTGTTGAAACAACGCAGTGCGAAGTTGGTCGTTCCCTTCTCTTGAAGGCGAAGGTCCGTCGCTGTTGGGGGGTCAGCCGCCTTTGCACTCTCAATGGACTGTTTCAACAGAGCAGCCTTGGCGATTATCTACCACGGGGAGACGTCGTCTTTAGTGGCGTGGTTGGTGATGTAGTATATCAGAGACAATGATTTGGAAACGGTAGGGATCCAAGAAATATCATGATTGGATCGTAAACAGCTGACTAGCGCCGGGTTCCAGGGGTTGACCCAGGGATGACTGCGAACGAGATGGATAATGCCGAATTCGTCAACTGTAGAGGTAGGGACCAATTCGCGGGGCATACCGAATCGACATGAGCTCTTCCCAGAACCGCTGCGCTGGTATTTGAAACAGGTCGAGAGATGATATTTCGAATGTAGCTGTTTCTTTCGAGCTACCGCGCCACTATCGTCAGCTAGTCGGGCAAAGAACACCTCGTCAGGCTCAGCTCCCCGGGCGGAAGGTGGCATAGGCGGACGGTTGGAGTCGGGGTCGGTTTGAACCGTGTCGTCATTGCTCTGGCTGATGACTGACTCGAGGTAATGGATCATACGGCTTGCATATTCGGGATCACTTAGTAGGCGCTGGCGCAGAGAAGTAAATGCCAAGTTCCCCTGGAGCCACACCAGGGCATGGAGGTGCAGCATGCCTCTGCCATTTGTCTCGACTACTCCAAAGTGGTTGGAGACGTCTCCCAAGATGCCGAAATATTCACAGCCACTAGCTAGGAGGCCGCTCAAGACTGCGTTACAGACATGGTGAAAGAAGTTAGCAACCGCGACAGGGTTGGAAGTGGCAATGGTGTCACGGACGGCGGCATTAGTACTGTTTAGAATGTCTCCAGCATATTCTACTCCTGCCAGGATCAATTCTAAGGGATTTCGCAAGTCAGATGGGTTTATGGTGATCCAAAACGCAGGCATCCCATACCGTACGATGATCCCGCGGATTTCGGAACGCGTCGTCAGCTTTTGGGCAAAAGACCCTGGCACTCGGATTCCGATGGTCACTACATTTCGCTGGAGCCGTCTGATGACGGGATCATCGAGTGTCTGACCGTCTGCTGCAGCTTTCGCAGCATTTTGCAGTTGGCTTAGAGTTAAGGAGGCGATATCATCTGCGGCTGACTGCCAATTCTGACGCTTTATAAGGAAATGATTCCCTAGCGATGACTTTCGGAGCTGGATCACGTCATACAGCAGATACATGAACGTTTTGTGCCTTGCGAACCTACTAAATTAAGCTAAGGGAAAAACGAACTTTGAAGAGAGGCCTTACCTTCTACTATGGTGGGTCAGCGCCCATTTTGCAAAAGCTTCTAGGGACACGGGAATGTTCCTGTCTTCCAGGTGGCCTCCAGTGCCCGTTGGAAACAGCGTAGGGAACGCAGCAGTGAAATAAGAAGGATCCATCCAGTGATTGAGGAGCGTCGCGGTACCATGGATGGTATAAGAGATTGCCGGCGGCCTATCGATTCGAGCTGCAGGTGAGGTGTAGTTTCCCGCATAGGTAGCGGTTGGAGGCGAGCGGCTAGAAATTGCTTTGAATAAGGTGTCCAAGGTACGCATATCCGGGTCTTGGCGTTCGCCATTGATGTCAGTTGAGACCGAACCGGTTATCAGAGGGCCACCGTCTTCGTTATCAAATGCAGCCTCGTCCTGCGCCGCCTGTAGATCATTCTCGAAATTTCCTGACTGTAGATGAACGGTATATCCCTCACGCTCATGGTGGTCAGACTCATCCAGGAAGACAATGCTGTCTCGCAGCTCCGTGGGGATGAAGTCGTCACTCCAATCGTCTATCATGGCATGGTTGATAGTTACGCTTCTATATAGATGATTATGGTGAAGCAGGTATTCCAACACAGCTAGAACCTTTGACTTACGCACCGATAAGAAAGGGCCCAAGTCCGAGTGTAAAGGACGATGTTGTCCTAACCAAAAGACTCTAATCAGGTTATGCAATCTTAATTCAGGGCTTGGCAAGATGTCGAGGAGGGGACCGTGATCCTGCGGTATAACAATAAAATGACCTCGAAGCGCACGATAGCTGATTGGAGAAGAACGGCCCCCTGGCCTCAACTTCAAGATCACACCCAGAGGATGAGATCTTGCTATGAGACACTCCTCAACTGGAGTGAGGTCGTCTAAGACGGATGGGTAGTGCTGACACATGGTCACATTTACCAGGTTCTTCCTGGAAAACTTTGGGATGGTATTCCGGATAAGTGCATTGTGGCACGACGAACAAAGGCTCCAGCGGTTGCCGTGTAGACCGCAAGTGTCGAGGCTATTGACCAATGGCATCAGGATAGGATCATTGCTGTCGACGTGAAAGACATTTGCTGCAGGGACTTCCATGCCACAAGAAGCGCACAGACCCTTCGCGGAAGCGCGTGCCAGCTCATCCTCGTATCGCCCCATTGACGCACGTATAGTTCTGGGAGACATGTCTGGAGGAAAAAAGTCAGAGGCAGCAGAACGGGCCTTGAATTCATCACGAAGAAAGGCCAATGCCCGTTCCAAAACCTCCTGGGACGCATTCGAACGCAGCGTTCTTTGTCTTTTTGGTTTCGGGGCCAAATTAGCGAAGCGCGCCGTTTGACTTCCAGACACGGTTTCGTCAGAGTCGGGGAAAGGACCCATCATAGTAGTGAATTGCATGTTTGGGCGTAAAGCTCGATAACCATCGACTCGTCTCAGCAACGTGGCGGGCCTTGTCGTAGGCTGTTCGTGAGTCGCTACTGGAGGAAGAGGGGTGGCACTGACAACAGTGGCGCGATTGGGCGGGGCAGGCCTTATAGGGCGTATATTCGATACCTGAAAAGACGTTGAAGGGTTCTCTATCGCTTTGGATATGAGCAGTGGTGCTGTGAGGGGAGTAGATCGGTACGTGGCGACAGGATTCTGGGTGGACGGTCGTGTTAGGTTTGGTTGAATGTGATGAGGGCTAGCTGCCGGCGCCGGTGCTAGTAATAACAGCCGGCGAGGGGGAGGGTGAGAGGGCGTAGAGCGGATGGCAGGTGGTTTTGGAGACTGTATTATATCCGGAGCGCGGCGCAAGGCACGAAAGGAGTTTTGAAAGGGATTAAAACCTGGGGGCAAAGTGGGCGCTTCTGGCGGACACCGGTCCATGATTGGTAGACTAATAACAGAATAAAAAAGCAGGATGACCTAACACTGAACTAAAACCCACCGGGAAGAGGAGGATAGTTAGCGACATATATGACTAGCGAGAGGTATACCTGGCTCAATACGAGGTCAACGAGCTCAAAAGCTCGTGGAAGAAGAAAGCGGGGTGCCGAAGCCAGAAGAGCGCACGTGCAGCACGGAAGCAGGGAATCAGTAGTGTCCGTAGCAGCAAATCAAACAAGGGTTCATTGAGAAGGCGTTAGTTGGGATGGCATGGATGACACGAGGCACATGAACAAGCAGGCGGGCAGAGACGGCGGCGTGAAATTGTAGAAAACAGGAAAGGCACGAAGCGTAGAAAGTAAAGAGGTATCAAGTTGTGTATACAATGATGGCAAAATGCAGAGGGTTGCATCGACCAGGATCAACGTAGGAGAGCAAGGAAGCTAAACCAAAACGGGAAGCAGTCGAAGGCCAATTGCAAAGGTAAGAAGCAGGAGAAAGAGGCCAATAAGGAAAGACTGTCGGCAACCAACGAGAAGCGAGAAATCGCCTTAGAATGGGCGAATGAGAAGCAGGAGAAGGTGCAAGTTTGGCAGGCTAGCTTTCGCGGCAGAAGCGGCGTACCTCACGTGTAGCCATGGCCGAAATAACCCCTTACACTCGTTCCTCGTTTCAGGGCAAGATTAAGTTTTTTGACAATTTTACAACAAGGGTAATCCCCGGGCACGAAGGTAAACCCTTTCTCTCACTTCGTTCGTTTCAGGGCATATCAGAGTTGTTGTAAGATACTGTACAGTACATCCCCACAGAATGTTCTCCGCAGGATTCTCGAAGAGCAAGGGGGACCTGGCGATCTGGCTTGATCCACCAGACGTTTTTCGCTCCTTCCTTTCGTCCATAGGCTTGTCTTCATCTATATCTTACATAACCAAGGCTGTGCTACTGCTATTGAAGGAATAATCCCTGTAGGCTAAGATGGTTGCTCGGTTGCTCCATTCGTTCCTGGTGTCTGCCTACAGCTGGTACAGCCAAGTAAATTGCGGAGAGCTCCAGAGATTCGATTGCCATTGGTGCACCCGTATGACCTACTTCGCTTCGTTTCCGTTACTTGGTCGGCACGGCCCGAAATTTAAACAGATGGTAAAGCTAGGAGTATTCTGTGACAACCTTGATGACTCTGCGATAGGAAAAAGTGTATCATAATATCAAGCATATGAGCTATCAGGGGAGATATGAGAGGTATTGCTGGGCAGGGCAGCGGGGTTAGTTCACTAATATGGCGAGTCCGAAATGGCGAATAAGTTGTCACCTGATGACGAGGCAACGCTGACACGCTGACACGCTGACACCTAATCAACCCATACCCCGCACTTCCTACTGAATTCCAGCGAAACCTTCACTTCCTATGGCCATGGAACCCGCGGTATCATTTAGTAACTCAAATTCTGGATTACAAGTGGGAATTAATCACGGTTCGATCACAGCTCAGTTTCAGCTTCCTCAAAGTACGTTCCGAGATTCTTTATTTACGGTAGATCGAACTGACCTTGAAATAGACCTTGACGAAAAGTTGCCTATGGTGCATGGCGCTGCGTTTGACTCATACGCAAACCAGTATGATGACGAATGTCTTCCAGGCACGAGAATCGATATCCTCCATCAAATTAGAGAATGGGCTTTCTCACCGCATGGGCGATGCATCTTCTGGTTGAATGGAATGGCTGGGACAGGGAAATCGACAATCTCCCGAACGGTGGCAAAACTCTTCGACCAAACAAAGTCGCTAGGTGCAAGCTTCTTCTTCAAGAGGGGTGAAGGGGATCGAGGCAATGCTACAAAGCTTTTTCCGACAATTGCCAGGCAACTAGCAATTAGCTGTCCCCAACTGATCCCTGGTATCCAGAAAGCAGTCGATAGCGAGCCAGGTATCGCGGTGAAGGCAATAAAGGAGCAGTTCGATAAACTACTCCTTCAACCACTCCTAAGCTTAAAGCCGTCTGTTCTTCCGGTCCGGACCGTGATGATAGTGATTGACGCATTCGACGAATGTGAAGGGGATAACGACATCCAGCTCATACTCCAACTCCTACCTCAGCTCGAGAAGCCAAGTACTTTGCGCTTACGAGTCTTATTGACCAGTAGGCCTGAATTACCGATTCGTCTAGGAATCTCAAAGATCGCAAGCCATGACCACAAAGACCTGCTTCTCCATGAGATCCCTGAGGACGTTGTCAAGCATGATATGTCACTCTTCTTGAATCACAGACTCTCAGAGATCAGGGCAGAACGCCATCTTCCAATTGACTGGCCTGGAGCCATAAACTTTCAAAAGCTAGTGACATTGTCCGTTCCGTTATTTATTTTTGCCGCTACTATTTGCCGTGTGTTTAGTGACCCTTATTGGGACCCATTGGACAGTCTTACCCAGATTCTTAAACATCGAAGCGATGGATCAAAACTAGAGGGAACATATCTCCCCGTGCTCCACCGCCTTCTCAACGGACAAAGCGAGAAACGGAAAAACCAACTAGTTCAAGAATTTCGCCAAGTGATCGGTGCAATCCTGATACTAGAGAGCCCACTTCCAGCTAACTCACTTTCACGACTTCTGGGCCTCCCGCAGAGGCTTATTCGTCTTAGACTCAATCCACTTCACTCGGTGCTAAGAGTGCCAGACGATGAGTCTTTGCCGGTACGCCTCTTTCATTCGTCATTTCGAGACTTTCTTCTTGACCCAGAGACGCGAGAAAGAACTCTATTCTGGATTGATGACAAAGAAATGCACCAGAGGTTGGCTTCACAATGCCTATATATCTGCGACAGTCTAGGTAAAAACCTGTGTAGGCTTAATTACGCCCAAAAGCGTACGGGGATTGATCGCCAGGTAATTGACGGCTATATTTCTCCGGAGCTACAATATTCTTGTCGTTATTGGGCAAATCATCTGGCAAGAAGCACAGACCCTACAATGGAGACAGATAACGCTCTCTCATTCCTCCAGAAGCATTTCCTTCACTGGATGGAAGCTATGAGTGTCCTCGGCCTCGTTTCTGAAGTTGTAGGAACTATCGATCTTCTACGATCAGTCTTACAGGTAAGTACCTATCAAGTATTCTGACATTATTCTGGCATTATTATACTAAGTGATGTAGGTTGATAGAAATTCAAAAATATCCCAGTTCCTGTGTGATGCGAGGCGGTTTGTACTCAAAAACAGACAAATGGCAGATGATATTCCGCTTCAAATTTACTGCTCCAGTCTCGTTTTTGCACCAAAGATGTCAATAATTCGCGAGCAGTTCGAAGGGGCACAGCCGAATTGGGTACATGTTTTGTCAGGTACTCAAGAAACGTGGAGCGCAGAATTACAGATCTTTGAGGGCCATTCAGGATCGGTGAGCTCGGTGACATTCTCGCCTGACGGCCGGTTACTAGCGTCCGCCTCTAGTGATAGCACCGTCTGGATCTGGGATACGACCACGGGCGCTCTGCAGCAAAGGCTTGAAGGCCATTCGGGACCGGTTAAGTCAGTGACATTCTCCCCTGATGGCCGGCTAATCGCGTCCGCATCAGGCAGCCTTTTCAGCCCTGATGACGCCGTGCGGCTCTGGGACATGGCCACGGGCGCTCTGCAACAGAAACTCGAAGGCCATTCGGGGTCGGTTAACTCGGTGACCTTTTCTCCCAATGGCCGGTTCTTAGCGTCCGCCTCTCACGATAAAATTGTCCGGATCTGGGATACGGCCACGGGCGCTCTGCAGCAGAGACTTGAAGGCCATTCAGGGTCGGTAAATTCGGTGACATTCTCCCCTGATGGCCGGCTACTAGCGACATCCGCTTCAGGCAGCCTTTTCGGCTCTGATGACGCCGTGCGGCTCTGGGACATGGCCACGGGCGCTCTGCAACAGAAACTCGAAGGCCATTCGGGGTCGGTTAACTCGGTGACCTTTTCTCCCAATGGCCGGTTCTTAGCGTCCGCCTCTCACGACAAAATTGTCCGGATCTGGGATACGGCCACGGGCGCTCTGCAGCAGAGACTTGAAGGCCATTCAGGATCCGTAAATTCGGTGGCATTCGCCCCTGATGGCCAGACTCTAGCGTCAGCCTCTCACGATAAGACCATCGGGATTTGGGATACAACCACGGGAACTTTGCAGCAGAGACTTGAAGGCCATTCAGGATCCGTAAATTCAGTGGCATTCACCCCTGATGGCCAGACTCTAGCGTCAGCCTCTCACGATAAGACCATTCGCATTTGGGATACAACCGCGCGAGCTCTGCAGCAGAGCCTTGAAAGCCATTCAGGGTCGGTTAACTCGATGGCCTTCTCACCCAATGGCCGACTCCTAGCATCTGCTTCTCATGATAGAACAGTCCGCATCTGGGATACAACCACGGGCGCTCTGCATCAGGTTCTCGAGGGTCATCAAGATTCGGTTAACTTAGTGGCCTTCTCACCCGTTAGCCAGCTTCTAGCGTCAGCTTCAGGCGGTCCTTTCGGCTCTGATAACTCCGTCCGGCTCTGGGATACGGCCACTGGTGCTCTGAGGCAGACCTTAAATGTCGTTGGAATCGTTACCGACCTACATTTTTCCGCAAGTGGTTCATACCTCAGCACTAATCTGGGATTCTTTGAAATTCAACCCTCGCATAACAATCTGCTCCCTAGTCAACCTAGAACAGAGGCCACCACATGCTTTGTCGAAGGTCAATGGGTGACTCTTTCACAGAACAAGGCATTATGGCTTCCACCCGAGTATCGTCCTATGTGCTCGGCAGTCAGAGACAATATTCTTGCGTTGGGACACGCATCGGGACGGGTATCTATCCTCAAATTTTGTACCTCAGATGTGTCAGTACGAGTTTAAATCAATGTTACACTTCAATTCGATCACTTTAATGGAGGGCCTGGGAGATATTGAGATTTTCTTTCTGTTAGAATCTAGGGGACGAAGGAGAGAACAGAGAGAGATGATAAGGCTAAGTTCTCTAGAGGCGAAGGGATCTATCTAAGCTATGGAGCCCATCTGGGTCAAATGGCATGATGGAGACAAATCTATCAAACACTTTCATTCTACCCTGTACTGGAATATCTCGCAGATTTCAAGCAGACTCCACACACAATGCAGCAGTAACCAACAAACTCGCCGTCGATCATTTCGGTGAGACCACGTTCCACATCCGCTGTCTAAGCAGTGAAATGTGAGGAACGCTTGCCGGGCATCAGGCAGTTTAGGTAGGTATCATCGTCGTAAAGGAATGTAAGGCAGAAGAAGCACGGATGCTAGGCCTTGAAAGTCGACTGTAAGAAAGGAAGATCCTATCCTTGGAAAAAGGGGAATTCAGGACTAAGCCCAAAGTGGGCTAGGGTGTGTTATAATACGGTTCGGGAAAGATTTCATATGTGTACATAAGGGAATGTGTTTTCGACTCCCACTGTACTTCACCCGCGACGTCTCTACGGATCCTTACCTAGAAACCGGGCCTACTTACTAACGCAATTGCGAACTGGACATTGCTGGCTATCAACATACGCGAAGGCCTTTCGTTTCCGCGATGATGACCTACGCGCCTGTGGCGAACGCGAGAGTGTAACCCATGTTTTGCTGGACTGTCCGGAGCTGAGAGAACTACGGCGAGAGCTCCGAGGGAAGGTTGGTGAAGCGTTCAACAGCATGTCAACCTTGTTGGGGGGACCTGGCGAAGAGGGAAGAGGTAAGATCAACAGTGCTTCAAGGGCTAAGACAATGGAGGCTGTCTTGGACTTCGCCGAAGCATCACATCGGTTTCAAAGCCGAACACCATGAAGGCTGCATGAAAAGAAAACGGCTGTTGAGCCACGAGAGGCCTCGGCGAGGCATCAAGTTCGCTTAGGAAGTGGTACACGGCACATGTATGCATAGAGATATATATAGTTGCTGAATCCTGCATACAGTATCGTTCGCAAGGAGTCAGGGTAAATGAAATCATCATCATCATCATCATCATCACTGTACTTCACCGTACAGTAACCTGTAGTAATTTTAGCTAGCGACCGATGATGTCGGCGGAGATCCCAGGGATTCAACTTCACACCTCACACTTTCTTCCATTCAAGCTGCCTGTCAGTCAAATTACGAGTTTGTATACGTACGTGCACGCTGAATAACCAGTTTATCTATGAATCAACTACCAGGTACTGTTGGTCTATACTACGCCACTGTTTCCTCAGTTTTATCTGACTTTATTACTGATCGAACGACAATTGGCGGCGAGGACGAGGCACCCGGTGATCAACTTCAACATCAACAGCACGAAGCGCAACAATACCATCGTGCTGTATCCGCTTTGATTGAAAAGATACGTCACTGTAGTGAGGAGGAGCTCCAAGAGTTACTAAGGTCCATCCGAAACACGAACAGCCTGGCTGAGGCCGTGCAGCAAACGTTGGATCTTGAGTACTGTTGATGGACAGCTGAGCAGCGCTACAATTTGGAGTACTAGAAAGGACTGGGAGACGATCGTTGAACCTACACTCAAGAACCACGTCGATCAATTTGTTGATAAAGTAACGGTGTTGAGAATATCCAATGTCAATGGCGGGGTAGGAGGGTAAACGGGAATCATGCCTTAGTACGGCGTACTTATCTACGAGCAATAGCCAGAGGGGGTACAGACTGAGAAAGAAATTGAGTGTCTGGTGAAAATCTGCTTTCGAGCCCTGTGTGGCTAGGGGCGATTTTCTGCCCAACGCCAGAACCTGTAATCGATTGATCGGTTGATCATCCTTAACAAACTTTACTAGGACGCGCTCGTCCCTGACCTGCGCGTCGCGTGCGTGGCGATTCCCGGCAGAGTCAGTGGTAACTACTGGGTGGGGCCCCCACACACCGAGGGGACCAATAGGTGTGCGGAGAAGTCGGAGGGAGCCCTCACTCCTTTTAAGGCATTATGGATTAAGAGTATAAGGCCTTCTACCCTGCAAAGTAGATCATATCTTTACAGACCGATTCCCTGTGAATCACAGTATTCACGATATCTTTTCGGGCCTGAACTCCCGGCTACGTGACTTAACTGTCGAGTCGTTGGAAAACAAATCAGCGGTGTGAGCCATCTTGGTACTGAAGGTATACGTGGAAGTCTCTTTTGAACGGCGTCCTGCACTAGGCCCTTCACCTAAGAGATTCACTTTTCTATCACATGCTTGGAGTGGAGCAGTTGTGTATTGACTGTATGTTACACTACAACGAAAAACTGCATGGAATATGTAAAGTGGTAAATCCGGTCTTCTCTTCTTTTCTTCTTTTGTTCAACTGAATTCAACTCATCTTTTGGATTGGTTCCCTTTGGTAGATTTGCCCCTTCTTGCATACAATGCCATACCGTATCATATTGCTGTGACACTAATAGTTTCTGCATAGAACTGCAGAACATCAGATATACATATGCCTGAATAAGCCAGACGGATTGGACGGCTCTACAGTCTAAGGAAGGACTCCGAAGGAGAAATGCTTTCCAAAACAACGATCCAAGTAGCGCAAAAATAAGTAATCTTATCACAGAATATGACATGTTTGATTTTTGATAGATACATAGTATAGTGGAGGAACCGCTAACGGGTCTGTAGTAGGTTGTTAGCATTATGGTCCGTCTCGGGTCTTTGGGTCTTGTGGGAATTCTTGGCATATAGTCAATTCGTGCTCTATATCGAGAGTCCTTGTGAAAACATTCATCCATGCAAAAGGTTACAACAACAATAATGGAACCTTGATAAACTCTACAAGGGTCGTACGCGAGTTCGATGACAGAGGATATTATATTAAAAACAAAATTTGGTCTATATCCAAAAAGACGTATTTACAGTGATAGTTCCCAGAACTCCCAGAGCCCTCCAGTCTGCTTGATGCCGAGCGTCTCATGTTCTTCCGATTTCACGTGTTGATAACCCTCTCTCGTATATAGTCGATGTGCCGAAGTGAGCACACTGTTTGTCCATAAAATGATTCGCGAATAGCCCACCTCTCGTGCAAATTTGGTGCATTCGTGTATCAGTGTCTGACCAAGCCCAAGCCCCCGTGCACTCGGTTCCACAAGCAAAAGTCGTAGCTTGGCAACATTGTCGTCCGAACTTCGATCCTTGACCAACATCACACAGCCTAAGAACTCTCCGTTCCGCTCAGCGATCCAGCATCGTTCAGATTCTGGATCGTAGTTCTCGATGAATTCAGCGGTAATGCGGGCTACGAGAGCCTCAAAGCGCTCGTCCCATCCAAGTTCCTTTCTGTAGAGAGCGCCATGTCGATATACTATCCAGCCTATGTCACCAGATCGATGACTGCGTAGAATGTATGAATTGGTGGTTGTTTCCGTGGTGCCTCGCATTGGTAAGGGCCACATTAGGGAGGCGGTTCTAAAATTGGTCTGAGTTGGGACGCTTGTAATGGATGTGCAAATAGTCGCTTTGTTGGAACCGAACAGGGGTGAAGAGATAAGTGGACGCATGAGATGAGCGCATATCAACGCTAGACATCTTGGGAAACGATTTAGAAAATCCTGGCGTCCTCACTTTTGTAGGCCTAATTTCAAAAGAAACTTCCTCGGGTGGCGAACCCGGCCATGTCATTCCAAGGGCGCCGGAGAGTTTCCGTCGTGCCGAACCCGGCCATGTCATTCCAAGGGCGCCGGAGAGTTTCCGTCGTGCCGAACCCGGCCATGTCATTCCAAGGGCGCCGAAGAGTTTCCGTCGTGCCCCACTCTTAGCGGAACTAACAGACGTTGTGACTCTGAGGCGTTGACCGATTATCAGTCCCTCTGAAAGATTACTGAACGGGAACCGAAGTTAACTTGGTGAAAATTTTTGGCAATTTATTCCCGACGGATATTTTTATGCAGATCCGAAGCTCCATTTTATCTCTGTTAAAACTGAGCAGAAGTTCGGCCTACTGACATAACTGCGACGGGACATTGCTGGGTCTATTTACGCGAAATCTCACCGGTTGAGAGCCTACGACCTATACGCCTAGGCGCCTACGATACAGTGACCAGTGACCCACGTTATAGTGGACTATCCTAGCCGAATAGATCTGCGTCGAGAGACACGGGGGAGAGTGAATAATCATCATACAGTTTTCTGTTGCCAGTTTTACCCTAGTGCCTCGTGAGAAGAGGCATTCAATGCTGGACATTTCATATGAACCGTTCCTAGAAATTTCTTACTACAGCAGACAAAAACGAAAGAGTTAATACATGACGGTTTCAAAGTACCTCTTTAATGACGCAACCTATTTCTTGACCGCAACCACGAAGAGCCGGGGATAAGGAAGCAGCACACGGCCATTATATGTCGATGGGTAGGCTTTCTCTAAGCGCTTCTAGTACTCGCGCAGGAAGCTCTCTTTCTCTTAGGGAGACAAAGGATCCAAGTAGGGCCTTAGCCCGGTCCCTTTGACCCATTCAATAATAGCCGCATGGTTTTCAAGGTTATGATAATAGCTGGTATGCAAGATGTCCACTTTCGAACAGATCGGTTTAAGTAGGTCATGAATCTCTCGTGGTCTCTGGATAGTATCACGACCGACACTCTTGAGAGCCGCAGACCAAGGACCATTCTCAGCGGTCTCGCGCATGATAACATGAGATGGCTCTATGAGGTTGTCTGGGACTTAGAGAGCAAACACGCCGCCCGAAAGTTGAGTCTCTATCAATTTCTTGATAATACTGAATCGCTCATCTTTGTCGAGGCATTGGAAGACGGCGTTAGAGAAGAATAGATCAACAGATCCTTCCGGCGAGTAGGAGCGTAAGTCCTCAACGCTGAACTTGCGGTGTAGAAGGACTGTCTTGGCTTTGCGGATCATGTCCGGGGAGGAGTGAATTCCCAAGAGATGTGCGTTGGGATAGCGGGATTCCAGGACCACGGTTGAATGCAGGCCTACAACCTCAATTGCTATTCCTTTACTACAGGGACGCAATTTCCTTGAGTGGGGATAGAACGCCTAGATTCACGCCCTGGATGCACGCCCTACATGGACCCACTGAGCCTAATGAGCCCCACAAACGCCGAACCACTTAGCGTCGGTGTATTGTTCTCAGCTCCGGAATGTTTTGACTGGCTGCATGCATTTCGTTGTGAGCTGCTGCATGTTGTTGATTATAATGCGGCGGTTATCAACGGCTATCGGTTTTTTATGGGTCCGTACCCACTTGCTACGTCCAATATGCCGTACGAATTGTGTATTGCTTAGAAATTAATGTCTCGGCTTAAGTATTTTGTCATCAGGATAGTCTTGGGCGGCATTTCTGTCTTCCTGTTAGCGATAATTGTCCGCCGTGACTTATAACTCAACTAAAATTTCTATTTAGACACCAGAGACGATCCTCCAATCTTTCAAACCAACTCTCTTTCAACTACATTACCCACAATGGTCACTCATCTTAAGTTTGTCACGCTTGATGTCTTTACCACCACACCATTCAAGGGCAACCCCCTCGGCATTGTTCATCTGCCTCCAGGGTCACATATCTCCCAAACCCAGAAACAGACCATTGCTCGAGAATTCAACCTCTCCGAGACAGTTTTCGTACACGACGTTGACCCAAGCAACGATTCCGACCCGCACAGCCGCCGCATCGACATTTTCATGACGTCCAGGGAGCTTCCCTTTGCGGGTCACCCTACTATCGGCACAGCCAACTACCTGCATGTGCAGGGCATCAAGAAGCTAATAACTAAGGCCGGCCCCATTCCCATCCGTTTCAGCTCGGAAGAAGGCATCGTCAGCGCGGCTATCCCGCATGACACGCATCTCAACTCAAGAGTCTTTGGCGACATTGAATCGACCCTCCGCGTGGCTTCCTTGCACCCTACATCTGAGATCCGCTCTGCAGAACTCGAAGCTCCGCTTTTCAGCATCGTCAACGGCATGACGTTTGCCCTTGTCTGCCTCCCGTGTCTGGACCTCTTGTCCAAGGTCTCCCCGGGCGCATTCCCCTGTGCGCCGCGGGACGTTATCGACGCAGGGTGGAGCGAGACCTTCATTGCACGGTATTACTATGTCCTCATAGGGACGAGCCTGTCAGGTTCAGGCGCGAGGACGGTTAAGTTGAGGACGAGGATGATGGAGGAAAGGATAGAAGATTCAGCTACCGGGTCGGCAGCGTGCGCATTGGCGAGTTTTCTTGCGCTCAGGGAGTACAGTGAGACTCAGATTTTGTTCGAAATCACACAGGGCGTTGAGTTAGGGCGGCGGAGTGATATTGTTGTCGAGGTTAGGGTTGAGGTTGGAGAGGATGGGAAAAAGAGGGTGAAGGAGGTGCAGCTAGGGGGGAAAGCGAGACAAATTATGGAGGGTACGCTTGTCGTACCGCCTGTTTAAAGAGCAGATTGCAATCCATTCTAAGTCCGGGCTCATGGTTGCTCTGCACGCTTTAAAACACAGCCTCAGTGGAGGCATGTGCACTGTGTGAACCTCATAAGCACAGCGATCCTTGATCCTCCCCAGATTCGTGGCAGTGAATACAGGAAAACCAAATGTGATCAATTGATTCAGGTACAGCAAGGGCTACATGGGGTACTTTTTCTGAATAGTGTCCCGACACACTGAGACGAATGTTGTCCACGACCAAGGATCATGGACGCGGCTATCGTAACCTTTAGCAACTAGCCCAAAAGCAAAAAGGGCGCTGGCTCTATAGTCTCTAGTGGTTAACAATTTACGAATGAGCATGAACCGCATTTCGAATCGGGCAACTCATTTCGAAATATTGAAATTTCACGTTTTTTTCTGATTTCAATTTCATTTCAAAATATCTTGGCATTGATGAGTCATCATTCCCTTGACCTTTGTACAAGCTGAGAGGTCACGTTTCTGCCGCCTAAGGTCGAAGAACCCAGGCGTTTGATTGGTTAGCATAGTAGTCTTGCCTATTTAGGACTAGTAGGATTTCAAGATTTCAAGGCCGATTTCAAATTTTAGTTATTTCAAGAGGCCAAATTTCAGAAATTATGAAATTTCATTTTGCCATCCCTAATGAATCCTCAAACAGTGCAAACTAGACGAGGCACTCAAATCAACCAAGTGCAAGTGTCACCGGATCCCCCACTACACTAGTTAACTAAGTTTGGCCTCGCTTTCAACAATTTTCATTTTATTTAGCACAGTAAGGTTGACGGATTCGTAGAATTATTCCATGTCGATTATAACTTTGCTGTCCCTTCAAGCTTATGCCAGGCATATCTCTTAGCCCTTGGTACGCCTGGCAGACCGACGTTGCGAACCAGCTTAAGGCAATGCGATTGCCTCGATCTCCACGTCCGCACCCATAGGTAGCGCCTTAACAGCGACACAGCTTCGGGCAGGCTTATTCTTGAACCACTTTTCGTATTCCCCATTCATCTCCTGGATATTTTAGGGGCCATGTCAGTGTAACTTTCACTTTGACACGTACTTGCTGAGCAGGCAAGGTTGAGTCGACTCACGTCAAAGTAGGCCATGTCAGTGAGGAAAACGGTGACCTTGACGACTTTCTGTATAGAAGAGCCGGCCTCGATGAGAACAGCCTGCAAGTTGGCCAAGCACTGCTTAGTCTTCTCGGCGATGGAGCCTTGAACGAAGTTGCCGTCTGCGGTCACGGGGATCTGGCCGCACAAGTATATAGCAGTCGGGGTCTTGACAGCTTGGGACTGTAGGACAACCAGAACAAATACACGGTTAGACAACGATTTCGACACATGAAAAAGAAATGGTGGGTTAGACTGGGTGGGATGGTCATACATAGGGGGCCATGGCTAGAGAAATATGTTAACGAAGTGGTCAGTTCATCCATCTACCCTTTGGTTCTTGAAATAGTTTGCACGTACGCAAAGGGGCCTCCTTGGATACAATGATCGTAGCCTCGGACATGATGAATGGTAGCGATACTAATGACCAAGGTTGAGGAGTTGAGAGGATGGTTAGAGGATATTAAAGCTTGCGAAGAGGCTGAGCCTCCTATAAATACTATAGCGACTCGGTTTAAGAGGCAAAACACGAAGTGGGCCGAGTCCGGATTACAAATGCATCCAAGCTAACTAGCTAGGTATTTGATAGTGATTTTCCAGGACACGTCATATAAGTAAGCAGCAGCGATTGCGCTAACGAACCAGTAGTTCAATCCATGGGTATTCAACTGATTTTCGGTCTCTGAACGGTTAGCCACGGCTCTCAGTCAGTTGTGGAGGACTGGAGGTTCATTGCTTGCTGCCCTATGGCGCCCGCCCACGCCGTGCGTCCCAATTTGCGCGACTAATTTACTGGGTGCTGATCGGCTAGCATCGGCGATCATCAGCCTTGTTCCAACCCCTGGGCTGGGTACTCCGTAGAGATTCGTAGACTGTTTCGCTTCAGCCGATTTCGGAGATCGACTCTTTCTTCAATTACATGTCTGACATGTAGGTATAACAGCCTCCAATTTCCTGTTGTACCGGCTCATAATTCTTCAATCCGACTTGAACGTAGACATATATTATTCCATGTCATGGAGGCAACCAAGAAGGAGTTTCTGGTCCTTTTGAAAGACCACCCTGGGGCTTTGAGCAAGTTAGTGGAGGTGCGACAGTAAGTTAAGAATGTGGATATTTCTGTAGAAAGGGACCCTGACCAAGAATTGCTCCAGGAGATCCTCAGGGAGCCAGGCGGGCGGGGCAACCGGAAAGAGAATATGAACAATCTACGGCCAACTGGCAGATGAGACTATGCAGTTTTTGTTTGACTGCTTAGAGTTGGTTTGACAAGGTCTGTATGTCGTCCATAAATCCGATTTGGCCCACAACCCCGGAACGCGAGAAAGCAATGGCCAATTCGCTAGTGACAGCACCGCTTATGGAGCATTGGTGATCAGAGGAGTCTGCGCCCCTGGACGGCACCTTTTTGACAGAATCCAGGGGTATCATTTTCTCCGTGATGGTACAACGACTGAGTTTGGTGGGAATTCTAGCGACCCTCGAGCTCCAAGGGCAAGAGATGAGGGTGGCAGGGGCCAGATGCATATAAGGTTTCAAAGCTCCGGTGGCAGTGACAACACTCATGATGACTAAATATCCCGCACAATTGACCGAGAAGCTCAAAGGCGTCGGCCTTTGGTTTCGGCGTTTGTTCCATCATAGTCACGGAAATGTGGCACTCACCGGCGTGACATGCATTTAGGTACAGTTTCTAGTTATGGGATATCTGTCTCGAATCTGCATAGATGTAAGCATGTGGACCTGGACCATGCTTGGACTATTAAGCATATAGCTCGCAGTGGAGTATTCACATTCCCCAAATTCAGAAACCGAAATTAACTCTCCACGACCTGTACAGCATGACTGTTCTGCTTCAAGATCCCGGTGAAGTCCATCGCCAATCGTAGGGAACCGGTTCTCGTGATCTCCTCTCCAACCTCTGGCACGATGCCGAGATACCGACTGGCGGCGGAGGAACCACGGGAAGTGGTTTTGTCTCAACGCACTATGCTACCGGACGCGAGCGAGCTCGCCCCTCCTGCCGAAATGGGTTACATTAAGGATATCCAAGCTCGACAACCAGTTTAGAACCCAGGGTGGAACATGGTGGATGCTACGAAGTGTTGACCATCTTGACTCATACCGGTCCATGATCGGTCCAGGGAAGCTCCCGTGGCGTCCTGAAATCGCCGAAGAACCCCCCCCCCCCCCAATCTCCGGCCCGGCTTCTCGTAAAGTTGATTCACCTACTCCATATGGCCCACTACGCATAAAACACATGCTGTTCTTGAATTAGGGATTGATATCTTTTGACCACCATCAGACGAGTTGTAGTTCCTCCAAATCGGACGGCGCACTCGTTTTCGTATATACCTCAGGGCTTTTTCTTATTCGTACAAAATCGACCACTGAAAAGCATGGGCACCTGCAGGTTGATCTTCTGTTGGAACAATAAATGACCGTATAGACTAAGAATGTTGCCCATGGTGCATTCTTAGTCTAGTGGTATTATGCCCCATATTTATGCGATTCCTTCCATTAATTCCCCGCTCGGCATACAGCCAATTGTTGGACTGCCCTCGGGCCGCACGGTGTACATTTAATCCTGGTTATAACGAACTATTCTTTACAAGGATTTTCGATTCGTTAAGCCATGAATGCTCTACATCCAAGACCCACTATTATTTATACTGTATTTGCGTGGTACACCGGTAGGATGGGCCACGGAGGGTACTTGGACTGGTCCTGTAGAGAGAAAAATTGGTAAATTTTGTACGGGGCCGGTTACTTTGCTCTTTCAAGATCGCGGTGAAGTCCATCATCAATCGTGGAGAAACTGTTCTCGGGATCTCCTAATAGCTACCAGTGCCCCCGGCCTCGGCACAATATCGACTGGCGGTGGTTTTGTCTAAACGCATTGTGCCTTGCTGCTGGAGCCGGGTTCGCTCGGAAACACTGCCGAAATGGGACAATGCAAGAGATATCCGAGCTGGATAACGACAACCAGTCTACGGAGAGAACTCAAGGATAGAACATGGGGGATCCCACACACGTAATTCAAAAGCGAGCTGGCCACCCCAAATTTGCAAAATATCATATAAAATGCGATCATTTACAAGTTTATATCTGTTTAGGATAAGATATCAAGCGTCTATAATCTAGATAGTGTTCTTAATCTACTGGTGTCGAACAGGAATATTACTTCAAGTAAAGCAGATTATATCATATAACGTGGATCCCGGCGGGTCCGTCATCCCTGCCGGTCCGTCACCCATCAAAACTTCAAATTTTTACCCTTTTTTAAACATCATTTACCCAACCAAAACACCATTAAATTGACAAATTAAATATTTTGCGGGCATTTAGAAAACCTATGCCCTTTTCCGCCACATTTAGAACACGTAATTTGCCGACGTACAGGGGGCAAAACAGGAAGTGTAGGTTCAACCTGGGGTTCTAGAGCAGGTGTAGTATCAGATATATATCTTACACCACCACCTCCCTCACCACTAACATTGTAGTGAGGTCTAAAACCTCTGTTAAACTACCTTTATTAGGTATTCGCTTCTTTGATTTCTTCCTCTTTTTCGTCTGCTTTTCTGTTTCCCTCCCGTAAACGCTTTATTTCATCCCGCATTAAGATGTGCTCGTGAACTAGCTTAACCGACATATTGTAAAACTGTTGAAGATCACGTTTTGTAGGCGAAGAGATCTTATTAGCCGCTGAATTTAGACGACAATCGAGCCTAGATTTGCGTTTTTCTAGTTGCTTAGTCGTTTGAGGGATGCCAGTAGAGATATTGCTGCCTGATGTTGAACCTTGTTAAACTGGTCGATCTGGTAGAGGCGGAGATTGAAGACGAATATTGAGCTTTGATAACACCCGATCTGGGTCTAGTGGTACTAAACCAGTAGCTGCGAAGGCACTCTGAATGATAGACTCTTTAAATGAATCATCACGGGCTGCTGGAAAAATATCAAGGAAATCATCTTTCTCGATAGAATCGATGCCTAATCGGGTATATTCTGCAACCCGCGTTCCATAAGAGCGCTTTAATATAGCAAAACAACCAACATCAAGAGGCTGTAAAAGATGAGAGGTATGCGGAGGCATACAGACTGGTATGATGTTGTTTTCCTGGCAAATCTTGTCGAATGTTGCTGTAAGATGACTGTCGTGGCCATCGAGGACCAAAAGACGGTGTTTCCCTCTCGTCTGACTTGTCGTGTGCGGAATAAAGTGAATTTGGAGCCAATCCACACCAATTTCAGTACTTGTCCAGCCGTTTGGACTAACGTTAAGAGCCCAATGCTTTGGAAGGTCGTCAAACCATCGTACCATGAACTGTTTCCCCTTGAAGATAACGTATGGTGGGAGCGCTCGTCCAGAGGCGCAAATTGATTCGATAACAGTCACCCATTCACGATTGCCAGCTTGTAAAACGCCCCTCCGACCGGTGTAAAATGAGTGCGTAATAACCTTCGTCGTCGCACTAATTCCCATCGCAAACCCCGATTCGTCAAAGTTGTAGATATCATCTGAAGTGATACCATATTGAGCTATCGTTTTTTCGATAAGCTTAAACCGCTCCATAATAGTATTTGGGTCTTCCATTAGGGCGCGTTTGTAGTCATATTTGCGAGAGAATCGAGTAGTAAGCTCAGGATGTCGTTTGATATATTGTGTTGGCCAATTTTTGCCAACGGTCTGGAGGGCATTATCTCCGCGGTGTTTAAGCAGTAAATTGGCCATATCTCTCAACATCGCGATTGTAAGCGCTGCGCCTCTCTGATCCATAGAGATTAACCAATCCTGAATTGATTCCTCTTCCAGTTGCGTGAATTTATGGCCTGTACCTCTTGCTTCATATAGATTAGGAATGCCCTTTATCCGATCAGCAAGAGTTGTGCGGGGGACATCAAAAGAGCGAGCAGCAGCAGCTATCGCGGTATTTCTGCCATTTTGAATAGCCTTAATAGCAAGCAAGATCCTGCCTTTCTGCTCAATTGATTTTTGAGCCTTTTGACTGCGTTTTGGGGGCATGGTAGGCGTTCAAGAATAGGTGGCTGGGTAGGGGCAGAAAATTTGAGGTGAGATGACGGACCGGCAGGGATGACGGACCCGCTGGGATTATTATTATTATCATTATTAATTCCTCAGGCTTTTCACGACCTTAGGTCGTATGTAGCCCCCTAGCTCGTGTGCACTGCTCCATAGGATATATACATTTGATAGCGTTACCACATGCGAGATGTGCGATTCAGATCTTCTTCCTCTTCACCCTTCAGGAGCCAACCGTCTTGTCTCCACTGCAAACGCGATGGCGGCTCTGACAATCTTAATATCCGGTTTCCAAGCTCTTCCATTCGCTACACACGAATCTCCTCCAATCTCAGGTTTACCTCCTAGCATCTGTTACAGATTACCGAAGCTCGGCCCTGTAGCCTCAATCAGCGCGCGACGCTGCTCATTCCACCGTGTACATCGAAGCAAGAAATGAGGGACTGTTTCTCGCTCAATGCCACATTCACACAAATCACTATCGGCCTTGCCGATTCGATGAAGATATCCATTCAGTCTGGCATGTCCCGTGCGGAGTTGAGCTAGTATCGCTGCTTTCTCCCGATCCAGGCTGTCATAGCGCATCTTCGTGTGGGGTCCTGGGAGTGCCGAATCCAGCTGGCGAGTAAACTGGCCAGTGGTCCACAGTTGGAAGTGGTTCTTCCGGTGTTGTTTAGTATTCGCCCAAACCCATCGCAATGCCGACGCCCGGAGCTGGGCTTGCGCCCAGGGAGGGGGCTAACTTCGCAGTTCTCTTCTGTTGCTTCGCGTGCGAGGGTATGTGTTCGTGTAGTATTCTCGCGGTCTTCATCAGTTGGTGGCTGCAGGCTAACCTTAGTCCCCATCTCCAACAGCTGGCCGATTGTGTTGGTGATCCTAGTGATAAGAGCCTGTCCGCCTTGAAGGTGCGGCTTCGCAAGCGAAAGCAGGACAGCAGGGTTGCTCACGACGATCATAACCTGGATTTTGTACGGTGACATCTGGATACGAGGGAGCATTGTCACGACATATGAGACAGCCTCCAGCACCATCCCCAGCTGTGCGTAATGAGCGTTGAGCGAGTCATCGTTTCCGACCGTCCGGTATGACGAGGCGATATCGACTTGGTTAACACGAACAATCAGCCCCACTCCAACCAAACCATTGCGGACGCTGACACTGGTGAACAACCAGAGACGGGCATGGCCAGCCTCATGCAGCTCGTTCATATCAGATCCAACAGTGATGATCAACTCCCTGAGAGACCGTTGCCATGGATCTAGAGGGAAGGGTCGAATGACCTCCATGTCAGACAAGCATTGTGGTCCGTACTTCGCTAGTATTTTGAACGGTGACAGATACCTCCCATTCTGCATTGCGGCCGCCGCTCGACAGGACCAGAAAGGGTGATCCCTTGGTAAGGTGTGGCAGATGATCCAATGCTTCATGATGCGTGCTCGAAGGCGTACGACAGTCGGTTCAATCCCTGCCTCTGCCTCGGCGATGGCGAGCGCTGTGTTCCGGAAGACGCCCACGATCGCCTGAGACGCGACTCGCTGGATGGCTTCGAACGGCCGTCCGGTTCCCGCCGCAGCAATAGAATCCTGTCGTATAGGGGCACCACACCGATGCTGCATAGTCAATCTTTGATGTGACTGTGGAGGTAAAGAGCTGGCGAGCTACCGAAGGAGGTAACCGGCGTAGTTGTCTTAGTGCAAGGACAGCTTTCATTCCTTTATTCACAGTCTTCCCGATATGTGATTTGAACCGTAGACCCTGGTCGAGTATCACACCAAGAATCTTAACTTCAGGCGCTGGGGCAACACTCGCTCCGTTTATGTGTAACGGGACCGCAGGCAGTTATTGCAGCCGCTGGTTCCTTGTGAAGTAGATGAACGATGTCTTCTCCGCCTCGAAGGTTGCGCCAGATTGCGCCGCCCATTCTAACGCTCGTGGGATGACCTTCTGCTGGAGTATGGTTGTATTCGCCTCAGCAGACGAGCCTACCGTCCAACGTGTACAATCGTCAACAAAGGCGAGTGCTCCCTTTCTTCTGGTGATAGAGACATCCACCAGATTTGCATTCAGGAATAGGAAGAGAATAGGAGAGAGCGGCGAGACTTGCGGTAGGCCCGCATGCTCGATAGCCATTTCCTCGGATTGGTACATATTTACGATGATCGACGCCCGTCGCGAGGAGCAGAAACTGTCAACCCATCGGATTAGGACCTCCGGGATTCTTCGTTCTCGCAGTCTCTGCAACAGGACACCCCGGTCCACTCCGTTATATGCACCCTTCACATCGAAGCTCACCAGACTGAGGACTTTGCCCTCACGCCACGCATCGTGTATCTTTTCCATTAGGATGTTAAGCGCTTGCTCGCATGACCGCCTCTGGCGAGCGCCAAAATGATTTGGGGGCAGTAACTGGTGCTTTTCGACTAGGGCTGAGATTCTGTTGGCGACGACTGCTTCTAGTACCTTTCCGAGAGTCGCCAACAGCGAGATAGGGCGGTATGATTTTGGCAACGATGGGTCACGTCCACTCTTGGGTATCACCACGATCTTAGCTACCTTCCATTCGCTGGGGAAGTAGCTGAGTCGGAGTGACGCTTGGAAGATTTCGACGACCCATTGTTTCACAGTAGGCCATATTTGTTGCCATACCACCACCGGCAGCGCGTTTGGTCCGGGGGCTTTCCATGATGCCATCCTCTTTAGAGCCACTTCGATCTCGTGTTCCGTGATCATTTCCATCGGAAGGGCGTCCGGCAGCGATTTGTCTCTTGGCGGCTCATCCTGGATATTGGGCGGCGGCGGAAAGAAGGTCCTAAGAAACGTATGGGCCTTTCCCTGGTCATCATTGATCGTCTGGTCCCCGAGCGCAGTGTAGGGACTATCCCTATGGATTGGTCACCTGGCTGGAGATATCGTGCCGCTTTCCAGATGTTGTCGGTATTGTCAAGGAACTCTCTCCAATGCCGTCGTTTGGTGTCACGGATTGCTCGGTGGTACTGTCTCCGTAGATACAATGCCGTGTCTTCCAGCGCCGTAAGGTCGACTCCATACCGCCGAGCTTGCGTGCATCGATTTCGGGCCCATGTGTACGTGTTTCGCAATGCCGTTAACTCCGATGTCCACCATCGCTTGCCGTATGGGGATGGCCGCACAACCGGGACTAGCTGGCGAATTGCTGCGCTTACCCTGCGAGTCAAGTGCCCTGCAGTCGCGTCTAGTTCGGAGCGGTCGGTGATATCTGTGATATCCGTCTCTAGGTCTCTTAACTCCCTGTTGATGTCGGCCCATGGAGCTTCACGGAATGAGAAGCGGATTGTCGGGGGAGGCGTTGGTCGTGCTTCGCTCTGGAAGGTTGTTTCAATTGCACGGTGGTCTGACCCATGTTCAACAGGGTGGATGCGACACCGCGTGACCCGCCTGCTCAGGTCCGTTGACGCAAGGACAAGATCGATGGTCGACCGATATGGGCCTTCCTCCCGGGTAAAGATCCCTCGGGGCAGTAAGCTTGTTAAGCCCCAGTCCGCCATGAGGAGCACAATTGGTTCTGCTTCACCCTGGCGGTTCCGCGTGGCCACTTGGTTTCCTCCCCAGAGCTGGTCGTGGCGGTTAAAGTCTCCCACAATGAGAATGTCAATGTTGTCCCCGTACTCGCTCTGGACTCGATGATAGGCTTCCCGGATTGCATCCAGCCCTTGAGTTAGTGTCCTAGTTCCTTCGCTCCCTTTGCCTGGCGGAATATATACTGATACAGTTAGAGTTGGCGAGGGCGTAAATAGCAGTACGGCGACAATGTCGGCTGACGCAACGTCGATCTGTCTGTGCGGGAATGTCTTTTTGTTCGCCCAGATCATGCTCCGGTGCTGCCTCAACCCTCCGACTAGCGAATGCCGCTGTGAGGGCCAAAGCGGTGTCCAATTAGCATGTGTATGGGAGCATACAGTATCGTTCATCAGGAAAACATATGGTTCCGAGATCATCAGCAAGTCACAGGATTGCAGCGGCCGGTCGTTCAGGAGGCTCAGTTGGGTCTCGGGGCCCTTCCTCAGATTGGCCTGTAGCACACGCAAATCTCTACTGGCTACCATTGTGTCGAGAGTCTGCTCGTCTGGCTATCATCTCCTGCTCTCGTCGACGGATCACTTTCCACGCTTCATCCCATTTCGGGCAGTTGCGGTCGCTGACGGCGTGGTTGCCCTGGCAGGCGGCACATTTAGTGATATCAGATGTGCATTGCTGGATGCGGTGGTGGCCCGCACATTTGCCGCAGGCTTCAGGGTTTGGGCACCGGTCTTCCTTATGATTATACTGTTGACACTTGCGGCAGCGCAGGGGTCGCTGTCGCTCATAGAATCTATCAGAGAACGCTGCTTCCCCACGCACATGGGCGATACGACGGCTAAGCAATGCATCTGCATCTGCTTGTCGGCACAGATATATAGCCATAGATCCGTATCGTTTCTTTCCGCTTAGCCAAATGATCTTTTTAACCTCTCAGACATCGTTCTCGTCTTGGAAGCTTCTTGCGAAATCTTCCCGTTGCGCCCCAGACGCTTCAAAGACACTTTCCTTCTTGACATCGTTCAATTTGATGGGGAACCATTGTTCGCCCTGCAGCTTAGCACGTGGTAGGGAGTCTAACCAGTGCGTTGCCTGGCGAAGATTCGCGACGCTTTCCTCCGAGTCGACAAAGATCTTCACCGTAGACCGCGAAGTAGGTTTTACCCCCACAATGTCGACGTCCGCAGTTGTAGTATCATCCTGAAGTGCAGTACAGATCCTCTTCCGTGTCTGCGCGAGGTCGTCCACTAGAGTCTGGGTATCCTCTCTAGCAGAGCGTAGATCCAGTACCACCGCAGGGAGGCCCAGTCCAGTGCGCGCCGCCCGGGTGTTAGACGATGCTAACGACGATTGCGAAACGATGGATGCCCAGCTTCTTCCTGGGCTGCTGACCTGAGTACTAGGCGACGTGGTGGGTGGCCCCACTGACACCGACTGGATTAGTTCTTTCAGGTTGGCGACCTCCTTGTGGAGCTCATGGACCTCTTTCCGCGATTCATCCAGTTCCTTGCGATATAACGCTGCTTCGGCCGCGATGGCCTCCACGTTCTTGTATGCTTCTGACATGCGTTTGCATTCCTCCCCAAGTTCGGCGTTTGCAACCCGAAGCTCGGTGTTCGCTCGTAGGACCGGTTTAAGGTAATGCAGAATCTGCTGCGCTAGGCCCTTGGTTTACGCCTAGCACAACAGACAGAACCCCGGTCAGTAGAGGGAATGGCACGTGACCAGTCTGGGTTTTCGTCCGAGTTTCTATTGGCTGAGAGTATTTCATCTTTCCTGCCACCAATTTTCAATAATATGTAAAAAGAGAAATGGTTTTAGAGTCTGGCGGATGCGGGCCTTCTAATCATACTAAAATAATCTCCATCCGGGCGTTGTGGTGTTGTGGTCACCTGCTGGAAGGAGGAAGAAGCCCTGCGTAATGTCGGTGTAGATGTCACGTGAGACAGCGCGGGCAGCGTGAGGCAACCCCAATAAAACTCCTCCCTATAATCCGTTCTGTCATTGATTGCTGGGTAGTCGGCAATATCGGTCTCTCATTCGGAACGCGTAAGTGCGTATATGGAGTGATTGTTGTCCATTCCTAATTTACAAGACATACTGAGCTTTGTGGTAGTGTTGAGGTGTCGGCAGCGTGCAATTTGCCCTTTGCCGCAACATGCTATGGGCCGGAGTACCGAGCGGCCCCCCCCCCGGCAAGAAGTTTCGGTCGCCGAACTCTCCTTCTTCCCACATTCTCTCTTGTTGGATGACCTTCACAACTCACCCGAGTTTAACTTTTGCTTCTACCACAGGTACAGCTGAAATCTAAAACGTATCAGAATTCAGCGATTATTGGTTTGGTTGGATTATTTTCCTCCCAGATTATCTGCCTGAACCACCGCATTACCAAGACCCCGGACTGCTACCGCCCTGAACGTCATGCGACCACCGGCCGTTTTTTGGGTCTTGCAGCGGGTGCATGTAAAGTCAAGTACCCGACTCGCGGGCCGTTGCACTTTATCAGCAATAGACACTTGTCATCCACTTGGTGGACAGACGCGCTATATCTCATCAGCCATGCAGAACGGTCAGTTCGTCCCGCGCCAAATTGAGCAACCCGGCACCAACAGGACAGCCATACTACTACGGCAGCGAAACCGGCCCAACACAGCTACTGTACACTGAACAATCTTCACTGACTATTATCTCTTAGAGAAAGATATCAAAGTTGGTCGCGGCGTGTCCCTCCGCCTCATGCCCCTTGGGGGATCGGTAACGCAGGGGGTGGGTCGTCTACTGGCGCGGGATATAGACGACCGCTACTACAAATGCTTCAGGAACATGATTTCGAAGTACAGATGGTTGGTTCGCGCCAAACGGGTTCAATGCCCAATAAATACCACGAGGGCTGGCCAGGGTTGAAAATCGATGAAATTCATAAGAAAGCCAGACTTTCCACGTCACAATTACTGCCCGATGTCTTTGCTGTTAATGCTGGGTCAAATGACTGTCTCCAATCTTTCAAGCTCGACGAAGCAGGGAAGCGATTGGGTGACTTGCTTGAGTATCTTTGGCAAACCTCTCCGAGCTCGACGGTCGTTCTCTCTACTCTAATAGTCAACGCAGATAAACAGGCTAACTCAAACATCACGTATGTGAACGACCAATTCCGCGGTCTCGCAAGGCAAAAAGCAAACGAACAGAAGAAATTTGTTTTGGTCGACATGAATTGTGAGGCGGGTCCTCAGATAGACCACTTAGTTGATGGTGTACACCCTGATAACGAGGGCTATGAAAAGATGGCGAAGCTGTGGATGAATGGATTTCTGGAAGCCTTGCAAAAGGGATTCCTGCCGAAGTAGGCAAGAAAGGGTGAATAAATGGGCAAGTTATATTGCATATTATCACAACAGTTGGAAAGATAAGTCTGCACCTCTGGTCTATCTGAAAATCGAAACGTTTTTTATCCAGCAATCCTTTCAATCAAATTATTTTTCTTCATCGGGTCAGTTGATTTAATATGCTCTACAGCGGCTGATCTGACTAGATCCACGCCTAATGAGGTAGCTACTCACGAGGTTATACTGCAAGACTCTATTCATCTTATTCCTATCCTAGAGAGAGATTTCTCCTAATTTTATGACTTTTCAGGGATCTCAGTTACCCACTCATGCTGAGCACGTCCGTACATCATGTCTCCCAGCCACCCCTTGATCTTTCCGGTGATTTCTGCGGGGCGACCATCAGGACCAGTTGGGATATTGATGTCCTTTCCACGGTGGTGGATCTGTGAAATAGGAGTAATAAACCACTTCGAATCGTCAGCATCAAGTATCATCCCGCTGGAGGTGTCAAAACTTACAGCTGTACCAGCAGCAAAAGATTCAATCAGTCGATTCTCAGCAGCCGCTTCTTGCAGGTCCTCAATTGTGAACTTCCGCTCGGTGACCTCAATCTCGTCCTTCAAGCGCTCTCTTGCCAATTCAATACAACTTCGGCGAGTAACTCCATCCAAGATCAGCTGGTCATCTAACGGAGCAGTCATAAGCTCTTTCTTCCCGTCCTTGCGCTTCCATAGAACAAAGAAGTTGCTACCCCCGGCCTCAGTGCAAAATCCCTCTGTGCCATACAACCAAAGGATTTGGTGATATCCCTGACGTATAGCTTCTTGATTGGCCAAGACTGACGGGCCGTAGTTGGCTCCAACTTTGGCGTAGCCGAATCCTCCAACCCATGACCGGACCATATCATCCGGCGAAGTCAGCAAGCGTTTCCCGCCCACTGGGGTATCAACACGAGGCGTGTAACCAATGATGATATACAGCAAAGCTTCTCTTGGTGTTGTCACACCAAGCTGTGAGTCTGTGCCGATCATTGTCGGTCGCACGTACAAAAAATCGCCGGCGCGGTCTTGAGGGAGCCATTTTGAGCCCTCGACCGACACGAGTTTGTGAATGAGCTTTTCCAGCTCATCTGGGTCGAATTGAGGCAGAGAGATACGCCCAGCAGACATCAGAAACCGACGAGTATTGCGATCAGTACGAAACATCCGGAGCTTTCCATCTTCTCCCCGGTAAGCTTTCAGGCCCTCAAAGCATTCGTAGGCGTAATGTAGGCATGATGCGCTTGGCAGGAGGCCCAAGGGGCCGAAAGGCTTCAATTCAGGCGCAGACCAACCAGCGCCAGCCTTCCAAGAGGCAGTAATCATGTGGTCCGTGCATATAGTTTCACTGCCATTGCGGAGAGCAGCTTTGCTTGGAACCTCTTGAGGGTTGCTGGTGTATGTGCAAGTCAATTTGGACGCGTCGAGGGGCTGTTGGTCGGCCATGTTGGGCGTAGACACAAAATGAAAGGAATTGACTGGACGAAGGCAGTTGTAAAATTACAGTTCCGGATAGCAGTATATATATTATAAGAAGGTTCGACACTCGAGGTCCGATATTCAGTGTCTTTCTTCGTGTCCGAGCGCCTTTCGAACGGACACGGGGAGGGAAGACACGCCCTGCCAAGTCTGGTTTGTGGCCCCGGTAAAAAATCCATTATGCCGGCGCCACACATGAACCGAACCGGACGGTTATCATCGGATTACGAAACCAGTCATATATCTCAGTATGCTTCCCGAGGTCGTTAGAAGGTAGTAAGTGTCACTGATGTTCAGAGCCAAAGGCAATCGCACCGCGTCTCCTCCTCCCGACAATATTCAATATTAGGTAATTCTTGTTGGCTTTCTTGAGTAACTCGGAATTTGATGTCGTCTATCTTTAGTGGCTCAAATTGCAGCCACAAAGGGAGCAGCCATCGGTACCAACTTAGGACAACAACCTTTGAAGCAAAATGTAATATTTTATGCTTGGTGCTAGCTCATCAAGATCCAACAGTATTGGGCAGCCAATTAAGTCCAGCCAGTTATCTAACCCCTTCCCAAGATTCCGCCTATCTTCTCTTTCATTTTTGTAGTATTAGTTCAATCAGACATCATCGGTCACTGATTTTATATTTTTTTATCATGGGTGGGGTTGGGGGGGGGGTCTTCGGGGTTAGAGCATCAGTGGACTTCCCATCTCTGAAGCGATATCCTAGGCTGATATTGTCGGGATATATTCTCCTGTCAGAACAAACTGGCTGTGACCCACTGCTAGCGACCGATGGATAATATCCCTTGCTTGGTGTACGCATTCTTGCGCTGGGCTGTGGCCTCGGTGTTGTGACCGCCGAAGGCCGGCGTGCGGGATCTAGGGGTGTTTTTCCAACTAGACACACATCAACATCTATCAACATCTATCAACATCTATCAATTGACTTTTGCTTTGGAGCATACACTCTGTCCACTTAACTGTGTACACAGTACCAAGCTGGTGATACCAACAGATATCTTATTTCCAAAGCCAAAGGTATCAAATCGTCTAGCCAAGTAATCTTGGGAATATCAATTATGTCGCAATCGTGACAGTCATTCGTCTGGATGTTTGGCTGGCCTTGCGACTCTGGTAGTCATCGGCAAATACCTGATCGATATTATTCTGGATCTTTCACCAAATCTTTTACTTTGTATTTTACACCGTACCAACAACAAGCCTCGGTCTACAATACGAAGCAGGCTCAGTAGGACTCGCATTTGGCTGTTGGAACCCGAATGATAATTAATTTTCACTGTTATCGAAATTCAGGTGACTGCAGAGGAAGAGGAAGAGGAAGAGAAAACTGGTGGTCAAATCACCAGACACATGTCAATCACAGTTACGAGATCTAGAAGCTTTGCTAACTCACCCATTCAATGAAAATTCCCACCCAAATATGTGTGGTCGGACAACAGAACCTGTAGGGTCATCCTTCCGACCACGGCATCCGGAGTCCAGACAAAAGCGCCGAGTACCGATTATAGGGCCATGGGGACTCGGGGTTATCTCATCGACACCGGTTGATAAGGATAGAGTTCCCTTTCTTATTTTCCTTTATTTTCTTGATGAACTTTACCTGAACACCCTGCTTTTTGAAAGATTTCTCTTTTTCAAGAGCGTGTATCATTTTTACCATGGCAGCCCAAGCTAAACAAGTTATTCTAACGAGCAAGGCACCCGCGCCCAAGCCATTTCTGTCTCAGGCTGTGACTCTGAATGGCCTGGTTTATACATCAGGAGCAGTTGGCATAGATCCTGCGACGGAGAAAGTAATCTCCGGAACAACTGGCGATCGAACCGTAAGTTGTTAGGCTTTTATATGACGAGAACCTCTCGCTAAAACATAGCAGGAACAATGTCTCGAGAATCTTTCTAATATATTAGAAGCTGCGGGTAGCTCCATAGAAAAAGCTGTAAGTTCGATATAACCGTTTTATAACTACCAAGCGAAACAGAACAAAATCTCACGCATCTAAATTGGAAATGAAGCTCAAGGTCACTATTTTCATCGATGATATGGCCAAATATGCTTCTATGAATGAAGGCTATCTGAAGGCTTTTAACAAGGGAGCCATGCCGGTATAAACTTATCAATTTCAAATCTGGCAGTCATTCTAGTTTGCTAACTGAACCGATTACCGCTGGTTAGGTCCGGATCTGTGTTGCTGTCAAACAGCTACCTCTCGGCACTGATGTTGAAATTGAAATTATCGCGCACCAGTAGTCTTAAGAGAAGGCATATAATGACAAATGATCTCAGGTTCCATATTTTATCCACATTGAGGGCCTGGTCAGGTCACATTGTGACTCTATGCTTGCCCCACGCGCATGACATAATTCAGTTTCCATAATTCACAATTATGAGGCACAGGCTTCACTGATTTACCTAACTGATATAAATGTAGACGATAGACCTGTAAATAACCTGGTTCACCTTCTTGCCTCGATCGTTCATGAATTTGATATTGTTGAGATCTAAGGTTTTCCTAGAGGCTTTGATACTAGAAGAAGCGAATCAGTCTAATTTTATTTTTCATTCTTTTACAGCAATTGTTATTATGTTGGTGCGGTTTAAATTCAGCAAAATACTGACGTTGGAGGGCGAAATAAAATCGATACCAACATCGAATCTGCAAGGGATGGCACTATACGAATATGTAGAGTAAATGGGCCGCCCTGTTCAATTGGCTAATCAGATGCCTCGGATAATGGGTTTCCTGCCATCGTTAGTTACACAGTAGTAAGATCATATGGAAACAGCAGATGCTTTCATAGCAAGAGATAAATCTAATGAGTACTACTCTGCCACTGATAGTACAGGGATTATCGATATATACACAAATGGCTCTATTTTAGTGCCCCAGTATATGCTTGAGTTCTTCCAAGCCCCTGAATGGAAAGATGAAGATTTTGCAAGTGGATACAATGTAGCTCTGGTGACTACCTGCACAGATCGAATCTATGATAATTGCTCGCAAATCCAAGCGCCCTCTCACTCATTGCATTTTCAAGTGGTTGATCTACTACTTGATGGTAGGAGGGCCCAGCCTGCAGTGTCACTTTCGGGGCTAAGTCATTTTTTATCGAATTCAATTTAATCTAATTCATCCCTTGAATCATTTATTTGGTAGCTCCTAAATCCAACCCTCCATAATCGCCTGGAGAGATCATAAGAAGTAATTTCCAGTACTTGAGGTAATCACACAAGATGCGCTTTCTGTTCCAGATACTAGCGCGTAGAGAATTTATTTAATTCTGCGTAGGAAACTATAGAAGTAGTGAAGAAGTGAGGATTAAACAGGTAATACATGATTATGGCGCGTATATGTAGGTGCTAACATGTCGGATCATGACACTGAGGTAGGAGGGTCTATTAAAAGCTTTGCGGATAAGGATCCTCCATTGCCGAAGCAATATGTTATTCAGCGTGCTTCGGGGAGAGCCTGAATACCTTCAATACGCTTGCATGGATAAAGTACTATCTTAATCGATAGTTTTACTTAAATATCCGCTATCTTGCACCTGCTTCAGTGTCAATTTTATTATTTTATAAGGTGATCCTTTGATCGTCAATACTACAGTATTACAGCCAATATCACGCTAAATAAAATTAGCCTTAGAAGAAGCCCTAGCTTTGGGTCAAATGGGCCAAATGGGCCGGCCTGTTGGCCATGTACAGGTCTAATCCTATGGCTACGGAACCTGTTTATTTACTCTTCTTCAAGTGCTAAACAATTTGCATGCTGGTACTACTTAAATTATTCAATTCAGTTGTAGTCCTTAACAAATAGAGGCTGTGCTTTCCAGCCTGAAAATATCCTCAGTCGATCTGGCCAAGTATCAGTGTTCTCACTGATGTCTGAAATTGCTCTGTTCGTTGCATATCTACGAATTCGGATAATTAGTTGTAGAGAAGGAGTACACGAGCGGGCGGTTGCTGGTAGTAAAGATAAGAATTAAAGTAGATGTTCCAAGATTGGCGATGATGCAGGTGTGAGCATTTCCCTTTGTTTTCCCACTGGTGAAGACTCTATATTGCTATATTTTAAGTAGATTACAGGACTGGAGAGCTAAGTAAGTAGCTTTTGCTGGAGCAAATCTACGCATGATTTCTGATTAAAGTGAATCCGCTCTGCTATAATCCAAACCTAGTGGGCTAAACTAATTTCACATGTATCTTCTGTCCACACGACTCAATTCTTAATTGTTTCGCATAAGCTCACACAAGTTCAATCCAAGGATTTTCCCGACTTCTTCAAGACTCTTCATTTGCACAGCAGAGTACCATGTATCCAGATCCGAAATCTTTGTACCCATGGCTTTCTCTAGGCCCGTCGAGTCTGCCACCGAATGGCTCACGTCAAGTGAACACTTTGACGCACATTTTGACACATTGTCTGTCTGTAAGTTTGACTGGAAAATTCCTGCTGCGGAGAAAGGGAGGAAATCCTCGTATGTGATGGGCACAGCATCCACGATGTTCATGGAAATTAACTGTTCCAGAATAGGCCCATCTTTCAGATCCAACGATGACATAGTGGCAACTCGTTTTACGTGGAACTCGCAGTATATCAGATTCTGTTGCCTAAGGTCCTTCCAAGTATCGGGAAAGTCTTTGAAAACTTTGGTGGTAATAGCATTAGCTTCGGAGACTGTGACCCCCGCGGATTGCCTTTTGGATTCCTGGAGTAATCTGTCATAAAGCTCTCGGCCTTTTGGAGTGACCGCGGCACCACGTTCTTCGATCTCCCCAAAACGCGCCTTGTGACTGGCCTGAATCATGAGCTCCTGAGACCCAGACAAATCCGTGCCCTGGTTCTCGTTCTGCCTAAATCGAACGGCCTCTTCTAGAGCAAGAAAACTGGTTTGTCGCAAGAGGACTGGGCATTCACGAGCGGGGGGCCTTCAATATCATCTTTGACAGCCATGCCAGCTTTGTTCATACGCAAATGAACTGCTGAAATGTCGAGAGTTCGAGGAGTGAGGTGGTTGATGTGTGCACTTTTAAAGGATGCAATATCCGCTAGAATTGGATGTTCGGCCTTCAGGATCTGATATTGATCAAAAGTAGCCGCAGCGACAGACTGCCACCTAAAAGTGGTTAAAGCCTCTTGAATAAAGGTTTCCGCTTGCTCTTCCTTGAGCCTCCCACCCTGCTTTTCTGCCACATCGAGGAGATTCAACAAGAAAGTGCTGAATATGTTACGCTTCTCAAGCAACTCCAATGATAGCTGACGGGCTTCTTCCGAAGCTAGTAACTCAGGACGCAATAGAGTAGTGAACACTCGAAAAGGGTTTGTGTCGAGGCTTGAGACTCTCAAAGGGCGAAAGCAGGTTGCATGCATCGGTAGTCCCGCGATTGAAAGATCATAGTATCCGATTGGATGCATACCCAGAACTTCAAATATCCGTTTAATTGTTCGGAGTTCATAAGGGGTACCCAGGCGGATGGCACCATGTCGTTCTTGAGTAAGGCGCTCGATGTTGGCCTTGATGCCAGTAGCGTCAATTGATTGAGATTTTGCGTTGGTGGCATTCAGCACGCTCTGATTGGTTTCGCGCACGATCTCAATCAAGTCACCGTAAAGTGGTACCTCACTGCGGTACATACTGGACATGGCCGCTGCAAACCGAGTGCGCAAGCCATCCTTATCGGCGTACGTCGAAGCAGCTGTAGTTGAAACCATAACCGAAAAATGCGCCTTGAGGACTTGAAACTCCGATGAATGCTCTGGGTTATTTGCACAGGTTCGACTGAAGCCGGCCCTTTCAATAAATATCTACGCCCGGGGACATAACTTACTTTTCCTCTGCAGAACCATTCTATTTCTAGATTAATATGTATGTGCGCCCATTTCAATGAATTAAGGAATCTGATTGGCGGGACCATCGACGGCAGGTGGCCAAATTCGCCGACGGCTGCGGACAAATTGTGCCGAGAGTGTCCTTGAAAGGATTCCGACCGGAGGTTTGGCTTTATGACCGTAATGGATCACCTGATCATGGACGGAAGTTAATTTGGCCATTTGTTCGAATGAATCATGGTCAAATGATCTATGGACAGAGAATGCAATTAGCCACACCGGACTTTGGACACTTGATCCATCCAGAAGGTCATCGAAGACAGCAAACAATTTATTTGGAAGTCACTGTCTACGCAGGCGGTATGGGTGAGGGATAAAAAGGTGTGTCTTTTCTGCAACTACTCGTTTAGAAATAGAACCTAGCAAGAAAATATGTGAGCCATTAATTAAAAACATTACTAGAGCCCGTTGATCCTAAGTTTGGAATAAACAGCGAGTTCATGGAGATAAAATATGACCATGTGATAGCACACGCCGCATCCTGCTGCTGTTTTGTTTTGCTTTCCTGTCAGTTCCTTGCCCCCTATTTCTCTCCAGGGCTATACTACGTATCTTAGTAAACCATATCTTTGAGCTCAAGCATTTCCATTTTCGTTTCCTCGGAAGTCTGCTTTCTACCACATTTGAATGACCGAATTCCGCGGACCAGGCTACGAATAATCGGAATCAATATTGGTGTTGTTCCCCATAACTTTGTATATCTTTTCATGATACCGAAATTTTCAATCCGAAATTGAACTTTTGAGGAACCTTGGGGTCGCCAATTGTCGTATGGGTGTGAGTTTTCGCGCGTGATTGCCAACCTACGCAGCGAGGCGTTGAGTACGTGAATAATTCGTGGCTCTCAAAAAATGTGGTATATATACTCTGAGGATGGTTCATAAAACTTTGACGACATTTGGCATCGATTTCCAGAAGTGTCTGATATCATTGCGCATGAATTGCGAGGATGTGGAGAGACTACATAACCACCAATGATCGGACCGCCATTCAGCGTTGAAGATTTTCGCCGAAATTCATTGAGGCCCTCAAAAAAGAATTAAAGGAAGTGCCCTACTATATCAGGCATTGTCCCAAAGCAGCAGCATAGTCTGGATGGGCACTTTTGAGCACAATCGGATTAGGCATGGCCAACCACAAAGTCAGTAGTAGACCTCGCCAAGCGCGGGTTTGGGTTAGGTTTTCGATTTCTTTACCTGCCCACGGGTAACCCACCGCGATTTTGGCCGTGTTGATTGATAAGTGATACTTCGGTGTTCATGTTATTGAGGGGAGTTGATTGTGTGTTGTGTGTAAGATACAAGTAGGCTAGTAGACAGGTATATATTGTAGTGGGGAGACCCCCCCCCCTACTACATGGGTGCCATCCAGACTATGTGACATAGCCGGCAGTATACAGTGGCCGGATAGCTAGTTCTAGAATGCACCTTCTTACACCTCCCCGACCTGACCCCTACATTTGGGATTCTCACTATTTCCTGATTGCTACGCGTGTGTTTGTGGTGGTTTTTCTGCTGAATCGACCCGCACGTCTCAGCGCGTGCTGCCATCGAGCGTTCCCCTCTTCAATATGTATGCACGTGATCCCAGCCCCCATGATTATCTCAGTAACCGGGATATTCAACACAGCCCACGGGTTTTGGCGAGGCCTAGTCAGTAGTGCAGGCGTGGGTGAATCGGAATCTGATTACGAGGTGCGTCATGTTTAAATAATTTTTGCTAAGTGTTAGGGAACTTTTGAACGTTATACCGATCTGCTTTTACCTAAATTTGCATAGTACCGGCTAGTTTGCTTGAAATGAAGTCTTTCCTTCCCTACCATTCGTCGCGTAAAATAAGGCCCACACTGCTCTCCCTCCCTCTAGTTTGTTGTTGGAAGGCGGCAGAGATAGTCATTTTATGGTTGCGAATAAGAAGGTGCAAATCAAGTATCAAGTTAAGACAAACCCTTCTCAGTCCGATTTAGAAGGGAAACTAAGTAAGAACAATCTGACTTGTTTACCAAGGGGATTTACCCATAAAGTAATTCCCGCCCGAGTGGCCCACCCGGCCAGGTGGCCCACTACGCGCTAAGATGCGCCCGTATGACCATCTTCCTTCTTCAAACACTCACCATGCCTCCAAAACGTGCTCAATCCTCGCAAAAGTCTATTGAGCAGGAGGGCAGGATCCTCCTAGCTATTAAAGACGTTCAAAATGGCTCTGCCGACTCTATACGCGATATCGCAGAGCGATTTCGTATACCTCGTACGGTCCTTCGCCGTCGAATCGTTGGCCAGCAATTTCGCGGGGATACACGCTCCAGCGGCCATAAATTGTCCCAAACAGAAGAGGCTTCGCTTGTGCAGTGGATATATATAATTTTGACGAGACTGGGTTCGCTATGGGACTAATAGCTACTGCTAAAATAGTTACACGCGCTGACTTCTATGGCCGCCGCGCACTATTACAACCGGGAAATCGTGAATGGGTAACAGGTATCGAGTCAATTAGCGCGTGTGGCTATAGTCTACCGCCCTGCGTCATCTTCAAAGCCAAAAATTTTATACAACGGTGGTTTGATGACCTTCCATCCGATTGGCGCTTCGAAGTTAGTCAAAACGGCTGGACTACAGATGAGATAGGCCTTCGATGGCTTCAAAAACTATTCATACCAGCTACTACCACGCGTACGCGTGGCAAATATCGCTTATTGATTCTTGACGGCCATGGCAGCCATCTTACGCCTCAATTCGACCAAGTCTGCAGTGAAAACAACATTATTCCACTTTGCATGCCTCCTCATTCATCCCATCTCCTACAATCGCTTGATATTGGGTGTTTTGCAGTGCTAAAGCGCGCATACGGTCGCATCATAGAGAATCAAGCGCGTATAGGATATAACCAAATCGACAAGCTAGATTTTCTAGCTGCATATCCTCATGCGCGCGCGGACGCCTATAAGCCAGCGATTATTCAAAACAGCTTCGCCGCAGCAGGTCTAGTGCCTATCAACGCAGAGCGAGTGCTTGAAGAGCTAAATATATCATCATACGCCTTCACCACCTAGCAGCCGGCCTAGCAGCAGATCTAGCGTTTTCAGCCCGAAAACACCAAAGACCACCAAACAGCTTCAGAAACAGGCATCTTCGACCAAGGCCCGCCTCAAACAACGATCAAGAAGCCCTCAAAGCCCGCTAAAATCCGAGCTTGAACAGGTGTTCAAAGGCTATGCAGGATCTCTTCATAGGGAAATACTTCAAAGGGAGGAAAACGCTACCCTTCGCGCTGCGCTTGAGAAAAAAAGCAAAAAATCTGCTAAGTCCAGACGCCAGATACCAGACGAAGGCGGATTAACCATTCAAGAGGTTCAGGCGTTAGCTGAGGAGCGAGAAACACCGGCGGAGGCTATACAGCACACTGAGCCTACAGAGGCTTTTAAGACTCTGCAGGCCGCGCAGAGGGCCCCGCCGAGGTGTAGTGGGTGTAGGGAGATAGGCCATAATATAAATCAGTGTAAAAATAGCTATATTTAAATTTACACCAGCGTTTTGGTGGTCAAAATCTGCTTCGAAATTATTATAGTGAGCGTGGTGGGCCACACCGCCGGGTGGGCCACTCGGGCGAGAATTATGTTAACTAACTAACTAGTTATGGCATTTGCCAGTATTACCAATACATCTGGTTGCCCTAGTTAGTACCACGATGGAGCATGTGTGTTAGGGAGATGTGTGTTGTTATTGGTCCTCTAAGCTAGAATGGAGTATATGACCCCCTGATGGTGGTCACGTGGATCCCGGACTATAGTTGATCCACGCCGGAGGAAGATCCTCGGATGCAGCACGCTGGCAATGTGGAATAGATCACGTGCAGACCCACCGTGAATTTTGCCCGACAATAGTTTTAAGGGGAATTACTTTTCCGACTCCGCCTTTTCCCCGCATCAACTTGCAGGTGCTTCGATTGTACATCCGTAACGTCCCGTGCGAGCTGTTAAGAACCCTAGGCCTGCAATGGGCATGTCTACAGAAGGGGAAATATTGTCTGGAAACATGGGTCAAGCATCCCAGTTGATCCGGGCGAAACCAGTAGCGTTCGTCCCGAGTCGTCGCTGTCGCTGTCATCGTGTCGCTGAACCCGTTTTCCAGTTGTCGAAAATGCCACGCAAGAAAAGTTAGGTGTCCGGGTGGTCAGCCTTGCCTGAATTGCGTTCAGTTGGACTGCGAAACCGATTGCACGTACCCAAAACGTGATCGGCAAATCAAAGTTAGCCAGAGGTCAGTTTTCTCGCACTATAATTCAAACTTGCACTAACTAAGCCACTAGTTATGTTGAGGGTTTAGTGCGTGAGATTGAGCAATTGAAAGCTCTCAATCAACGACCTCCCCCTGAACAGACTGCTCAAACAAACAATCCTGTGATCGACTTTGATCAAGACCTTGAAACTACCGATGAGCCCTCCCAGAACCCCCTATTGGATGAGAAACCATGGTTTCTTCCTATCAACTCTTCAAAGGTTCCCATTCTCATAGGAGAAGTTGCTGATACCGTATTTGCGACCCGCTTCCGCCAACTTATCACAGGCAAAACTCTGAGTCATATCCCTCGTATCGCATATCCTGGCCATGATCAGATCTTAGAGCTTGCGAAGATCGAAATTCCTCCACCTGGAGCCTCCCACGCTCGATTTATTCTTCGAGTTGCTGTGAAATTCTTAGAGGGTTCATTTCATATCATTCGCAAGAGCCTGGTCTCTGATCTGTTAGACCAATTTCTCCACGCACCCCAATCACTTGATTCACTTTCGACATGCAAGATTTTTGCACTTTTTGCGCTGGGAGAACTACACTCTAACCGTTTCCAGAATCAGGAAACGCAGGTAGCGGGCCTTGCGTATTATAGTCATGCTAGTCGAGCTCATGGCCTGCTTGAAGAACGACCGTGTGTTGACTCAATCGAGGTTTCATTGATACTGGTAAGTTTACTGTTTCAAAGCCATTGATGGACTTCCTAACCATCTCGAAGTGTTTATATGCTCTTTGTATCAATAGACGCCATTCAGCTTACTTTTTGGCAAGCTCCGCCGTTCGCCGTGGCATCGTTATGGGGCTACATTTTGACTTTCCCAATACCCATATGAATGACCCTGAGCTCAAAGAGCACCTCAAACGTGTTTGGTGGGCGTCATATGTGTTAGATCATTTGTGTGCATCTATCAGCAGCCAACTGGTGTCGATCTCGGACAATGATATATTTGTCAATCTCTCATTAAGTCCAAATGTCGCAGGGCAACGGCAGAGTGATTTTCCACATACGGACTGGATTATTGCAAGGGTTCATCTAGCAAGGCTCACGAGGAGAACGATAGATTCAGTCTACGGTCGTAGGCAACAAAAAGAATCGTTTTTGCAACGGGTGCAATATTCACTTCGGGACCTAAAGCAATGGCTAAATGACCTTCCAAAGGAAATCCAGATGGACGCAGAATCGTCACATTTGAAACCACAGCCGATTAGGTCTCTGCACCTCACTTTCAATCAGGTACATCAATGAGGTCTCCAATATTGGAATCATTCTAACCTATTCAGTCTGTTATCCTTGCGACCCGGCCAGTTTTACTTCACAAACTGCAAATGCATAAAGAGTCAAATGGGAATGCGCCAGCAAGCGCAGATCAAACGATCTCAAGCAATGTTCAAACTCTAGCAGAAGCATGCATTCGATGCGCTCGGCACTCATATTGTACCATTGTCGAATCTTGGATTGAAGGAAACTTCGGAACATTTGACTATTTCAATACCCAGCACCTCTTTTCTGCAGCTACCGTTCTGGCCATTTCTTGCCTCATTGGTGGCCCTGGTAGTTCCAAAGATCATGAGGATTTTGAATTCGCCGGTGAACTTCTCAAAAAGCTGCGGGACTCTGGAAGTTTTGCTGCCATGGAATTTTGTCGTCACTTTGAAGAGCTCAAGACGGATATTCGCTCGTTCTGGTCCGGCTTACCAGGTACAGAAGCGCAAAGCTTTGAACCCAACATCACAGGCAACAGTGCCCACCCGAATCAACTGGAGCCTTTCCTGCAGCCAGAACCTTTGATGACATCAGGCATGGCATTGGCAGAGCCTTCTGTTGAAGCATTTCTTCAAAGCGAGCAGAGCTTGACTCAGCTTGATGTCTTTTGGGATCATACTGGACGGGCAGGACTCTACTGGCCCGTAGGCGATCTGGTTTGAATGACTCAAAGTTGCATTTTACAACAGACCCAAGATAAGTTGTTTCCGAAATCCTTATGGTATTTATGTTTGCTGACAACAAATACGCCTTCTAGTTTAACACCGCTCTAGCGAATTTCGAAAGTCGAAAGCCCAGAGGGCCTCTGCGCAGACGAGCCTTTTCGTCATTACGATGTCAGATGAAGGGACCCATGGAAAAGGCCCATCCATTCTAAGTGATGCCTCCACATTCCTCATTAGTATTCTGAGAATTTAGGGATGGTATTATTGAAAGGTGTGGAGGTTGACAGGCCAGAAATATGCTAGAGCGACAAATTGAAATTGCGAATGGTTCAAAGTCCGGGCTGTGACTTGCATCAAGCGCATTCGGAATTTCTCTGATAGCTTTTCATGTGCTGGTCGCAAAATCCCTTTTCTCTTCTACCCTGGTGACGAAAAAGAACTGTCGTGCATTGCTGGCATGTACATGCTACTGCCTACACCGGCTACCAAGCATTGTTTGATTCATGCCAAAAGCTTATTCGCCCCTGCTTGAAAACACTGGCTTTTCTTATGATAGTCCAATGCAGCTTTGTATAGACAACACATGTATGATAAAATTGCGAAAGCTATAAGAAAGCTCTCACAATAACAAGGTTTCAATACCAACCAGCAATCTCATAGCCTTGAATTCCATTCCACCACCGAATCACATTCATCAAACCCCCCCCCCAGCGATGGGCCACGGACGAAACAGGCGATTAAATTCCCTGGGCGTAGAGCGAGATACTTCATAAGGAACTCGAGCGCTGCGGACCGTGGAGCGCTCGCTCACACCTTCATAAGAGAATTCCAGCGAGATCATATCTTCAACACATAAATTTACAAACAGGAAGAACTGTCAGGATTAGGAGTTTATATTCTGGCAAATACTGAACTTGTCCAATAGAATCGGATAGATTTGAACGAATGTCTTACGATCGGTTACGCGATCTCAGAGGTCTATATAATAGAACTATGGTGTGTTATGACGAACGAGGGTAATTTGAAATCGACCTTTGCTCTCACGCTTATTATTTCATCTGCCTCTATGCACATGTTTCTTGTCAATGAGCTAGCCACGCTTAACCGATCCGAAATGCGACAAAAGATAATCGCACGATTTCAGAATCGTCGCCCCGGGCACGAGGAAATTCATTGGTCAGTCGGGATGTATGCGAAAAAGCCAATCACGGCATTGGTGGCCCTATACCGAGAGCGTCAGCCATTGGTGGATCTGAGACATACTTGTGGATCACGCGTATGAAGATGATATGTTCTATTCGGGACTGTTGCGTGAGAGCCCCTTGCGTCGGGCCCACGATATTCCGTGCTGGACATCGCACACAAATATCGCCTGGCCTGCCCCTCCCTCGAAAAGAACATCGCCGTTTCGAGGGAGAGCCGGGCTCTCTCCGCGACGGCTTCTTCAAGAGTTCCTTTTACAATGGTGCGTCATAGTTCGGCGGCCCCCAGTCCAACCCCTGGGGGACAGACCACCTTGGGCTCCTCGATCTATCCACCAGAGTATATATGGAACTCCCTCTCAGACTCCCAGCGGGACTCATTCATCTCTACTGTGTCGCGTCTCTTGTTGCGGGCGACGGGCAGCGCAAGCGCCCACCTTTAGACCTCACTGGGGAGGAGGATGCTGACGACGGTAGGGTCCCATCTCTTGTTTTGCCAGTCCTCCCCCGCTTCCCAGGTCTCGATCGTGCTGCTATTATTGCCGTTTTCGAGCACACCTTCCGACCAAAGAAGGACCTCATAAAACTCCGTAGCCCTGAGTTCAAGGCCTCGGCACCGGATGAATTCCGCAAGGTAGTCTCAATCAAGGACTGGGGAAATGACGTTTCCCTCTGGGCCCATTGCTTCAGCAATTACATCGCTGTCTGGTGTGATTTCTTCGCTGCTAAGCACCCGTTATGCATCAGTGGAATGGTCCTCTTTCACCGCCGCATTTGTGACCTTGCCAGGGCATATAAATGGCAGGATTGTATCCTGCAGATGGCCTTGGACCACCACCAGATGGTCGTCGATAAAGGCGACCTTACCGTTTCTCTCAGTGACCGGGAAATTGGGAAAGCCCTCGAGAGCTCCTACCTTCGCCCGGACAACGTGCTCCCAGCAAAGTCGACGCCGGCTTCCCCAACCACGCGCTCAACGCGCTCTACCGCTGCCCCAAATAACGATACTGTCGTTTGTGAAAAGTTCAACTCTTCTGCTGGCTGCCACTGGCGAACGTGTCACCGAAGACACGTCTGCTCTAAGTGTGGCATGTGGCAACGACCATTCTATAGTAAGCTGCAAAGTGAAACCAGTGAGTTAGGAACACGCCGGGGTCGGCCCTGGTATAGGTCAAATCCTGTCGCCGCCAACTAGCTGGCCGGCCCCGCGTCCCAATACTTCAATCCAGTTTGAGGTCTTCGACCCCCCCCTTCCCGCCCCCGCGTGATTCCGCTTCTCCCTTCATCGCCTCAGCGTGGAAAACCCTCCTCGAACGTTATCCTGGCAACCTAGGGACTATTTGCAGCGGCATCCTTACGTTCGGCTGCCGCCTCGGTTGTACGACCGTGCCAAGATACCGTCGAACTCCTAATCACCGCATCGAGGAACACTCTCTTATCACCCAGAAGCTCTCTAATGACCTATTATGTCGTCGGGTATAACTATCTACTGGCCCCGTCGTTGTTTCCCCACTGGGGCTGGTACCCAAACACGACGGAAGCTGGCGCCGTATCCATGATCTTTCCTACCCGCCGGGTCACAGTGTCAACGAGTCTATCCCCGACGCTGCTTCTACTATACAATACATCTCTATGGATGACATCTTTGATCTCATACGCACGTCGGGACGAGGGTGCTATATGATCAAACGCGACATCAAGGATGCCTTCCGTAACATTCCCGTCGCTCCCGCTGACCGGCCTCTCCTAGCCTTCTCGTGGGAGAACAAGACATACATGGAGTGCTACCTCCCATTCGGCCTTACAACTGCACCCTTCATCTTTAACCTTTTTGCCGAGGGCCTTAACTGGCTCCTAAGCGCTTACTTGCCTTTGGCCTCTATCGCTCATTACCTTGACGATTTCATCACTATTTTCCCTTCCTCCGTAGGAAGTCTCTCCAAAGCCCTTACCGCTTTCAATACCGTATATATTCCTCTCACAGATGCGTTAGGCATCCCACGGAATGACTCGAAAGACGCCGCTGGTACCGTGGTCAGTGTCCTTGGGGTCGAAATCGACACCACACTCCTACAGGCCCGAGTGCCTCGCGATAAGCTAGCACGCGCATCTTCCGAAGCCGCGTCGCTACTCCAGCTAGATCGCGTCTCGCATAAAGCTTTGCAACGTGTAGTCGGTTTCCTCCAACACTGCTCAATGGTTATCCGTCTCGGCAGAGCCCGCCTTCAGTCGCTCTACAGCGACCTCGCATCCTTCCCCCCCCCCACCAGCGCTCCGTTCGCCGCCTATCCCATGATAGCCGCGGGGAACTTGTGTGGTGGAGGGACACTCTCCCGTTATTTAACGGCATCCATTTCTTCGAGAAGAGCCGCCCCCTAGTTGTCCTCTACACAGACGCGTGCGACTCAGGTCTGGGCCTCTTCTTCTTCTATGCGCCCTCATGGGACTCCGCCAGGGACTGGATGTCTGCAGCACCTCACCTGCCTTCCACCCATACGGCTATCGTGGACGCCTCCTCCCGCCTGCGGCGACGTGGCCCACATCAACATCAAGGAGGTCTCCGCAATCCTGCAGGCCTTCCTCATACATAGCCCCCATTGGGCTCATCATCTTGTCCTCGCTTTCACAGACAGCGCCGTCGCGTTTCATGGCCTGTCTAAGCAGGCACTCCGTGGGCCGGCTCATCGCCCCCTGCTCATGCTTTTCAGCATAGCAGCCGCCCTTGATATCGAAGTCCAGCCACACTGGCTACCTTCATCGGAGAACCTACTAGCTGATGCTCTGTCCCGTTCCGATTATAGGATCATCGCTAATATTTGCCCACAGTGGACGAGCTCCTTTCCCTTGCTCCGCCAACCTGGTTCTCTCGACAGCCTATTTTCGTGAATGCTGGCCATGCGAAGCTGGTCTGGAATGGTCTTGCAGAAGGAACCAGAAGAGGTTATCGCTCGGCGCAGCGCTCCTACGCCCGCAGCTGCGCGATCCATGAAATGTAGCCGTGGCCAGCCACAGCCCCGTCTATCTGCACTTGGCTTACGGAACGCCTACTGGGCGCGGGTAGCTCCCCACCTGTGAAGCCCGATTCAGCTATGTCTGAGCTCTCAGCTCTCCGCGCGTATCACGTCGATAACGGTCTACCTGACACAATTTTTGACCTCCACGCTAAGCATTTTCGTCGCATGATCGATGGCGCTCGCCGGCTGCAACCGCCCCGCCGAAAGCGGATTCGCAACCCAATCTCACGCGCCTCAGTTATAACCCTTTCAGGGAAAATCTCACATCTCCCTGCCCAACCGCGGGGGCTCTCAGCGGCCCAGAAAAATAACGTTAATCTTGCCGTGGCCGCCCGCGTTGCCTTCGCCGGATTCCTTCGGGTCGGGGAATTTACATACTCAGCTACCGACCTCAGAGACACTCAAGTCTTCGCTGCTACTAAATTAACCCGGGCGGATGTCAGGTTCTCCCCCACCATGGATCACGTCCTCCTTACTTTGAAGAGAAGCAAGACCGACCGAAACCACGAAGGTGTCAATGTTGTCCTTGCAGCGACAAACGACGCAGGCTGCCCCGTCGAAGGCCTTTCTAAGCTATTCCTCCATGCTTCTCAACCTATGACTGCTCCTCTATTTGCGCTCTCCTCTGGTCCTTTCACCTCATCCGCCTTCCAACGTGCGGTTATCTCTAAGCTCAACCGCGCCGGGGAAGACACCACGGGACTTAAGGGTCATAGTTTCAGGAAAGGGGCAGCACAACACGCCCACAACGCAGGCCTAAGAAATGACCACATCCAAGCCCTCGGGAGATGGTCTTCCGAAGCCTTCCGCATTTATTTCACAACACCTACAACAACACTATATGCCTGGAACCGTCAATTCCAGACCGGTCATCCAACTCCGGTCTCATCTTCCATACCACCAGCCCCTCCACCATCCTCTTTTGACCCACCGGGTCATTTGGGCCCGCCTGCAGCCCTCACGGCGCCGTAGCCCTCCGTCAACGAGGTCTACATCGCCAGTGTTAAGACCGCAGGTGCCCCGTGCGGGCCAAAATATCTCATCCGTCTCTATCTGTGCCAGTGTAGCAATGGTTGGAATAGAGTAGTACTAATACGATGGATGGATCGTATATGTATTAGATATATATATTTAAGGGAAAGCATATGTTACTATGTTGAGGTTCCAGGATAAGGCACCGAATTGATGCCTCATTCCCAACCTCTGTCGGCATGCCTGTTCAGGGAAACCCGAGGCACTGAGCTTGATATGCGCTTCAAACGCTCTTGCCGACATTATATTCTACATTCAGGGGATCTTCATGGAAGAACACCGATCGAGACCGATAATAGGGGTTTACTACTGTCAGGGGCTTGGCGCCCGTTCAGGGATAAATACCCCTAGAATCGCATGTAGACAGTTTGACACTCAAGTTCAAGTTCTGTCAATTCCATCAATCTCGATTTGTCTAGCAGGCCCTTATTCAATATTCAGTGCTTCGTCGTAGCCAATCTCAACATACTAATGGAACACCCAATAATCTCGATAAGCTCGGACATAATGACTCGTTCAATTACCTATACGCATTGTAAAACTGTAGGACACATTCAACGTCGCTGAGTTGAATATATATTGCAATCCTAGCTGAGATTTGTTGCCATGAGATGATAATGTTGGCGAAGATTATTGAGTATATTGGCCGGGCGCACTCTCTCCGAGTCTGCAGGGATGGGCGTGGGAACCTGGGGAGAGTGGCACCATTACGCGCTATCCTTGACATTCCTCTCCATAATTTCAAGTCGGACCGGACCCCGCGATGCCAGATCCCCTCGATTGGAATAACCATCAACTAGCGTATGATGTAGTCATGACCAAAGTCAAAAGTCAAAAACCCTTGGAAAGGAACGCGGTCAATCATCGGGAGCAAGCAGAAGTCGCCGAACCCCACTGGAGAGTCAGAGGTGGGCACGGTGGGGCTTTAAGAAATTGAAACGCCGCCCGGCGCCCCCGCGGATGGGCCGAAACTACGGAGAGAAGGTTGAGGTGTTCACAGAGAGGCATAGATGGAACCGAAGATTGAAGATGGCGATGGACGGTCGGCGAAGGTGAATGATAAGGGCAACATAATACATAGACACAGCTGGAACTGACAGACGAATTGTCCAAACGAATCCTGAACACCAATTTTCCAACTAGTCAAGATGGAGTACTCTCATCACTACAATGCGGACCGCTTGTCCCCACAGACAGAGGCCACCGCGGCCGTCTGTATGCAGAATCTTTCCAACTGGATGCCCGCCGTCGATGAAATTCGCACCTGGCCAGAGTACACGGCCCAACAACCCCTTCGCGCTCTCCCCAACCTCGCACACAAATTGGGAATCCAGGAAATATTTGTCAAAGATGAGAGCAGACGCTTTGGAACCGAGCTGGGCTCCTTCAAGGCGCTGGGTGCCCCTTACTCGGTTTATATGATCTTAGCTGAGGAGGTGCATGCGAAGATGGGTGTCTGGCCCTCGGCAGCTGAGCTCCGCACCGACAAGTATCGTGATATCACGCAGCGCGTCACTGTCTGCGTCGCGACGGACGGTAACCAAGGTCGTGGGTTAGCATACGGTGCTAAGATTTTCGGCTGCCGCTGCGTCGACTACATTCACAACCATGTCAGCGAGGGTCGCGCCAAGCGTATGATGGACTTGGGTGCGGTTGTGATTCGAATTGACGGTGAATATGAAGCTTCGGTTAACCGGGCTAAGGAAGATGCTCGCATGAACGGCTGGTACTTCGTCAGCAGCACCTCCTGGTCTGACTTTGATGGAGATGTGCCTCAGCACGTAATGAACGCCTACATGGTCGTCCTCGAGGAGGCGGTCGCATTGATTCCTCAACTCGATCGCATCTCTCACGTTTTTGTGTGCGGTGGTGTTGGTAGTATTGCTGCTGCCATTTTCCAAGGCTTCTACACTCATCTTCGTGGAAACCAGAAGGTGCCTGCTAAAGTGCCCCGCTTTATTGTTGTTGAGCCTTCTGAGGCAGACTGTCTCCTGCAGAGCGCGAAGAATGGCGAGGCTCATCAGTCCGAAGGTACGCTCCATACTCTGATGGCTGGTCTGGCTTGTCGCGCACCTTCTCCAGCGGCGTGGAAGCTCCTCACCTGGTTAACCAGTGACTTCATTGCGGTTCCCGATTCCGTTGCGGTGGAGGGCATGAAGGCGCTGGCTGATGGCCACGAGGGCGATATTCCCGTGGTATGTGGTGAGTCGTCAGCTGCCAGTCTGGGCGTTATGCTAGGATCTGGCTCAGATTCGAGCCTTCGTGAGAAACTGGGACTGGATGAGAATAGTCAGGTCGTGATCTTCGGCCTCGAGGGCGCAACTGACCCTGAGATCTACGAGTCTCTAGTGGGAAAATCGCCCGCTGCCGTGTTCGAGGCTCAAGATCGTTTCGTTGCTCAAAGCTCGAAGTGATCGGCCCTTATGTTGATATTACATTCAAGCTATCAAATATATATGTTTCATGTTTCACACTAATGTTCGTTTTTAGATGAAAATATAGACTTATCTTGACTGAGCTAGATCAGGCCTATTGATCAATGAGAAAAGATTACGCAGAGGAAAAAGCGTACTCATTATGGACGTCTATAAGGTGGTTCTCAGAGAAACGATTGTGTTGGAACCCAAGTTTGATCGCATCACCCACGTTCTTTTATGCGGTGGTGTTGGTAGCATCACCGCGGCTGTCTTCCAATGTTTCCACAACCGTCTCAAAAAGGCCTCCCGCGAAATTGCCCGCTTCGTTGTTGTCGAGCCCTCCGAGGCCGACTGTCTCCTGTAGAGCGCGAAGAATGGCGAGGCACATCAGTCGCAAGGCTCCCTGTGCGCCCCATTGTGGGGCCGGCATGTCGCGCTCCCTCCCCGGCTGCGTGGAAGATCCTCGCCTGGTTGGCTAGTGGCTTCCTGTCGGTCCCAGATTCCGCTATAAAATCGAAGGCATGAAGGCGTTGGCTAATGGCCGCGAGGGCGACATCCCCATCGTGTGTGGTGAATCGTGAATCGCCGGCCGCCAGCATAGGCGCCATGCTGGCGTTCAGCGCGGACCCATCCCTCTGTGAGAAATTGGGATTGGACCAACACCAAGTCGTCCTTTTCGGCCTGGAGGGTGCCACCGATCCCGAGATCTACGAGTCCCTGGTGGGCAAGTCGCCTGTCGCCGTCCTTTGTATCCTTTTGCTGCAAGACCCAACACCATTAGCTGCTCTCTAGATACTGTATTCACGCTCACCAGTTAAAATAAAGCGGCTTTCGTAAATAATGAAATATAGAATGTCTGGACCCATGCATGATTCTATATGGAAACCCTTCTGGTAGATGGTTGTAGAAGAGACCTCTTGAGGACATGCTCTTCATAAATCGTTGGCCAAGTCCAATGCGAGATAAGCACATCTTGCTAGACAGTAGTTGATAGACATTGTGAAACGGTCTGATGGCGTTCAGTACATCGTGATGGTGGCGGGAACCTGAATTAATCGCGTGGCGTCCGATGTTCCCCCTCCCCCAACCCTTTGCTGCCACTGCGATTAAGGAAAAAGTGATGAAGCTGAGTTTGAGGTTGAGTTTAGTCCATGAAATCAAGCTCCTATCGGAGTTTACTGCGCCAGAGGACCCTCTCGGCCAAACCGACCGGAGCCGTCGGCGCATGTGTCTATCGGCCGTGAAACGCCCCACCAAAGGATTCTGCCAGTTTGTGGCTGGCAGTAGATGGCAAGACAGGATAGAAGGTTTTGCCTGTAGCATCAAGGTTCCCGGGGGTGGGGGGAGATAGGGCAAATCACCGCAGTTTCTGATTGTCATAACCCCGGGAATTCTCTCCCCAGGTGATGGGTGGGTCGTCTTTATTGTTCATTATCTAGGCCCCATGAACGGTTTGATACGGCATGAGACGGCAGGTTGGCTTCTCCCGCTTCATTCCTGCGGAAAAAAACTAAGCAATCAAGGGTCCTGAATGGTTTGTTCGCCGTTCACTCTAGATGCGCCTCATGCGGGGCATAGGAGGGAGACAGCGAGACGGAGTGGCCGGTAAGCTACTGCCAAGAGCTGCAAGTGCCCAGACTCTCCGAGCATATCAAAACGTGGTAGGGCAGTAGTACAATATTTGTTCTCAGGCCTCTCCAGAATTTCGTCTCCACTACAGAAGGGGGCCAAGTGGGAAGAGATAATGGCAGTGTAGAGTTTGACCTCGGAATTCGTTTTATAAATGGCGTGTTGGGTAGATTCTATATTTCTTTCCATCCAACCCCTCTCCTGCTGTCCTGCCCATCCATTTCTTCTCATTCCGATCTGCTGCTTAGTTTTTAGTCGACTCGGCTTGTGGCAAAATGGGTCACCCCGACGAGATCAACGCTCTCGAGGCGCAGTCCGACGATATTGACACCAAGGAAGGCGAGCAGGATGAGCCAGTTCAGCTCCATCGAAAGCTCAAGGCGCGTCACATTTCTATGATTGCTATCGGCGGTGCGATCGGTACTGGATTAATTGTTGGCACTGGCAGTGCCTTGGCGTGAGTTTTCCTCTATTTAAACCATACCTGAAATATTTCTGACTTGTTATTTAGAGCCGGAGTATGTGGGATTCCCCCTATCTACATTTGAAATTGACTAACCATTCCATTTAGCCTGGCTCATTGCTGATTGCGTACTGTTTTATGGGTCTCGTTGTTTGGACAGTCATGTGTGGTCTGGGTGAAATGGCTGCCTGGCTGCCCCTGTCGTCTGGTTTCACTGGTTACGCTGGTCGTTTCTGTGATCCCGCTCTCGGTTTCACCCTCGGATGGTGGTGAGTAATCACTCGTTTCAGTTTCTGAAGGAAAGGAAACTAACTATACCCCAGCTACTATCTAAAATATATTATTCTCCCACCCACGCAACTTACAGCAGCCGCCCTGGTCATAACTTTCTGGCCGAAAACTTCTGCAGACAATGTCAGCCCTGGCGTATGGATTGCCATCTTCATGGTAGCAATCATCGTGATCAACTACTTCGGTGTGAAAACTTTTGGTGAATTGGAATTTTGGCTCTCGTCTTTCAAGGTGATCGTCATTCTAGGCATTATTCTGTGCGCTTTCATTTTCGCACTTGGTGGTGGCCCCGATCACGACAGGAGAGGTTTCCGGTACTGGCATGAGCCTGGTGCTTTTGCCACTAAATATGTCGATGGGAGCCTTGGAAAGTTCCTTGCTTTCTGGTCCACCATGGTGCAGGCCACATTCGCGTTCCTCGGTAAAGTCGTTTTGTTTTCCGCACTTCTTCAATTTCGGACTTTCTGACCTTATTTTCTTCCAGGCACCGAGCTTATTGGTGTTACCGTCGGAGAGGCTCAGAACCCTCGCAAGACCATCCCAAAAGCCATCAAGCTTACCTTCTGGCGAATCATCGTGTTCTATATTCTCAGTGTCCTTTTCGTTGGTATGCTGGTCCCGTACAACTCCAAAGATTTGGCCTTCGCCACCAAGGCCAAGAACTCTGCCGCGGCGTCACCTTTCGTTGTCGCCATGAAGCAAGTCGCCGCTCTTCCGCATATCATCAACGGCTGTATCCTTGTGTTTGTGCTCTCTGCCGCTAACTCCGACCTTTACATTGCAACGCGAACTCTATATGGTCTCGCTCGTGAGGAGAAAGCCCCCAAAATATTTGCTCGCACAAACCAGGCGGGTGTGCCAATCTTTGCCCTGGCTCTTTCGGCTGCTTTCTGCTTGCTCGCGTTCATGAGTGTTTCCAATGGCTCCAAGGAGGTTTTCGGCTACTTCACCGATATGGTGTCGATCTTCGGATGTATGTTCTATCTTCCCCAACTGACTCGAATTGTGTCCTGTCTCTGACCTGCCACCACAGTGTTGACCTGGATCTCTCTTCTGATCACTCACATTTTCTTCATTCGTGCTCGCCTTGCACAGGGTGTCGATGAGTCAACACTCGCCTACAAGGCTCCCCTGGGAATCATCGGTTCCTCCATCGCCCTGTTTTTCTGCGTTCTGTTGGCCTTCACCCGCAGCTTTGGCGTGTTTATCCATAACCCAGAGAAGTATGGCAACTTTGACTACAAGACCTTCATCACCTCATATCTCGGTATTCCCCTCTACATGATGGCTTTCACCGGATGGAAGTTCTTCAAGAAGACCGAGATTGTCAAGCCCCACGATGCCGATATTTGGACCGGAAAGGCGGAGATTGATCGCGAAGAGGCCGAATATGAGGCCATGATGGCTATTGAGCACCAGAACCTCACTGGATGGAATAAAATCTATAAGCAAAGTCTTGCCTGGCTTTTCTAGCCTCGCTAATAAATATGTTCGGATAGATACCTGAGTTATCTTATGTGATGGTTGTGACTTTCTGCGGGATTGGTGCCTGAGGTATCGTTTTGGTGTTGGGAAGGCGGTGTATGGATGTGTATGGTAGCGAATGAGAAGGTAAACTGTCAGGATGAGGAATCGATGTACTGGCTAGTACTGAAGATGTCCAAACAGAATAAGATGATTGATTGAAGGTTCTTGAGATCGGTTGAGCGATCTCAGGGGTCTTTATATTTGAACTATGGCGTGTTATGACACCATACTAGGTGGAAATTGGGTGAACGATGAATAAGCCCATCCCGAAGGGTCCTAGTGGTATTTGACCAACCCCTCAGTTTGTCAAATTGTAATACGCAGTCGTCATAAAGAATGCTTCGGTTGAAAGCCCTAGGTGTCGAAATGGAACAATTTGGATCCTATTGCTGTGATATTGTAGTTTTATCGCAAGGACAGCTTCAGTGGGAATGAGAGAGGCTGTCCTTTTGAGCCTGAGAATTTTCTGAGTCGATCTGGCCAAGTACATATGAATGTTCTCACTGGTGACTGAATTGCCTATTTATTTATAGCACTGACATATTAGCCAAGTGACTTCCGTATTTATTACATTTTCAAATTCGGGGGGCCTCCAAAATATTAACTCCTGGCTCAATCATTTGGGCGGAGCTAGTCAAATGCATTCATGGCCGCAGTATCTGAGACAACTCTTTTCGCAGCATATCTACGAATTCGGATAAGCAGTTGTATTGTACGTCTGGGAATCTGTCGGGATATATTCTCCTGTCAGAACAAACTGGCTGTGACCCACTGCTAGCGACCGATGGATAACATCCCTTGCTTGGTGTACGCATTCTTGCGCTGGGCTGTGGCCTCGGTGTTGTGACCGCCGAAGGCCGGCGTGTGGGATCTAGGGGTGTTTTTCCAACTAGACTGAACATCTACACACATCTATCAACAAGAATCAATTGACTTTGCTTTGGAGCATACACACTGTCCACTTAACTGTGTACACAGTACCTAACGTAACCCACAAGCGAACCGCCCACACAAGCGAACCGCCCACCCCATCAATTTTGATCTGAGTACTATAACCTCTCTTTTATAACCATCCACCATACCACCAAATCGATCTAGTTCTGCCCGATTTTCGCAGGATAGGCAGGGCAGACTCTCATTAGCCCTGCATGCCATTAAAAATGGTCAAATTACCTCTATTCGCAAAGCAGCACGCCAATTCGACGTCCCCTGGTCCACTCTACGCGATCGCGTCAACGGTCAACAAAGTCGCTCAGAAACACGCGCCAACAACCATAAATTGACAGAAGACGAGGAGAGATCACTTCTACAGTGGGTGCTCTCTATGGATTCACGTGGATCAGCTCCTCGGCCTGCTATGGTGGCAGAAATGGCCAATCTTCTATTAGCCGAACGCTGTACGCAGACTGTTGGCGTCAACTGGGTCTACAACTTTGTTAATCGCCATGATGATCTTAAATCTCGGTTCTCTCGAAAGTACAACTACCAACGAGCAAAATGCGAGGATCCAAAGGTCATACGAGAGTGGTTCGACTTGGTTCAACGCACGATTAATGAGAACGGCATCCAACCTGACGATATATATAACTTTGATGAGACTGGCTTCGCAATGGGTCTTATTGCTACTGCAAAAGTCGTCACCCGTGCTGAATACTACGGTCGGAGATCTCTTAAACAACCTGGAAATCGTGAATGGGTCACATCTATCGAGTGTATTGGTGCGTCGGGCTTCAAATTACCACCTTGTCTTATCTTCAAATCCAAGACACATCACCAGGCTTGGTACGAAGATAAAGGGGTAGGACCGGACTGGAGGATCGAAATCAGTGATAATGGATGGACAACTGATGCTATTGGCCTTCGCTGGCTGAAAGATCTCTTTATTCCGAGTACGGCGAGCCGTACAAAGGGTAAATATCGTCTTCTAGTCCTTGATGGTCATGGTAGCCATTTGACACCTCAATTCGACCGACTTTGCGCTGAACATGATATTATACCAATTTGCATGCCAGCGCATTCATCTCATTTGCTACAACCACTAGATGTCGGGTGTTTTGCGAACCTAAAGCGCGCATATGGTGGCTTGGTTGAGCGAAAAGCTCGATGCAATATCAACCATATTGACAAGCTTGATTTCCTTGCCGCCTACCCGCACGCTCGCGAGATCTCATATCACTCGGATATAATTCAGAGCGCATTCGAATCTGCTGGTTTAATACCCTTTGATCCCGATCGGGTTATATCGAAGCTTAATATTCAGCTTCGAACACCAACCCCCCAGGAAGCCGACCAGGAAGCCGATCAAGTGAGTGGAGCCCTACAACACCACTCAACGCAAAACAATTATATCGGCAAGAATTTTCAGTCAAAGCTCTACTCAAATATCGATCCGTGAGCCCTCCAACGCCTACAAAGCATGTGGTAGAGCAGACTCTTAAAGGCTTCCATGTCACGCTTCAAAGGCTAGCGATGTTGGAGAAAGAAATCCGGGATTTGCGCGCTGCCAATGAGGTTCGGAAACAAAAACGCAAGAGGTCTAATAAACGCATCGACCGTACTGAAGGCATGTCAATTCAGGAGGGAAGAGACGTAATATTCAGTTCGAACCAAGCCGTTGAATCTCTGGATCCTGTTCATCCAGAACTAGCTCCGGTCGCAAATGAGACTAATACACCACGACAACGGGCGCCACCAAGATGCAGTGGTTGTGGAGGGATAGGGCATAAGATAAATAGATGTCCGAAGCAGTGATATCAATAATTTAATGGCGTTGTGGTTATTTTATATGCAAATCAAAATTATAGGTTGAGATGGGTGGGCGGTTCGCTTGTGTGGGCGGTTCGCTTGTGGGTTACGTTAGCTGGTGATTACAACAGTAACTTCTGCTAAAAATGCAAGGCCCGGTTAACCGAATGCTCCTTTCGCATAAGGCATGGTCTACTTTCCCCAAAAGTCGTGCCAATCCGGAATTATCTTATGGCATTCGGTGAAATAACACTTTCGCAAGTTGGCAAGTGGGTCTGTTCGGTGATTGTAAGCTTCCAGGGCACGGAACAAACACCGACCCAACGGTCGGGTGACGTCAGAGATTACCCGATGACGGATAGATCCAAATTAACTGACTATCCTTGGCATAATTCGTTAGTCATCGACGGTGAGCAAAAGTACAGTAGCTTGAATCTCATTACAGTTGGGCATGTTTCATAGAATTAAAATATATAAACCCCACCCGCACCCCCTCAGCCTAAATCACTCTGCTACTTCACCTTAAGATGGCTTCGCAGTATACTCAAGTTACCCCTATCGACCTGGATATCGGTTACTACGATCTTGGAGCCTACAGCTGCAAGATCAGTACCAACAGCAAAGCGACACAGGTCTGGTTCGATCGTGGTCTCAACTGGGCTTATGCATTCAATCATGTCGAAGCAGCGGCCTGTTTCTTGCAGGCGATTGCACACGATCGGACATGCGCAATGGCCTACTGGGGGCTTGCATTCGCGATGGGACCTAATTACAACAAGAAATAGGCTGCTTTTGACAAAAAAGACCTCGAGCATAGTGTCAGGGCATCTTTCCACATCAGCAAAGAAGCCAAGGTGTACCTAAACTCAGCAGCCCCATGGGAACAGGCTATGGTGAATGCCATCCAGTTTCGCTTTCCCACGGAAGCCACTTCTACTGACGATGATTTCGCTGCGTGTAATGTCTCCTACGCTGATGCCATGAGAGATGTCTACCAAAAGTTCGGAGCAGAGAATCTGGACGTCATTACTCTCTCTGCCGACGCTCTCATGAACACACGACCCTGGGACCTTTTCGAGGTGAGAACCGGGAAGCCAACACCTTAGTCCCCTGCACTTGAAGCCAAAGAGATTCTCGGTCATGGTCTGAGTCTTCCAGGGGTGAAACACCACCCGGGCATCTGCCACATGTACATTCACTTGATGGAAATGTCAGAAACCCCGGAAGCTGCCCTTGTGCCAGCGGACCATCTTCGCAATTTGGTCCCGGATGGTGGCCATATGCACCACATGCCCTCTCATCTGGATGTCCTTATTGGAGACTATCGCCGCTCGATCGACTCCAATATGAAAGTAACCATGGCCGATGACAAGTACTACCGCCACGAGGGCGGACTGAACTTCTACAGCTTTTATCGAATTCATAACTACCACTCTCTGATCTACGCCGCTATGATGGCCGGGCAGTCCAAGGTCGCTCTTGAATCAAGCGACCGCATGGAAACTACAATTACCGAAGAACTACTTCGAATCAAGTCACCTCCGATGGTGGACTGGATGGAGTTTTTCAAATCAGTACGATTGCATGTTATGATCCGCTTTGGTCTCTGGGAAGAAATCAAGAAACTTGCAGTTCCGGAGGATAAGGATCTGTATTGTGTGACTATTGCTTTTACACATTATGCTAAAGGGGTCGCATATGCTGCCACTAACAATCTAACAGCAGCGGATAAGGAGCGTTCTCTTTATCAGGAAGCTGCCAGACGCGTGCCTCCCACCAGACTGGACTTTCCGAATCGGGTTGTGGACGAGTTGAAGGTTGCCACGGCAATGTTGGATGGTGAGATTGAGTACCGACGTGGAAACTACCAAGTCGACTTTGAAAAGCTCCGTGAAGCTGTTTATAACGATGATGACCTCTTGTACAGTGAGCCATGGGGCTGGATGCTCCCAGCCAGACACCCTTATGCAGCTCTTCTTCTTGAACAAGGACATGTGGAAGAAGCTGCCGCTATCTATGCACAAGACCTCGGTCTTGATGATAGCTTGATCCGTGCTCACCAGCATCGAAATAATGTCTGGTCGCTGAGGGGATACCATGTGTGTCTGATGCGTTTGGGGCGGGGTGTCGAAGCCAATATTATTGAAAAACAGTTGAAAACCGCGGCTGCAGTGGCTGATGTTTCTGTCATGTCATCGTGCTTCTGCAAAACCGGCCTCGTCCAGCAATGATTGAGTGGATAACAACAATTTGTATTTAGCATAAATGAATGTTCACGTGAATTCATATTCTAGACGATATTAGTTTGTTTTACTTCAGGCTTTGGCCAACAGATCGGGAAAGAGAAGGGTATTGTTATTCTTGGCGGATTCGTGAAATTCTGTTTCTGACATCTTGAGGGTTGTTAAATGGTACCATTGTATCTGTAACACGTGTTCTAACAAATTTTCGAGTCCTATCCCCAGCAAGATGATTAATCCATTGAGCTGTCCTGGGAAATAACGCCCAATATCCAAGTCACGGCTTTTAATAATGACCCTCCGTGTTGTGGCGAACGCTCACGAAGAGCTATCTAGGTGCATAAATAAGTGTCCTCATATATCCTGCCAGGTTGCTCCTGCCGTATCCTTAGAACACTGATTACATGGTGTTACCGCTACGTCGCACTTGTGGTGTATATCAGGACGTCATTTTGGCACTTAGGTTACATTAATTGCAGGAACAAATGAAAATCAAGTATGCGATAATCGGATAGGAAATTATGTTTCGTTTCTATTCTGGCTCGGTCTAGCTAGATCCATGCTTTGCGTAGATCGACAAGAATGACTATAAGCTCAGTCTAGTTTTTCTGCTCAACCTCGGCAATAGCACGATCCTGGTCCGCATAGACCTTCTTGACAGTGGGCCTGACTTCCATTCGCTTCATCCAGTCCTCCACGTGAGGAAACTTCTCATAGATATCCTCGCCACCGAACTTAGGTGCCCAACGTTGCCAGGCTACAAAGGCAAGATCGGCATAGGTGCACTTGTCGCCGACGAGCCACTCGCAGTCCTTAAGTACAGATTCGAGAACGCTGCATACGCGGTGGATCTCATTGCGGTACCGGTCAATGGCACTTTGAACCTTCTCAGGATGCAATTTGATGAACCACGATGCCTGGCCGTAATATGGGGCCTGACCAGAGACCTGGAAGAACAGCCATTGTTTGAGGTGGTATTGCTCGGGGAAGGTCGTGTAAGTAAGACGCTTCTCTGTGTCATACTTCTCGATGAGGTATTCTGTAATGGCACCAGATTCCCAGAGGGTTATGCCGGTGTTGGGGTCCTTGATGGCAGGGAGCCGGCCATTGGGGTTCATGAGGGTATAGGGCACCTTCTTGACTGCCGTGAAGTCAATGAACTCTGTAGTGTATGGAATGTTCAACTCTTCGAGGATGAGAGCGACCTTCCACGGGTTAGGCCCGTATTGATGCGAGTATATAGCGATTGGCTGCATTTAGTCTTCGTATTGAGATGGAGGGTGATTGAGAGATGAGAGTAAGTTGAGTGAGAACTACATTAGGAATGTCCACGATATATATACCCGTTGCATCACTTCGGGCTCGGTGATTACGTGGCGCGAAGTCGGCCTCGGTGTCTGGAACTTTGGCGTCCAAATTGCTGTAAAGTGCTCCATAATCGAGCTTTTGTGGGCCCAAATTGTTTTGATTGAGAGAACATCAAAAGTGTCGGGCTAAGCATGATGTTTTGCTTACTCAGTGAGGCTTTCAAACATATGTAGACTTAGTACAAACAAACATGATCCAGATTCTTATGCTTATACCCATGTAGATCAGAGACAGACATCCATTAGGTGGGAGTGTAACTAAATGCATCTCGCGCGGGCGAGAGCCAAGTTCTCACATGACTGGGAGGGAACAAACACCGAGGCCAAAGGTCGATACATTTAGGCTTTTGATCAGCCATGCGGTCATGTAGTCATGATAAAATTGGTTGTGCTATGAGTGGAACAGAGGTCGATTTGTTTGACAAGATAATACCTGTATGGTGAACCGTAGCTTACGGAAATCTGACCATCGGAGCATGGTTGGCCTCAATTTTATCAAAAGGATAGCTTCTATGGACCCAGGCGTAAACCCATCTACTCTACCTAATTTACAAGGACTACGTGTGTATACGAAAGATACGGTACTTAGAAGTCTATGCTCTCTACGGGGACAGAAAAATTCCGAAACTTTCCACACGATGAAGTTGAAGTTTTGAAATATACTTTTGTGCAAAATAAGGCAGATTTGCAAGCCGGAGTTCTCGGCGATCGAAAAGGACTCTTAAGGGCTTTTCGGCGTTTGCCTTCCGGCTGCGTCCCGGAGCCTTCAGTCATGCGTCATCTAAATCCGAAGTATAAGTTCGCTGGATACCCGGGAGAGGAAGTCAGAATCTCAGTCCAAAGCACAAAAGCTACAACACTACTATACTTCACCCAAAAAACGAACAAAATGACCACCATGAAGCAATGGACAGAGACTACCCCGGATGCGGACTTTGCCGGTCTGAAGTTCGAAGAGACCCCCGTTCCCGGCGTTGGCGACAGCGAGGTCCTCGTGCGATTCCACGCTTCGTCCCTGAATTATCGCGATCTGGCAATTGCAAAGGTGGAGCTCCCCTGGGCCCTCCATGGCTATTGATTGATCGCAAAAGCTAACCCAGTCCATCGCTTTCCGTAGGGCACCTTCCCCTTTGCCCATAGGTATCCAATCGTTCCCAACTCCGACGGCGCCGGAGAAGTGGTGCAAGTCGGTGATAAAGTAACCGAGTTCCACAAGGGCGATAAGGTCATTACTCTCTTCAACCAGGCTCACCAATCTGGCGATATCGACCCCCATGCGGCTTCCTCTGGGGTGGGTGGTGTGATCGACGGCGCCCTGCGCGAATTCGGCGTCTACCCTGAGACTGGACTGGTGAAGGCGCCGCACAACCTTGACTATGTTGCAGCCAGTACTCTCCCCTGCGCTGCTCTCACCAGTTGGAATGCGCTGTATGGGCTGAAACCTATCAAGGCTGGCCAGGTGGTGCTCGTCCAGGGTACGGGTGGTGTCAGTATTTTTGGTTTACAGGTGAGAGATCGGAAGGCAGCGTCGATTGGCGAAATTTGAAATCGTGGAGTTGACATCGCATGACATAAATAGTTCGCCAAAGCCGCCGGTGCTAAGGTAATCGCCACCACTTCGTCGACCGAGAAGGAAAAGCTCCTCAAGGATCTCGGTGCCGACCACACCGTCAACTACAGAACTTCTCCAGGGTGGGGCTCTGCTGTTCGCGACCTGACCCCTGGCAAGGAGGGCGTCGATCATATCATTGATGTCGGCGGTCAGGGTACCCTGGAGCAAAGTCTCAAGTGTATCAAGATGGACGGTGTCATCAACATCATCGGATTCCTAGGTGCAAGCGACCGTCCTCAGCCCACTCTGCTGGATGCTCTCAGCCACATTTGCACAGTTCGCGGTGTTTACGTGGGCAGCCGAGCCCTTTTGAAGGATATGGTTCGTGCAATCGAATCGACTGGACTGAAGCCCGTTGTGGATCAGAAGGTCTTCGAGCTTGCAAACGCTAAGGAAGCGTTCCAATACATGGTGAGTATATGAGCATCGTCCACTCGTTCTCTTTCGGTCAATGCTGATTTCAGTCATGTATTTAGGCCTCTCAGAAACACGTTGGCAAGGTCGTTATCAGACTGTGACGTTGCGATAAGAAACATTCTGGTGCGATAAATTGCCTAGACGCCGCAAGATTATGCAACCCTGAGCGATGTCAATATGCGATTTACCTCTTAGTCCAAGTTCAAGTCTAATAACATCGAACACGCAAAACAAACAGACGCATGCGCAACGTTCTTAGTATTTATGTTTTGCCTTTCATTCGAAGGGTTACTTACCGTATGTTTGGAATTAACGTATCCTGTAAGCGAGTCGTCCATGTAAGCGAGTCGTCCACCTTACCAATTATGTCTACCATTTAATGTATTATATCAACCACAACACGGATTCATTGAAAATAAAGCTATTCAGACCACGTTTGACAGCCATTTTACTTATGACCTGGCGTTTTACAAAGGCTGCATCGCTGTGGTCTCCTTTCATTGGCCAGGATAGGCGTCGGCGATAAGCCTCCGGCATGGTCTAACGTTTGCTTCCTCGTGATCGTCAAGCCATCTATGGCGAGCTGGCTGCTTTTTTCTATCAGGTTTATAGCTTTTCCTAGACGTATAGGGTCATTGGAAGCCATATTTTGATATACGGAGCCTGTCTCCTTACTCCCTTCACGGTATGCGGCTTTCGTGGTAAATGTCTCGATTCGAGCCGTCCGATATGCCTCGAGAAAGTCATTTTTGTCGACGCGGTCGATGCCCAGCCTTGTCTCCGACTCGAGCACCTTACTATAAGTCCGTTTTAAGGCCCCAAAACAGCTGATATCAAGAGGTTGTAAAAGATGAGATGAATGCGCCGGCATACAGATCGGTATAATGAATATCCGCGATTACCAAAAGGAGGATGGCGAGATGTTGATCGATAGATTTAGGTGGTTTGATCAAATGGTCGTTTCCTTTCAGGCAACACTACATACGCAATGAGACCCTAGCGACCACCAGACACTCGCTTTTGCGTAGTGTTCCTTATCAGATGATATATCCCGAATAGGCGGGACTAAGTTCAATTATACCGCGAGCTCCCTAGGCGACCACCATTTGACTTTCGAAATCCTCGATGCTGCATGTTTTGCGTCAGCATTTATTATGGTGGCTGAACTCCACTGACCGATAGTTTTGCTTCTGATATCACGGTTTTCCGAGAAACGTCCTTTGTATTTTAGTCTAGACGAAGCGTTTTTGCTTCCATGTACACGAGAACATGGTAGCGTTGAATTAACCATGATACTGGTCGAACAACAACAGTATTCGTCGCAGCTATGCGAAATAATTTCCAAAATAACTGTAAAAGAAAATAAATTGATTGAAAATCGGCTTATCTCGTTGTCTATATAGCCCGAAACATCCCCCTCAAATTAGGAACAGCTTTCCTCTCAACCACAACAGTAAAGATCCCTCGATATGATGCTCGACCAGGGGGCCTTCATTTGCCGGAGGACGCAGTGAGGCAAGTGTTGTAATGACATAGTAAGACGGCAAACTGGAGCAAATTTCCTAAATACGAATTTGCCAGCGACTACCAATATTTACCTTGATTTAATAGGACATATTATATTTATCGACCGCCATTACAATGACTCAATATGACTTCCACCTTCCTGAGCCCAACCCGTTATGAATCAGAGAGAAAGGCGGCCTTTTTTTCACCCAATGCGTGAAGAAATTGACCTTGCGGTTGCATGATACAAGCCTACTTTGAGAAGGTTCTGTTTGTTACGGGCCGTTCGAAAGAAACACATTCATTCGGTGCCTACTTACCAGAATCTCGAAGATAAAGAAGGAAAGAGAAAGAAAGAAAGTCCGCCAGAAAAAGAGGGAATAAGTCCCCAGCAAACGCGTTGTGCAAACGACCCAATATTATGCTTCAGGCATCCTTCCACGAGACGAGGCTATTCCCAGGGTCATCCGTCACACTGTTCTCAGGGCAATCAAATGGAAGCAGACGTTCAGCAGATTCTGTTGCTTAGATTGTTACATCTCTAGCTTTACCATGAGCGAATTTACCTCTTTGGGGTGCTGAATAGACCGCTGATCACTGGCGCGTTGGTTGGTATGTTTGAGGACCGAAACCCCCATTGAAGCTAGTAAAACAAATCAGAAGCATTTCAAAGACAACTATGCTTCCCTCGTTTCGACTCTTGTCTGATCAGGGAATCTAGACTGCGGAGAAAGAATTAGGGAAGGAAACAGCAGATCGTATACTAATTTGGTCTTCGATGGATTGAATCAATGAGAAACTGGCTACTGTCTTTATTTTCAGTCGATCTAGCCCATGTATAGATATGCTCTTTCCAAGCAACGGTGAGTATTGCTTCTCACCCCCTGAACAATGACCTCCGCCTTGTCTTGCTTCTTGACCAAGCCAACACCCGTACCAGCCCAGATACTCCCCATATCTTTTGGTCCTAACCTCTCAGCCGCCGGATTATTCATGGAGCTGAAAAGCCAGGCCCTAATCTGGTTGATATCGACACCACTTCTATGCTGCTCATATACCTTGTTCTTCAAACACCGACCATCATAAGTCTCTGGCCAAAGGTTTGGTCCCCAGATCTCATCAAAAACCCTAGATCTTGCAGTTGCCTCGCCACCATCCGACGCTTCAAAGATCGCATCTCGGTAAATGGCCGGAATGGAAGTCTCCTCCGCAGCAAGGAAACGAGTCCCCATAACGACCCCAGAAGCCCCGAGTGCCAATGCAGCAGCACACCCCCTCCCATCAATTATTCCCCCAGCTGCAATGAGAGGTAGACCATCAATTCCATGATCACTCAAAGCATCAGCGACCTCCGGAATAAGTGAGATAACACTAGCCCCGCTCTCGTGTCCATGGCCTCCCGCATCACTACCCTGCAAAACAAGAGCATCAGGCCGACAGGCCCGAGCCACATCAACAGCAGCACGCACGCTCCCCAGCTGGACCCAAGCACGAGTCTCAGGAGAGCAGCGCCGAATAGCTTCTGTCCATTCTTGCAGTTCCTTGGTATCGGCAAAGGAAAGCCAAGCCACAGCGGGTTTGTACTTTGCGAACAATTTCAGCCAAGCTTCTAGCGGCGATCCGAAGACTATTACACCAAGACCGATGGGGAGCGGTTTGGAAACATTAAGGTTGGATTCATGGAGGGACTGTTTGACGATCTCGAGCTCATTTGCGAGTGCGTGCAGATCGTCCAGGTAGCCGATTTGGCCAAGACCTCCGGCTTTTGTTACGGCAACGGCTAGCTTGCTTTTTGGCGATCCCGCTCATTGGAGCGTTGATTATGAGGGGCGGTTGAATCCATGGGAGGTATTCTTTCAACGAGGTCAGTAATGACATTGCGATGATTGTTGAGTTGGATTTAAAACCAGACCCGGGATAACCCCGCTTAAATAAGCTTCATTCACTGTGATCAAACGCCGAATCGTACAAAGGCCGAGAATGGCTTACAAAACATGAACTCACCACAGTTATGATATACTACCCCTCATGCTCATTTCATACATTACAGGTTGGTAGTCGCGGGGCTAGATACTATCCATATTGGGGAAGATTTGGTAAGGACGATGATAGAGACAACAGACCATCCATGGAAAGAATTTTCTCAAATGAGCGTGGCATTGGGTCTTCTTTAGACCCGCAAAACGGTCACAGCGATGAGCTGCCACTTCATCAGGCAGAAAAACATTGATTTGGAGGCACACGGCCAAAATGGCAATACTCTGCTCCATAGTCATAACAGTGAGAGTAAAATCCATGAAAGCCATTCTAAAACTTGTCTAACTGGCAACTCTAGATACAAAGAGGCAAGGAAGCCAATTTTGTTTCTTTTGTGAGATAGAACTCGAGATATGTCCCATTTTAATGCCACATGCAATGTCACCTGAGCCGATGACTTTGCGTTTCGATTAAACTAAACACATAAGTCACATACATCGAAGAGAGACGACCCTAGTCAGTAAATGCGATGGCACGTGACTAGTCTGGGTTTTCATCCGAGTTTCTGGCTGAAAACTATCCGCCCTATCCTGCCTCCATTTTCGAGGGCGATTAAAAGATAGAGGAATTCTGCAAGCAGACCATTGTTTTGATTCTAATGATACCAAATTCAACGTACAACAAGCGGCCTGGTACTTTTAGTTTGTGCCTTGATTTTAAAACCACGTGACCTTCGTCCGGGTTTTGGTTCGAGTTTCTATTGGCTGAGAGTATTCACGTTTCCCACCATCAATTTTCAATAATATGTAAAAATAAAAGCTGTTTTGGAATCTGGAGCATGTGAGCTTTCTATCCATACTGAAATTATTTCCATCCGGACGTTGTGGTGGTATGGTCACCTGCCATAATTTGCCCATTGGAATCGAAGGTTGACTAATGTTTTGAGTACCGCACATTCTGTCTCTTCCAAATCATCACCACAGCCAACAACTGCGCTACTGAAAACGCACCCGCCAGCTTCATCTGCATGCTGTAGGCCATTGCGTAAACCTCGTGAACACGAAATTGAATCTCCGGTGAAAAAGCCTTGATCGATTCAGTCGTTTTCAAAAGAGCACTTAGCTCCCCAGGTCGTATCGTATCCGACAATCGGCTCTTAAGATAATGATGTAGAATACTGGTCGAAGCTGCGACTCCCAGAACTCCGCCTAGCATTCGAAGTTGGACCCCAATACCCACAGCAGTTGATTGATCCTCCAAATCTACCACAAGTGAAACCGCCATGTAGAATGCGGAGACAGCCAGGCCTACTCCTAACCCAGCTAAAACAAGGTATCCGAATTGCCCTAGCAAAAGGTGTGTCGTGGAAGGGATTTCCGAGAAGAGGAAGAAGCCGGTGACCTCGCAGGCTATACCAACCAACGCAATGTAGCAGAAGGGAATCCTAAGCCGCCCTGCCAGTACAGAGCAGCCTATGATACCGAGTGGACAGCTCAGCGCAAATGATAGTAATTTGACGCCTGCACCGAGCGGAGAGCTTTCGTTGACGATTTGAAATCGCTGTGGAATTTCGATGATACAGACGGTCATGGGCAGACCGGTTGTAAAGAATCCTCTGTATGGCGGCTGGTTAGTTGATTCAATGGACCCTAGGAGAATGAATACACACAGAGCAACACCCATGAAGACTCGGTTGCGGGTCAGCCTCCACGGAAATACCGGAACAACTTTCAGATCATGTTGATAAACGAACCACTCCCACCAGACAAAGGTAATCCCCGCGACCACGGAGATAACAAGAAAACTGATTACCAGGCCTGAGGACCATAAATACTCGAAATTCCCTTCCTGGAGAGCAGCAATGAGAAACGAACATGTAGTCAACACTAGGAATGCGCCTAGAACGTCCAACTTGTGAAAAGACCTTGCGTTTACCCAAATTCGTTTTGATGTTGACTCTTCAGTTGGCACTGGAGATGAATCTGGGAATTGGTCTGGAAGGACGAATAAAATCACAAGCCAAGCAAAAGCACCTGCTGGAACACTGCCATCATGGTTAGATTAAGTAAATAAGAAGCAAAATATCCATACTTATACAAGAATATCCAGCGCCAAGCTCCACTATTGGAAATAGCACCTCCAAATAAAGGCCCCAGGACAAGGCCTAGGGATATAATTCCGCCAGTGATCGAGCTGACCGTGTCAAACCGCTCGTAAGGATAGATGCGAAGAAGAGAGAAGAGCGTCAAGGTGTAGACACCAGCACCACCAACGCCTTGGAATGCGCGACACACGATTCTACGATTTAGATGAGTTAGTTCTGGTAGGCTTAGGAGGAGGAAGAGACATTGTGCAACGCACAGCTGGTTGAGACTTCGAGCACTGGCGCAGCCACCGGAGAATGTCGTGAAAATAAACAGGGAAGTGAGGAGAGCTGGTTTAACCCCAAATATTTTGCCGCAATTTGACCAAATGATAAGAAATCCTGGAGCGATATGGTCAGCTGGAGACGCGCTACATTAAAAACAATTGGGAGTAGACAAGAGAACCTGTATATGTTAGCAGATAGGAGGTGACCACCCAACTGCTTTCACTAGAGTCTTGAAGGTCATTTGTGATGGTCACTAGTGACGTGCTCACAATGGTCGCCTCGATACCAGTAAGAAAGAGCGCCACGCCGAGGCTGATAATCATTGTGAATAATCAGGTTTGATTCTCTGATTGACCGACCTTGGGAATTCACTTACCCTGTAGTTCCAAGATACAGATGATGCCCTTGCAATGCGCCGCCCCATCCGATGGGCGAGTTGGGATCGTGTGCGGCCATGAGCTATATTGTGTTGGGAAATGTGTGGAAAACAGCCTTTTCTTTTATCACCAAATAGAAATAACTGGCTATCGGTCTCATGAAAAAGTTTTTATGGCGTACAGACTTCAGACTCGGCGGACAAGCTATATGATGGCTACATATGCAGAGCCACCTGCAGAGGAAGAGACGGTGTACCGCCATCTGCAATATGTAGCCACTGTCTGCACCCGTTTGTGAACTAGTGACATGGGTTCTGCAAGGGGCCCCACTACTTACATACTCATATCTGCATTGTAGTCGATCCATGGATCGTATCGCTAGAAAGAACTTCGTTAATGGACCGTACATTACCTGGTCTCAATGATGGCCAAAGCAGATAATTTCTCTACATCGCGGGGCTTTCCAACCCACGTATGCTCTCTTACAATTAATCTATCCATTCCTGGATATGTGTTGTGGGCAAGTATGCGCTATATAGATACGACGTAAATATAGATACCTACCTATAAGGTAAGGGGACGATGAGATATCAAAGTCATTATATGCCCGGTGTGTAGAGAATACCCTCGTAAATTGGTTGAAAGATTGGCGGTGTAAAATCCGTTGAGTACACAAACGAATTAGCAAATGGAAAGGACGCTTCATGCATTTTGAGTTTAAGGTTATTTTGTGATGTTCTCGGCCCTTCTGATCGGCAATTCTCGCTTATGTCATAGATTGGGCCACATAACTAGGTTATTGCCTTTTCAAAGCTCAGCTGAACGCCTTCATTGATGCTAGCCGGGTGAAATCGACCGAAACTCTGTCTCCCTATCAACCAATCGAGGACCAATGGCATTGAATTCCTTCTCAATCGTGTGTTCCTTATGCTTCTAAGGGACAATTTCAATAGCGCCAGTGGTGTCACCAATCACATTTTACTGTTTTCAAAAAGTGTAATTGTGGCCTTCTGATATCCTGCATGAAGGTAGCAATGGTAAATGGAGTGCGTCGGGGTCCGCCGGCTGACCAGACCTGAAAAACCAAGGGAAATAAGGCGGTCACTTTACTCGCCAGTGCTTCAAGCCCGGTGTCATTCAGTAAGCCATGGAAGGGCCACCGCTGCACTTTTATGAATGCATCGTTAATCAAAGATAGTGAATATCAGCACCCCATATATTCCATTCTGTCCAATCATATTGCAAAACTCCAAGGGATGGTACAAGTATTTCAATAATTACACAATCACGCCAAATGGAAAATTCACAGAACTGGATGGGCAGTGTAACAGTACCAAGGTTGTGTAACAAAACTGGCATAGCATATACATGCATATGATATCTCGTAGCGGTGAACGATATAGCTTAGCACTGCACGATATATGTTGTCAACAATATGAGGGATTTCATGGTACTGCAGGCAGGGGTGAGACTCCAGAAGACCAAGTTACGATAACGTCGTCTTATTTATAAGCTCCCATTGTCTACAAGTTTCCTTTCTAGTTCAATAAAATTTCCAAAAAATTGCAAGAACATGCCCCGATTAATCGAGGATTCGAACGGCTCTGATATCACCAACAACTCAATGAATGGACACCCCAATGACCATGTTCATAAAAATGGACCATCGCTGAATAGCCCACATCAGATAAATGACAATGAAGCTTCTGGCAATGGAATTAGTGTGCCGAAAGTGGCTTCCCAGCTGCCTATCGCCATCTGTGGCATGTCAGTTCGTCTCCCTGGTGGCCTGCACTCACCACAGCAATTGTGGGATTTCTTAGTTTCTAAGAAAGATGCCCGCGGCCCAGTACCAAAGTCCAGATACAATGTTGCCGCCTACTACTCTGAGACGTCGAAACCCAACAGCGTCAACACTGAGTATGGATACTTCCTTGACGAAAGCATTGATCTTGCTACTATCGACACGTCGTTCTTCACAATGGGAAAATCGGAGGTTGAACGCACGGATCCACAGCAACGGCAAATGCTGGAAGTTGCCAGAGAGTGCATGGAAGATGCTGGTGAAACCAACTGGAAAGGAAGACCAATCGGCTGCTATATGGGCAGCTTCGGTGAAGACTGGGTGGAGATGTTTGCCAAAGAAAACCAGCATACCGGTTCGTACCGTGTGACTGGTTACGGGGACTTCATGCTGCCTAACCGGGTCTCATACGAGATGGACCTAACTGGGCCAAGGTTAGTCAATCAATATTTCCCTCGGAAATTCCATTGCTAACTTGAAACAAAAGTACGGTCGTTCGTACTGGCTGCTCGGCTGCCCTTGTTGCACTACATGAAGCATGCTTGGCAGTCTCCAGAGGTGACTGTGAAGGAGCCATTGTCGGCGGTGCCAACTTAATAATGGCCCCAGGCATGACAGTCGCCATGACAGATCAAGGTGTTCTTGCACCTGACGGCTGCTGCAAGACCTTCTCTGCCGATGCCAATGGCTATGCTCGAGGAGAGGCGATTTCTGCGATTTTCATCAAACCCTTGGTGGACGCCGTTCGTGACGGCAATCCGGTTCGTGCGATTATCCGGGCAACGGCATCTAACAATGACGGAAAGGGCACTGCTGCTGGTATTCAAGTTCCCAATGACGTTTCCCAAGAAGCAATGATAAGGCGTGCCTATGAGCTAGCAGGAATTACGGATTACTCTGAAACCGCTTTCGTTGAGTGTCATGGCACAGGTACAGCAGTAGGGGATCCAATTGAAACAAGAGCAGTGGGTCGTGTTTTTGGCCCTCATGGCGGCGTCCAAATTGGCTCCATAAAGCCCAATCTCGGGCACTCTGAAGGAGCCTCAGGCCTTACATCGCTGATAAAATCGGTATTGGCCCTTGAAAATCGGATCATTCCTCCCAATATCAAGTTCAACATCCCCAACCCCGACATCCCGTGGGGCTCCTGTGGGCTTTCTGTTCCCACAGAACCTATGCCTTGGCCCGAGTCTCGGAGAGAGCGAATCAGTGTGAACTCCTTTGGTATCGGAGGTACTAATGCCCACGTTATTCTCGACTCCGCTCAAAGCTTCAGCGTATCACCCGTTCTCGAGCGGCCTACGACGTCGCCTCAACTGCTTGTTTATTCGGCCAATACCGCCAAATCTCTGGAATTGATGATTGCCAGCTATAGATCTTACATCCAGAAAAATCCAGGCAGAGTTAGTGACTTGGCGTTCACCCTTGGTAACAGAAGAGAACACTTACCTCATCGAGCATTTGCTGTGAAAGGCCAACTTGGTACACTCACAACTTCGTCTCCCTCAAAAGCAGGTGCAACACCCAGCATCGTCATGGTATTCACTGGTCAGGGTGCCCAATGGCCCCAAATGGGTGGCCATATGATCAGAAGCTCTCCCTATCCTGTGTTCAAGAAGACCATCCAATCTCTCAATTCATATCTGCAAACCCTCAAGCATGCTCCAGAATGGAACATTGAAGAAGAGCTTCTTAAGCCCGCTGAGACTAGCAGACTCACCTCAGCTGAGCTGTCTCAGCCTCTCTGCACGGCAATCCAAGTTGCTCTAGTCGATACCTTTGCCTCGGTTGGGGTTCAGCCTACAGCCGTCGTGGGCCACTCCAGCGGCGAAGTGGCTGCTGCATATGCTGCTGGGGCCATCACGGCCAATGAAGCCATCACCATTGCATTTTACCGTGGTCTGGTTACCAATATGCAAGACAAGCCTGGGGCTATGGCAGCTATCCGCATGAGCTCCAATGATGTCCAGGAATATCTACAATCTGGGGTAATTGTTGCTTGTGAGAATTCGCCCAAAAGTATAACTCTCGCTGGTGACGCGGAAGCAGTTGAGACTGTCATTGCCAGGATCAAAACAGCCAGTCCTGATATCCTAGCAAGAAAGCTGCAAGTCGACAAAGCGTACCACTCTCACCACATGGCTGAAATAGGTGCCGACTACCATGCCCTTATTGAACATGAAGTGTCTGCCAAAAGTCCGGCAAAGGCGTTCTTCAGCAGTGTGGAGAACAGGGTGCTCACCCAGGATTCGAGCTTTGGCCCCAAATACTGGCAGAAAAATTTGGAGTCCCCGGTGTATTTCAGTTCAGCCGTCTCATCCATTCTCCAGCACGAGATTGCGAAAAATATGGTTTTCCTGGAGGTTGGCCCTCACTCAGCTCTTGCGGGTCCCATACGGCAAATCCAGACTCAATTTTCCAACTCTTCCCCATATATCTCTGCACTTATCCGCGGCCAGAATGACGTTGAATCGTTCCTGACGGCTATCGGGAAACTGCATGTTGTAAATGCCCCTCTCGAACTGCATAAGGTTATTAACCAGGGCTCTACTCTGCCAGACCTCCCAAGATACCCATGGGACCACTCGAAGAAATTTTGGTACGAGTCTAGGCTGAGCAAGGAGTGGCGACACCGCGAGCACAAGTATCACGACCTTTTGGGTATCCGGGTTGCGGAGAGTCTCGAGTTTGACGTTACCTTCCGAAATGTCTTCCAATTGACCAACGCGCCCTGGATTCGTGACCATAAGATCGGCGACGATATTGTCTTCCCTTTTGCCTGCTACGCTGGGATGGTTGGTGAGGCTGTGCGACAGGTCACCGGAGTCGATGAAGCTTTCAAACTTCGCTCCATTGTCGTCAGTGCTGCCCTTGTCTTGAACGAAAATCATCCAGTTGAAATTATGACCACGCTGCGTCGCCATCGCTTGACGGACTCCCTCGACAGTGAATGGTGGGAATTCACTATCGCATCCCACAATGGAACCATTTGGACCAAACACTGTGTTGGCCAGGCTAGATCGCATAGCGAAAGCTTTGGAGATGCGGAGATAAATCTTCCCCTCTTGCGTAAGGTCAATACCCGCCGTTGCTATGAATCCATGGCTAGGTCTGGCCTCAACTTCGGCCCCTCATTCCAACGTCTCGGTGATGTCAGGTCTGACACTACTACTCAGAAGGCGACGTCTGAAGTTGCTGCAAAGGACACCGATGGCAAGGACTACCACCTGCACCCGACAGTCATTGATGCCTTATTGCAGCTGCTCAGTGTTGCCGCGTCAAAGGGATATGCTGATCCCACGACCAAAATGATGATCCCAACCAATATTGAAGAGATTTGTATCTACCGCTGTTATGGTGGTGTCCAAATCCGATCTTCCGCCTGTTACACACCAAATGGTTCCATTGTTGGTCATGGGGAGTGTGTCTCTGCTGACGGGAAGCTCGTCTTGTACAGCTCTGGAATCAGACTCTCTGTCCTGGAAGACCAGGATTCCGGCAAATCGCAAGACGCCACTGCGCGTACAGAATGGGGTCCCCATATCGATTTCCTAGATGCCAGCACTCTTATCAAACCTTTGATTGACCGCAGCGACCACGTGCCCCTCCTCACGGAGCTGTCTGATATGTGTATGGTTCACACTCAGCGTGTCATTACAGGGTTGGACACTTCAATCAGTCATATGCACAAATACCGAGCATGGATCGATCGCCACCTCCAGTCTCCTAATCTCCAAAGTCTTCAAACCCTTGACAATGCCGCTATTGAGCAGCGAGTGAAGCGCATTGTCCACGCGTTGTCCCTCACTCCGGGCTGTGATGGCGCCGTGGCCATTCAGAAAATCTTCAGCAACGTTGAAAAGATCTTCACTGGTGAAGTGGATGCGCTGGAGGTGCTCCTGTCGGATGATACATTGACCAAACTATATGTTTCTATGGAGCTGTGCGATGAGTCGCTTTTCTTCAAGCACCTGACTCACAGTAAGCCTAATCTCCGTGTCCTTGAGATTGGTGCCGGAACAGGTGGTTCTACAGCCAGCATTCTGAAGATGTTAGCATCTGGAAACAATATCCTATACTCGCAGTACACATTTACTGATATTTCATCGGGATTCTTCGTTGCTGCCAAGGAACGCTTCAGTGCGCATCCAAACATGGAATACGCTACGCTTGACATCAGCAAGGATCCCTCAGAGCAGGGGTTTGATGGTCATGAATATGATCTTGTTCTTGCAGCTAATGTCATTCATACCACCAGGTCTCTCGGTGAGAGTTTGACCAATGTCCGTAAACTTCTTGCACCCAACGGTCGGCTCCTGCTTCACGACATGACACCATCTTCCAAGTGGCCCAACTACGTCTGGGGAACTCTACCCGGTTGGTGGTACGGCGAGGCCGATGGCCGGCCGGATGAGCCTTACGTTAATACCGAACGCTGGGTGAGAGAGTTGAAGGCTGCGGGGTTCCGCACCCCTGATACTGTGGTTCTTGATTCAGCAGAGCCAAATCAGATGAACGCCATGATTGTGGCCAGGCCAGCGATCAAGGACATCCCCAAAAAACGAGTCACGCTCCTGACACTCGCTGAATCGACTTCTGTCAGCTCAATACTTCGGGCTCTGGAGAGCAGGGGATATGCCATTCATCATTGCGGATTGCAGGATGTGCCGTTGCCTGCTGGCCAGGATGTAATTGCTTTTCTTGATGATGAAGGCTCCTTTTTTGAAAATATGGATGAGACACGCTTCGAGTCTTTCAAGAATTTGGTGAAGAACTTGAAGGAATGTGGTATTCTCTGGGTGACTGGCCTTTCGCAGATCCAATGCCATGATCCTAGATTTGGCCAGATCAATGGTATTGCCAGAACCATTCGTTGCGAAATGATAGTCGATTTTGCTATCTGCGAGGTCGACCATGTGGCTTCCTCTCTAGACAGCATCATTGATGTGTTTGAGAAGTTCCAGAGTCGTCAGGAGGACCGAATGCTCGAGCCTGAGTTTGAATACGCAATTGTCAAAAATACTGTCCACGTTGGACGTCTTATTCCCTTCTCAGTGCAAGATGAGCTTCTGACATCCGCTTTGACTGACAACATTGCGCTTTGCACCAGCAAGCCTGGCCGTCTTACTGCTTTACACTGGGCTCGACAGGACACTGAATCGCTGAAGGGCGATGATGTCGAAATCGAAACTCATGCCGTTGGCTTGAACTTCAGAGTAGGTCAAATTATCACTAAAGAAAACAATTCCGAATTCTGACTCAATTTAGGATGTTTTGTGTGCCATGGCCATCGTTGAAGCTCCAAGGAATGAATTCGGCTATGAAGCTGCCGGCATTGTTCGCCGCATCGGCCCCAAGGTTAAAGATATTAAGGTCGGCGACCGCGTCATGTTAATTTCGCGCGCTGCATTCGGGACGCAGGTGGTGGTATCTGAGAATCTTTGTGAAACGATTCCTAGCGGCTTGAGCTTTGAGGACGCAGCTGCCATGCCTTGCGTGTTCGCTACCTCGATCTACTCCCTCTTCAATACTGGTAATTTGAAGAAAGGAAAAGTTTGTTTTCCTTCACTTTCTGCGCCTTTTGGTTGGTTCCTAACAACTTCTTTAGTCCGTTCTTATCCATAGTGCATGTGGTGGTGTTGGTCTTTCTGCTATTCAGCTTGCCCAGATGGTTGGCGCCGAGATATATACAACTGTCGGTAACGAGGAGAAGGTCAAGTATCTTATGGAAACTTTTGGACTTCCGAGAAACAGGATCTTCAATTCTCGTAATACCTCGTTCGCCAGGGACGTCATGCGCGAGACCAACGGCGAAGGGGTTGACTTGGCCCTGAATTCTCTGTCCGGCGAGTTGTTGCATGCGACATGGAAGTGCATTTCAGCCTTTGGCAAAATGGTCGAGATTGGCAAACGAGACTTGATAGGCTCCGGAAAGCTTGACATGAGTTTTTTCTTAGCCAATCGTAGCTACTGCTGCGTTGACTTGGATCAGATTTGTTTCACTAGACCGGCAATTGCAAAGGGGTAAGTGTCACTGATGGTACGGACATATGGCATGCTGCGGCTAATATATCACGAAGGCTGCTCAAGAATATTGTGGACCTACTTAAGGAGCGCCATATAAATCCCATTCGACCCATCAAGGTCTTCACGTCTGATGCCATCCTGGACGCTTTCCGGTATATGCAGCAGGGTGTTCATATAGGCAAAATCGTCGTGTCAATGCGCAATTCTGCTGGCAAAATAACTATAGGATTGAAGGTTCATCAGCGGAAGAAGCTCACCCGCTTTGATAGCTCTGGTGCGTATCTGCTTGTCGGTGGCCTCGGGGGCTTGGGTCGCTCTATCTCCACATGGATGGTAGAACGCGGAGCCCGTCACCTTATCTACCTTTCCCGGAGTGCTGGTTTAAATGAAAAGCACCTAGAGTTTGCGCAAGAACTTATCAGTATGGGCTGCCGCGTCGATTTTGTTCACGGTAGCGTTTCCAAGCCTGATGATGTGACCAAGGCCATTGCACAGGCTCAAGGCCAGCTCAGGGGTATCTTTCAGATGTCCATGGTGCTTCGTGATCAGAGCTTCCCCCGCATGACAATAAATGAATGGGACACCGCTGTTGATCCTAAGGTCAAAGGAACCTGGAATCTCCACAGTGCTTCCGTATCCGCGAATGCGGACCTTGACTTTTTCATTCTTTTCAGCTCCGTTTCCGGTCTCTTTGGGCAGCCCGGTCAAGCCAACTATGCCGGTGCCAACAGTTTTCTAGACGCCTTCTCCCAGTATCGCTTGAGTCTGGAGCTGCCGGCCTGCGCCATCCAGATTGGCGCCGTCGATGGGGTTGGATACCTCTCCGAGCACGAGTCGCTCATGCACAAGCTAAAGGTTTCCGGTAACTTGGGTGGGAGAGTCTCGGAGCAGGAGGTCCTTGAGACGATCGAGGCAGCCGTACAATCTTCCATAAATAAGCCACGACTCTGTGCCTCAAACAGCTTCTGTCTTGGGCTCCGCTCAGCCGCACCCCTGGGAAATGCTGGAAGCCGTACCCACTGGAATAAAGATATCCGAATGGCTGTCTTCCATAATTATGGACAGACCGGCAATACGTTGGCCTCTACTTCCAGTGAAGGCCTGCAATCTTTCCTAGCCGCGGCTAAGGATGATCCCGCTTTACTTAGTCAGCTTGACTCTGCTCACTTTCTCGCAGTCGAGATCGGAAAGAGAGTGTTTAGCTTCTTGTTGAAGCCAGAAGAAGACCTGCAGACGTCGTGCTCCCTGGTGGATCTGGGAATAGATTCCCTCGTGGCCATCGAAGTGAGACAGTGGTGGAAGACGACTTTCGGTTTCGATATAAGTGTGCTCGAAATGATGGGGATGGGCAGCCTTGATGCCCTTGGAGAGCACGCTGCTCATGGAATGCTTAAATTGTTCCACGGCGTTGAAGAGTAGGCCAGTTAAGTAGATTGTGTTTTTTTACCGTAACCGCAAAGAAATATACAGCTGTTAGCCACTACCAGTAAACCTAGTGACAGTTTTGCAGGAAGTTCGCCGCAGCGATGACGACTAAAGAGTTAATATCCATGAAACCCCCAAGGCCTATTCCAAAGGAGTTACGTATTAAGCATACCAGGAATAATAGAGTCAGCGCTGGATGAATATACCTAGGCTAGGGCTGCTAGAAAATAGGGGATTGGTAAACCCCTTCTTGCCTGATTTTTTAGGCGGAAATATTTAGCCACTTCCGTTCTCCGCAGCAAACTTAGCTTTGTTGTAGTTCAGAGGAAGATTGATTATTTTTCTTCTGGACAGAAAACTTGAGGGTTTATGTACACATGCAACCTCCAGATTGATTTCCAATCAAAGCGGCCAATTCCGTGAGGTTAGGAATTGATTCCGTTACAATACGACATATCACAACAAGCTTCAACATCAGCTGCTTCATTACCATGCATGCCCACATGTGCGGGGATCCAACGGATCTCAACGGCGGGAATCCCTGTCTTTTTTATGGCACTATGGATTAGGGTATAAAAAAAGGTTTTCCTGCTTCGCCATGTGCTGCATTTATTGTCCAGCCGCCTTCCACTCCGCATAAGTTTTAATTTTCCGTAAAGCTCCGTTTTGGTGTTTTATCGGCCACTCATTGACGATCTTGTCAATATAGGGGCAATATGCCGGCACCTGCATTGAGTATTTCATCATCAACTCGGCCGCAAATCCCTTCACACAATCTGCCACCTTCTCCCGATCCGCTTCTTTGCAGTAGTCGATATTACGAGGTTCAAGCGTCCGCTGGACCGGAACCTCAGCAGAAATTTCATACCAATAAGAAATAAAAGTTGTGAGGTCACACCCCCGAACCCTCCAGAGTCTCATTCCGGTAATGGTAGTATACTTAGGCCTTCAACAGGGCCGTGAGCCAGTGTGTATAGCCCACAGTCGGCCGTGGGCACCCATTTGGAGGCCCCCAATTTGGCCGCAAAACTATAAAAAATGCCTAGCCCGCGCGAATATATAGTTTTATGCATTTTCTCGCTGTACAAACCAAAAGTATAAGAATCAACTAAAAGGACCCAGTGTTAACTACATCTAACGTAGATCTTGGGATAACAAGATTCCAATTCTCCTCGCTGGTGGATATGATGGGACCACAGCGGAGGGAGCCGTGAACAAGAAGTATGCGAGGTTCGACACAGTAGTACCGGACATCGTTGCTCGTACGAAGCTCGGTCAGCCCCGAACCCTGTTAATTTGAAGTCACTCTGCATACCCGGGCTGAAGCAAGGCCACATTTACCATTCTACCGCGGTCGCATAGGCGTTTATCAGGGGCAATGGTTCCCGCAGACAGAGAAAAATAAGTCCAATTCTTCAAGAAATCAAATTTCAGCTATCTGGTGGGCCGACGTGGCCCTAGTGGCGGCGCCAGACAAACCTTTGTGTCTCGCGAGAGAATGGGCTGCCAGAAAACGGTATTACTCTTTGCTGTTTATTGTCAGCCCGCGCGCTTCTGTCTATATTGGCCAATTTTGATTTCCTATCACGCGCTGTTTCATCTAGAGCGATCTTCACAATCAGGGCAATCTACTATTACCCATTTACGCAACACCCTTGAATTTTGTTTTCACAACCTACCCCCGAGCTCCCCCCAGAAAAAGGCCTTTGGGACTGTGGATCGCGCGGGATCGGTGACGGCGCTCAACTATGCTCTGGACCGGCTTGCATGTACTTGGTCCTACCATTCTCAAGCCAACGATACCCAAATTCTCCCTTACGCTATACGTACATCCTTCCTCGGACAACAGTTGCCAGACTTGGCGCAAAATAGTAATGCCTATACTTTATTGACACTGACCGTAGTCAATGTTCAAGATGATTCTTAGCAGAGTCCGTGGACTAGTCATTGATTTGCTCGCGGCAGAAGGTCCTGAAAGGAGACAAACATGGTCTGATATTCGCGCTTGATTACAAGTGCGATATGCAGATGCCCGGAGAAACTGATCGACTAGGTCAATTTTGTCCCGTTATAGAATTGATAACTTGTTAGTCTAGTCTGTTGGGGTAGCGGGGCTCAGGTTGGTGACTCCAACAGACTCCGACTGCCTCACTCCGCTTCAGTGGACCGTGAATACTTTGGGACAAAGGGACGCTGGAGCCTGGCGTGATCGAGATTCGTCTCTAGACATGAAGCTGAAGACTCGTAGTAATCAATTGAGGAAACTTTAATTGCCTTCGTGCAGCTGAACCACAAGTCGCCCTTTGAAAGCCGGGTCCTTGTATACTTCTACAATTTCTGGGATCTTTTCAAATGGTATCGTCGTGAGATGCGACCTCACCCCCGCCCTTTCCACCGCTTCTATCATCCTCTCTGCTGCCTTCCTGCCGCACACGTAGCTTCCCTTGATCGAGAGCTCCCGGAAGACGATCGGAGCAGCATCGAATTGCCAGGGTTCTTGGGGTAGCCCCAATAACCCTAGGGTGCCTCCAACTCTAAGGGTGGTTAATGCCCACCGGTTGGCTTGAACGGAGGATGTGCAGACGATCGCTGCTGCGACGCCCTCGCCATGCGTAAAGTCATAGATGGCCTTGGCGGCAAAATCCGTATCTGAAGAGTCCACCACCAGATCTGGTCTGAGCTCAGCGTTATCTATATCCATTGCCAACTGTCTCCCTGCCTCCCTTAACTCGACGGCAATAGTCCGGAAACCTAGTGATTTGGCAAACTGTAGACCGAGATGTCCGAGGCCTCCTATGCCTATAATGGCGACAACTTCTCCCTGACGAAGTCCAGACGTCGCTTCCTCGAGGGACCCCCAAACCGTAGCACCAGCACACATCAGAGGGGCGGCTTGCTCAAAGGGAATGGACTCTGGAAGCTTGATCGTTGTATCCGGGTCTGCGGAGGCGTAATCTGCAAAACCCCCGTCGTGCAGAAACCCAGCAGTCTCGCGAACATCGCAAAACCGCGGGTCCAGGCCAGCACCTGTTCGGTTCCTCAATTTGCAACCCACACAAGCATTACAAGCATGCTTGAAGTTCAGCACGCCAACTCTGTCTCCTTGGCAGAGATCGCCTTTGTAATTGTCCCCGACTTGGGCAACGATACCGGCTATCTCATGAGAGGGAATAAGGCCGATTGGTGACGGTTTTGTGAATTCACCCTGTAGGGCTTGCAAGTCCGAATGGCAGAAGCCGGCTGCGTGGATACGCACAAGAACATCCGTATCTCTGACCCAAGGCAGTGGCCGCTCACCCAGGGCATAAGGCTTGTTGTACTGTGAAAACGTTCAGCTAGTATCTTGGATAGCTTTTTGTAGACTTACTTCGGCGATGTAAGCCGCTCTCATCTGTGAGGGCAGTTGATTTCCCGAAGCCATTCAGCCGCGTTTCTGTGGTTGAAAGACGAGATTTGTACGCCGTATGCCGCTCTGCCGCATGTGGGAGAGGATTCTGGCGGACGACCTGACGAGAGCAGGATATTTAGCCTTCGTGAACCTCAGCCAACTGTTTCAAAACCGGCATGACATTCGTTATTTCTCCAACCGATCTTAGACGATTTGGTATCAAAACGCAGACCCTCGGCAACGATTTCCTGTGCTCTACTCCACTCTAGCTAGTTCTACGTGTTATGAATGGGGTCAGTCGATTTATCAGGGTCTCAAATCCAGGCGAAGCAAGCTACTCCAAATCGTGGACTGTTTCCCCAATCGTCAGGAAGCACCTCCCTCACTGGCTTAGTCATCCTCGGGGTGACGGAGGATAAATATCATAACGAGTGTAGCGGTTTCAATCGCATGCTCTCCGCTCGATCCGTGAATGACAATTATAACCTCCGCCTGTCCAAGTATCCTAGACTCGTCCTCAATGGAAGAGCCACGCTGCAGGGTAACAGAGTGCAAACTTGCGGGCTTGTAGTGTGCTTTTAATTTACTTCAGAAACCGAGGTTTCTTGTCGCGTACTATCTTAGAAATATCATAGATTGTAAAGACAACGTGAAGGGAAACGCACGATCGCTTCGATTCCCGAAGTATCAAGGTCAATCAAGAAGTACGGAAGATATGCTTAGAATCAGACTAAATTTAGACACGAGATCCATTTTGCGCTCAAGGTAGATAAGTTGTTATAAAAAGGTTTGGTCAATGCGCCTTTGCCTCGTGCTTTTCGACAAAATTCCAGTATTTCTGTGCAGTGCACCGCCTCAAGGGCTTACCGAAATAGATCATCGCTATGCTGGTTAACCACACAATCTCTCCCAAGATAGCAATCAAGACAAAGGCATAACAGACGCCCAGGATGTTCATCATTGGTACAATAGCGTAGCCAAATGCGAAGCCTACTCATTCATTAGTCGATTGTACCGTAGTCGATAAATGGATGAAGACACTTACCCATCAAGTTCCGAATGAGGATTGCAGACACGAGACCTTCTCCCGCCATTTCTCTGTAGGTGTCAAGAATATAGGTATAGGCGAGACTCGATCCCATGGGGAGCGTGGCGGTCATCAGGCCAAGGCCAATAACTACCCCAGACCAGTGTATCCCGTACGATGCGCCGACACCGTAAAGGAGGCAGCCAGCCGGATGTATGACAAGCGCGATAAGGCTGATCCAGAGTCGTTGCTCGGGTTCCATGATCCCTCCATTGCGGCGCGCTAGGCGGATAGCGATAATATCAGACAGCCATCCAGAGAAGCAGCAGCCAATTGTGACGCCGGTGAAGGAGGCGAGAGAAACAAGGCCGATACTGTTGGTGCTAAAGTTGTAAGGCTCATTACCGAGAACCAATGCCAAGGAGCCACCGATACAGTTATACCAAGCAAGGATTCCGCCGACTAGAAGTCCGCTATAAAACAGTGCAGGGAACATAAAAAGAAGCTGGAATGGTACAAAGAAGACCTTAAACGGGTTGGGTTGATTTGGATGATGGAAGCCCCAGAGCTTGAGCTTCTGGATATAGGTCTTGGTGCTTCTGACCGGACTGAACTCAGAAACATGAAAAGAGGGCATATTGGATTGGTCGTATGGTGGATAAGTTTTCTTCTCGTCGATCTTCTTCGATTTATCCGTGGCTACACTTTCTTCCATCGGTTTGGGAGTGCTGATCATGGAGGTAGCTCTGAGAATCTCAGTCATAGTTGAGGCGTTGTCGCGGAAGAACATGGTCTCTTCAAAGACAAAAAAGGCCATGAGAGCGACCGCTATCCCGACAAAGGTCAGGATATACTGGATCCATTGCCAACCGAGATATTGAGCGACGTAACCCGAGGCCACAGGCGATAGAAAGGCGCTGCAGAAGAGAGCCCAGGCATACGCGCCCATGTAAAAGCCTCTGTCGTGGGTGAAAAAGACGTCTCCAATGACGATTTCGACGAGCGTTTCTTGTGGCGAAGCGGAGATACCAAGTAAGATGCGGTTGGCAAAGAATTCTCCTCCCGACTGAACGAAGGCAGTCCACAACGTCATGCCAGTTACCATGATGATAGATACCACCAGCATAAGGCGACGGCCGTACTTGAGCGCCAAACTCTGCGTGATCAGAGTGCCCCAGCCCATGAAAAGATATAGAATGCCATTGCCAGTACTCAAATCTGCAACAGAAATCCCAGTGGCTTCTTCAATAAGAATATAGGCAGGCGACAACCCAGAGATCATAGCGCCGATGAAGAAGCACCACGTCATCACGCAAATAATGACGGACCTCTTACGAGACTTGCTCCATCGTAGAGGGTCATCGGGGTCGTCGGTAGGCTGGGGAACGAGGACGATATCGTGCCATCCTTGACCGTGAGTGACGTTGAGAATTCCTTGAGTGTCAACCAACTGCACCGTTCCGGGAATAGGTGGTAGAGTCTCCATTAGACTGGTAGTCTCAAATGCTTGGTCTTGAAAATCGCCTCTGCGTCCGTGAAATAAACAGGAGTGAGGCAACAAGGTGGTCGAGGCCGAGAAGAATAATAAATTTCATGTGACGAGCTGATGGCTGTCTTGTGGTCGGATACTAACTTTGTTTCTTATATATCTTTTCGCTTATCTACACTCCCAGACAGCTGGGTAGCTCGTGCGTACTACCCCAAATTTTACCCCAGCTTTTTGTCCCTTATCTCCCAGAGTCAAGGGTTTATTGGAGCGAGTTAAGTGTTATCCGCCTTGTCACGTACAAACCATAGAGTTATTGGCTTCGTATCACTGTCGGTGCGGAGATTAATATGCTCCCCGACCTGGTTTGCTTCCCAACAAGAGTAAAAGACCAGTCACAGGAGCAGCGAACCAGATCCCCCTCATTATCTAGAGGAACGACTCATTCGGCTTTGAAACGATTCCACGCACTGTCGTTTGGCTTACGCATACGAATACCTCGCTGCTGATGCTCCACAGGGCGGACTGCATCACGCAACAGCATTTGATGCTACAACCCCTCTCAAGTTAGGGTGGCAAATTCAAGGTGGAGCCAATCAATCAAGGTGCGAACGAAGATTTAATCTTGCGGGCAGCACCCTCGGGAAGAGCAGAGTTCTCACGGAAATTTTCGCTGTATCGTGGGCCCGGTGTTGGCATTTTGAGGCTATAGTTTCTAAAGAAGGGTCGGCATACACTTCGGAGGTAAGGTGATAAGGTGCGTAGTAAATGGGTATGGGGAATAAGAAGAAGGGACACGAAGCAACGAGCGTAATTGTACAGTAGCGGCAAATCAGTTGAACAGACATACACTATCAACCAGCTACAATAATAGTGGATGTTAGCAGGGACTGAATGGTCTAATAGATAGGACTTATCGGTGTCCTGTGGATTCCATTGTGGGGATGAAGCACACTAACACTCGTTATCCGCTACTCACCGCCTCCGAGGTCTTCCGATTAGAGGCCACTTTCGGAATTCGGGCCCCAAGCCAAGCTTTTAAGTACTCCAACAGAGTGCTGTGCCCCACCCAACATACAAACTTGTACCCCAACATTGCCTGTACCCCAAGAGAGTGCTTGAGTTTCCGGGGTGGGGTATGCACGCCTATGCTCCACTGAGTTCCCCATAACCAATTTCAATCATCAATGTGCCCCGAACCACAATACGAGATCGACTACAGGGCCACCTTATCTCGTCTAGGTCAACGTGACGTAATCACAATCTCACGTTAGTTACCTGAAACTAAGGAAGCAATTTTGAACTTATGAAGCTATCTAATAATGCATTTTTACACCATTTTTTGGTTCTTACAGGCAGATCATGTTAATACTATTAATTATCTTTGGAAAGTTTTTGAAATCAAATTGTATTCAAGTCTGATAGGGTATGTTAAATTAGTACTGGTATTAGATTTATCGAGAAGGGTAAGTGAGTAGTGGTAAATGTGCTCTTATGGATGCTTTTGGGACTCGGTTGGCTATGCTGCGGGAATATTTATTGAACACCTCATAAGGAGGAGTGATGTATTCTGAGTAAACTGACATTTGAACCTCGATTTCTCCTTAATGATGATTTATCCTAGATATAATATAGAGCTAGCTAAAATCATGTTTTTGATGATTTTAATTGTATATAACTAACCCTATAAAAAATAGAAGTAAATTGCATGTTTTAAATGATAAGTTATTGTAGCATATGGTTAGTTTGCGGTTATTTTGCGGTTAGCTTGCGGTTATCTATTGGTTAACCAAAAGATAACCGCACTACTGGATGGTGGGATCCAATCAGCTTACAGGATGAACTAGCAACTATAATTGCTTTTGATCTCTGTTGATTCCCCCCAGTCGCAGCTCATTCCCTCTCATCCCAAAGTGAATCCCAAGTAAGTTTCCTTTTCCTCTCTACCGGACACCTACTGCCTAGGCCTTTCTTCATAATGGCTTATTCCCAAGTATCTGGTTTTACCGATCATTTTTCTGAGCCTGACTTTCTACAGTCAGACGATTTACCTGCCCTTAGCAATAGCTGCCGAATTTCGGTTGCCCTGTCTGATCCTCGTCAGTCTTCCCAACAGCTAGCACCATCCTTGTTAAAACGTGTTGGCCCTCTATTCCACCAGATCTGGATACTATACAATAAAGATACTGAGATGAAGCAATCTCGCTTACAATTTACGGAATGGTGGCTACAGACCGAATTTGGAGTAAAGGAGGATGCTAGAGCTTCGATCGGCTGGGATAATAAGAAAAGATCAAGCGTTTGGGATGAATTCGACCAAGTTGCAAAAGAGAAGACTGGCGAGCCAAAGATCATATGCAAGCGCTGCCATACTACCCTTACTCATCCCCAGCTACGCCGCGGGGGAACAAGCCCCATGAATACGCATCTTAAAGATACTACTTGCAAGCCTAGGCTATAAAGATGAGGGATTGATCAGCTGCTACTCCAATCGGTCAGTTTGAATATCATCTCATTCATCTACCACTATTTATTAATTCTCCTCTTATTTAGCCCCAAACCCGATCGCCCCAGTCCTTCTCTAAAGATCTTCTTATCCATCATCTTCTCCAGCTCATCACCATGGCCCGACTCCCATTCCACATACTTGGGCGTCCTGAGTTCCGAAAACTTTGTGATATCATTCAACTAGCTCCTTCCAAGATTAAACTACCATCTGCTCGGTCTATTCGTCGTCAGCTAGACCTAGAGATTCAACAAGGACGAAAAGGTGTGTTTAATAAGTTACCACAGGGAAGCAGACTCTCAAATGCATTAGACTGCTGGACATCACCATTTTCCCAAGCATTCATAGCAATTACTGGCTATTTCATTGATAATGACTGGGAGTATCGGGAGGTCCTTCTTGGGTTTGAGCCTCTACATGGTTCACATACTGGAAGCAATTTGAGTGCAGTTGTTATTGTTACGGGCCGTTCGAAAGAAACAGATTCATTCGGTGCCTACAGGACGAGAATCCCGAAGATGAAGGAAGGAGAAAGAAAGAAAGTCCGCCAGAAAAAGAGGGGCTAAGTCCCCAGCAAACGCGTTGTGCAAACGACCCAATATTATGCCTCAGGCATCCTTCCACGAGACGAAGCTATTCCCAGGTTCATCCGTCACAGTTATCAACATTCTTGAGGAACACCAGATCACCGACCGGATATTATCTATCACGACAGATAATGCAACGAACAACAATAACATGATCAACAGCATCCAAGAAGAGATCGAGGTACAAGGAATTCGTGACGCAGGGGTCTTTCGGATTCCATGTCTCGCCCATGTGATTCAGCTGAGTCTTAATCAATTACTGGGTAAAATGAAGGCAGTCCCCATCAATGATGAGACTGAGATTGAGTGGTCGGATGAGCGTGCATACTCAACACATCCCAAGCGCACAAACAGAGAGATAGTCGATACTCTGAATAAGGTAAGTCTTTCTTCCTCCTTTTTACCTACAAAATCACTAACCTCTCACTCTATATCTAGATTCGGAACCTTGCTATCTTCATCAATGCAAGCCCACAGCGCCGTGAGGCCTTTTTGTGCCTTCAGACCGAAGAGCCTCATCTACTCCCTATTCAGGATGTCCGTACACGAGGCAATTCTACCTTTTTAATGCTCGGTCGTGCAAAGCGGCTACAGGAGACCTTTAAACGCTACTGTATATCCCATGGATACCCCCAATTCCATCTTGACAAAGAGGAGTGGCGCCAGGTCGAGTACCTACTTTGTATCACCCAGCCATTCTTCAAATTCACTACCGCTCTCTCAAAGTCAAAGGATATCACTATTCATCTCATCTTTAGTATCTACAATAAGCATTTTAGTCACCTTAAGGCTTCCGAAGACCAGCTTCGCCGGAAGAGTATTCCATGGACGAAAACTATGCTTCAAGCACTCCAAGAAGCAAGAGAAAGCTCTCAGAGTACTATAAGATGGCTGACCATGAGTGCTATGGTGATATTTACGCAATTGCAACGATCCTGGCACCTTCAAAGAAGCTTCGCTTCTTTAAAACTAAGGATTGGCAAGGTGATGTTGACTACGCTAGACGATATCGTGGTCGATTAGAAGAGGAATTCTGGCATTATAAGAGACGGCTTTCAGATAAAAATGGCCCTGCATCATCTAGGGCTTTAGCTGGTTCACTCAATACTGTGGATGAGATTGAGATGCTTTGTGACTCCCAGAATACTCCCCAACCGGACGAGCCCCAAGAGAATAATGATGACGAGCTTGATAGCTATTTTGCTAAAGGTAAGCCCCTATCTATCCATAAAGAAACTTCGAGTAATTAAAACTAATAAGCCAGGACTGATACCTCAACATCCTCGTATGTTCTGGAAAGAGCACCAACAAGATTTTCCAATTCTTGCAGCACTTGCACGGGACATCTTGTCTATTCCTGGCAGCGGTGCTGGTGTGGAGCGTCTGTTTAATTGCGCGCGTGATATCTGTCATTATCGGCAATTAAAACCGGAGACAGTCAAAGAGCTGATGCTTCATAAGTGTGCAACAAAATTCGAGGTTGAACAAAGGGAGATTGATTTCACTAAAGAGCTTATTTCAGTTGGGGAGGCAACTCTTCTTGACCAGGAGAGAGGTTTCATACCACCTGTGCCTTCTCTGGATCCTATCAGTGATAGTGAGGAGGCCGAAGATGAAGATACAGTAGTTGAGATCCCCTCTCAGCCACAACAGCCTCGGGCTCAGAGTGAAATTACTAGACCCAAGAGACCTCGGAGTAGAAGCACTCAATCCCAGGAGAATGAAGTTATACCTGAACCGGCTGATCTGGAGAATACACAACGACCTAGTCGAGTACGGAAGAAGACCAGGATGCCAGAAGGATTTGAAATTGGAACCCCATGAGTGTATAATAAATCAAAGAAGCACACTACAATATTAAATGAATTATTTACAAAAAAAGTAGATTGGTAGGATACTCTATACTGACTAGATACTAGAAAATACCAAAAAGACTGCATAAAAAATCATCTGACCAAAAGGTCACGAGGCTTGGCCTGTTTGCTATTGAGAGTGTGAGATGTACAGGATGATCGTGAACGGGTGAGAAGCAGGTGGTATTGGCTATCTGCTGCTATCTTCTGCTATCTGAGAGAGAGAGAAGAGGAAGGAAGAGAGAGCGTGGGAAGTGAGAGAAGAGGTACAGAGTCAGGTGACTGCGGTGACTAAGTGAGTACCTGATGTATGTACGCTGAGCTATGTTTATCAAACCATTGGTTAACCAAAACCGCATTGCGGTCTTGGGCTGAAGACCGCAACCAAACCGTAAAAATTTGCGGTCTTGATTTGAAGACCAAAACCATTTGGTTTTGGATATGGTTGCGGTTAACCATGGTCTTTGCAGTTAGTGCCGCAGTCTACCAATAGATCACGAGACTACTAAAATAGGGAGGATCTTCGAAAGTTATGCATTTGCGGTTAACCAATGGTTAACCGCACTGTGGTTTTGGTTAACCGCAGATTTTTGGTTTTGGTCTTCAACCCAAGACCGCAACCAAAACCATGCCGCAGTCTAACTGTTGGATTATATTTCGAGATAAGCGTGGAGTTGCTCCTAGGCCTTCAAATGTGATAGAAAAGACCAGTATTCTTGTTAAGGCAGATAGCCCGACTCTTCAACAAATTATAAGCGACAGTTGGGTTGTCGAGTTTATCAAATGCCATGAGAACCTAAAGGTCAACTTGCAAGAAGATGTCAAGTTGGAGAGTGTTGATTTTACTACCATCCCTCTCTAGAACTAGTTTATACCGCGTACGCCCGCATCTCCTATATATTCCCCCTGAAAAGCAGAGTTAGTTCTTCAACCAGGCATCAATTCAACATCCTCTCATTGAACATCCTCGATACTAGCTGATACGTCGAATCTTCAGGTTGACAGAATATTCAACCTATCAAAGTGCTCGATTTGACGATCTTGAGGCTATGAATCGTTGATTGATCATATATAGGAAATTCAAATACAGTATGGAATCCTAGCTGAAAATATCTTCAATTTTAATGGAACTGACTTTACCATGGGTTTAGTAGCAACAGGATCTGGGAAAGTCTGATTTTACTCAACCGGAGAACCAGGAATGGGTTACAACGATCCAATGCATTGAATCATGTGGTTGGGGCTTGGCTTCTTCCATCATCCTCAAAGATAAGAGGGAGTTAGTGGGGGATGGTCTGAAGGAAGTATTCTACTACATTGGTTAGAAATTTAAGACAAGTTCTAATAATGGACCACAGGTGAGATAGGGCTCTGATGGGGCATAACCACGAAAGCATCCTAGTAGGCAAAGCGAGACGCAAAAAGGCGATGAGACACAGCGCAAGGCAGCCCGAACAGGGAAGAAGAGCTCAATTATGCAGACGTAATGGCGTGTCAGTGCACTGTAGGATCCAAAAAAAAAAAAAAAAAAAAAAACCGACGCCGCAAAATTGGACCAGTGCCGCCCTGGAAAGGATGATAGTCTTGTAGCATGTGTATGATGGTTGTATTGTGTGTGGACCAGTCGGTCACGGGCCCGGTTATATAGTGTAATGGCGAGACCTCCTCCCTCTACTACATGGGCGCCATCCAGACTATGTGACATAGCCGGCAGTATACGGTGGCCAGATAGCTAGTTCTAGAATACACCTTCTTACACCTCCCCGACCTGACCCTTACATTTGGGGTTCTCGCTATTTCCTGATTGCTACGCGTGTGTTTTGTGGTGGTTTTTCTGCTGAATCGACCCGCACGTCTCAGCGCGTGCTGCCATCGAGCGTTCCCTCTTCAATAGATACAGGTTTAACCCTAATGCATGAGTAGTGCGTATCAGGGTGACAAGACAAAAACATCAAAACAGGTGCTCCAACATATAGACGTCAAGGGAAAGAACGAATCCAATATGGGATATCGGTGCCGTGGGTTTTGAGCCTAATCAACAATGCCAACTATCATTCACAAGCTCAATACCGTCGATGACTGGTATATGGCTTCAACCTCGGCTTAATGACATTGCTTTCTTTCCATTTTGAACAAGCATATCACGATACTTCTCTAAACTCAGCCCAATTATGTTGATAAATGCCCATTGGGTATTGCTTTTGAAGAAATGAGCCCAAATCTTCAATACAACCAAACACAGATTTGCCGGATCGCCAAAATTGATGAAATTGGTTGACTCCTCGTCGAAGTCAACCAGACCACTATTGTGAATTTAATGATACCAAATTCAATGTACAACAAGCGTTGTGGCGCTGGTGTTTTGTGTCTCGAAATTCCCACCACGTGATCTTCGTCCGGGTTTTTCGTTCGAGTTTCTATTGGCCGAGAGTATTTCACCTTTCCTGCCACCAATTTTCAATAATATGTAAAAATGAAAATAAATTTGGGATCTGGCTGATGTGAGCTTTCTATGAACACATAAATTCTTCCTATCTGGGCATTGTGGTGTTGTGGTCACCTGCCACAATTTGCCTGTTGGATAGACCACATTCCCCGGAACATTTCGCCGTGTCGTGTAGCAGCATCAAAACCGCGCTCTGACATCAGATCGAATGCACGCTGACACCAGTCAAACTGCTCCATGTTCCCGCGGTCGACGGTTATTTTGCATAATTGACAAAGCGAAAATATTGCAGTGTGAACACCCCACGATTTCATAGTGTCTTGGACCAAATATGGAATGGAGCGCCCTATTTGATCAGCATAGAACCCTGAAAGGAAATAGTCTTCGTCTTCGGACATGTTTGGGGCTGGATCAGCGCCAAAGCTTTCATGGTCATCACATCTTCTAACAAGGGTCCGGATTCGAGAGATCAGGGGTGGACAATGGAAGATAAAGTCCAGAACATGATATGTAGCCTCGCAATGTCAAGCGATGGGAAGCAATAGGGCTTTCCAAACAGATGATCTGCCACAGGAAGACTTGAACGTAATACTTCTCCTGGCGAACATGGGAAAGCCCCTCCATGAATGTTTCCTCGAAACCATGCCATCAACTTCTTCTTATGTGCGAGACATTTATCTAGCAGTGCTTGGCATGCATTATGATTTGGAGAATCGACCTTGGCAATGGCGGTGGCCAAGGGCGCAAATCCGGCAAAAATGTTGAGCAAGTCAACGACTGGGTTGGCTTCACAGGGCCGAACCATATATTCGAAGGCTTCGAATAAAGTGCTGCCTCTCGTCGAGAATAATTGAGACAGGTCCATCGAACCACCTAGTGAAATTTGGAAAGCGACGATGACAGTCTGTAGCTTCTGATGCTCCTGATAGATAGCATTGACTAGCGGTCCTCTTTCTGCTCTCTCACGGCAGTGACTCAGGATAGCATTAGTTCCTGCGATATGAGCCATCCACGCTTGGAGGTCGTGGGGACAATAGCATGTCTTGTTAATTTCAAGTCAGTTCAGATTTACGAGAACAACTTATTGTAAGAGTTATGGATTACCTCTATTTCCTGGAAAATAACCGTGGCGTAGATAATGTCGTCACAATAAGCATCCCTGGTTATCATATTTGACACATGTCGTATTGCAACATTATATAGCTGAATGCCGTGCTGGAATACCCGCTTGTCGTGATTGAGTTTACCCCAATAAATACATGCTATTGCCGAGATAGCATATTCGAGCATTATTGACTTTTGAGGGAGCGCAGAAATGCTGGAGATCAGATAGTACCAGAGATCCACGGAGGAAAAGGCTTGAGTAGGGAAAAAAATATCGACGTAAGACGAGAAGACTTGCTCGCGCATTGCAGGCCCACAATCGAGCGATTGCAACCCGTTTCTGTTAACGATTTGAGCTTGTGTTTCTCGGTTAATCTGGGTATGGGCTTTGGCCCCAGAATTTATTCGCATCCTCGGGGCTTCATGGATGAAAATGCGCATTCCTGAATATCCTCCACAATTCACGCCGCGTTTGATGCATTGTCCACATCCTGGCTCTTGTCTGTCACACTGATTTGTGGTCAGTAACCATAACGAACTCGTAGCCGAGCTCTGTCACTGACCTTGATTTTACGCCTTTTACAAGTTTGACAGGCCTTGGACTGCCAAGGGATACCACCCATTTTGTCATCCGTACTCTCTTCTCCGAGAACCCTGACCAAAATACGCCCAAGCCGCCTTGGTCAATGGAGGTTCACTGGGTTCAGGGGAACGGAAAGTGTTCCTAAATTTTTTCCGCTACGACTGCCTACCGCCTCCGCACTAGGAATGTTGTCGGGAAGGCGGTGTACGTATATGTATCCACACCCACGAAATTTCGCGAAATCTCACGTGACCCCCAGGATATCTGAGATTAGACTGTTGATTTATAAGTGATGCTTCAGTGTTCATGTTGTTTTGGGGAGTTGATTGTCTAAGATACAGGTAGACTGGTGAACAGGTATATAGGCATGCACGTGATCCCAGCCCACATGATTATCCCAGTAACCGTGATATTTCAACACTAACTGCCGCCCCACAGCCCGTATGTAAATATTACGGGGGCGACCTTCCGTAGCCCGGACCGACAATCAGGTGACTATCACGACCGCCTATTTAGAAAACATTGTGCGTGGCAGAATCAGGCCGTGGTGAGATTGTCAAAGTCACTTAGTTATTATGTGGCTGTTGACCGTGAACGCTCAGTTGGAATCATCAGGCACGAATCCAAAGATCAGCACGCGTCCAGACCGGCAGCCAAGCACCAAGGCTAACCCAGACTGCCCTACAGCCGAACAGGTTGGGCGATATGTGGGAGGCAGCCATAGCCAGCTCTGTGAACGCCGTGTGATCCAGAACCTATCAGAACTGATACCGTAGCCTTGATATTCAGGGCTTTGCGATAGTTGACTCGCCCTGAGTGATTGGAGTTCTGAAGCAGTAGCGTCTGTCGAATTCGTAGGGGTAGGTGCCGGCGAGTCGCGAAGGGAAACAATTCCAATGTTAGTGTGAAGAGAAGAACCGGTGGCGTCGAAAGAAAGATTGATCACAGAAGAGCCGATGCTGAGGGTCTGCAGGCAGGCGCCGGTCTGCGCATCCCAGATCTTGATCGTCTTGTCGTCCGACCCGGACGCGACGCGGCTGCTGTCGTGGGAGAACACCACTGATTTGACCCAATCATCATGGCCCTTCAGCGTCTGCAGGCAGGCCCCGGTGTGCGCATCCCAGATCTTGATCGTCTTGTCAAACGACCCGGACGCGACGCGGCTGCTGTCGTGGGAGAACACCACTGAGTTGACTTCCCGATCATGGCCCTTCAGCGTCTGCAGGCAGGCCCCGGTGTGCGCATCCCAGATCTTGATCGTCTTGTCAAACGACCCGGACGCGACGCGGCTGCTGTCGTGGGAGAACACCACTGATTTGACCCAATTGTCATGGCCCTTCAGCGTCTGCAGGCAGGCCCCGGTGTGCGCATCCCAGATCTTGATTGTCTTGTCGTCCGACCCGGACGCGACGCGGCTGCTGTCGTGGGAGAACACCACTGATTTGACCCAATTGTCATGGCCCTTCAGCGTCTGCAGGCAGGCCCCGGTGTGCGCATCCCAGATCTTGATCGTCTTGTCCTCCGACCCGGACGCGACGCGGCTGCTGTCGTGGGAGAACACCACTGAGTTGACCCAGCTATCATGGCCCTTCGGCGTCTGCAGGCAGGCCCCGGTGTGCGCATCCCAGATCTTGATCGTCTTGTCAAACGACCCGGACGCGACGCGGCTGCTGTCGTGGGAGAACACCACTGAGTTGACTTCCCGATCATGGCCCTTCAGCGTCTGCAGGCAGGCCCCGGTGTGCGCATCCCAGATCTTGATCGTCTTGTCAAACGACCCGGACGCGACGCGGCTGCTGTCGTGGGAGAACACCACTGATTTGACCCAATAATCATGGCCCTTCAGCGTCTGCAGGCAGGCCCCGGTGTGCGCATCCCAGATCTTGATTGTCTTGTCGTCCGACCCGGACGCGACGCGGCTGCTGTCGTGGGAGAACACCACTGATTTGACCCAATCATCATGGCCCTTCAGCGTCTGCAGGCAGGCCCCGGTGTGCGCATCCCAGATCTTGATCGTCTTGTCAAACGACCCGGACGCGACGCGGCTGCTGTCGTGGGAGAACACCATTGATTTGACCCAATCATCATGGCCCTTCAGCGTCTGCAGGCAGGCCCCGGTGTGCGCATCCCAGATCTTGATCGCCTTGTCCTCCGACCCGGACGCGACGCGGCTGCTGTCGTGGGAGAACACCACTGAGTTGACCCAGCTATCATGGCCCTTCAGCGTCTGCAGGCAGGCCCCGGTGTGCGCATCCCAGATCTTGATCGTCTTGTCGTCCGACCCGGACGCGACGCGGCTGCTGTCGTGGGAGAACACCACTGAGTATACATAGCTGCCATGGCCCTCTAGCGTCTGTAGGCAGGCCCCGGTGTGCGCATCCCAGATCTTGATCGTCTTGTCCTCCGACCCGGACGCGACGCGGCTGCTGTCGTGGGAGAACACCACTGAGTATACATAGCTGTCATGGCCCTCCAGCGTCTGCAGGCAGGCCCCGGTGTGCGCATCCCAGTCGTCTGCCATCTGCGGCGCGATCGCGATAATATTATTGGGCCCCTCCTGCTGGAACAGCTGCTTGATCATACTCCGCGGTGGGCTGAACACCAGCGCCGACCCGTACGCCTGAAGAGGGCTGTCCTCGATTGCGCCTCGATGGTACCGTATAAATCGGTACGCATCCTGGACCAGATCTTGCAATCCGGCTGCTCCTGATCGCCCCTGTAATGATATTAGAACATTTCGCAGCACGACAGATGAACGCATACCTGTAGCAGAGCCCCAAGTTTCTGTATCGCCATGATTCCATCTGTCACGCTTCGAAAAAGACTCAGTGCCTCAAGCCAGTAGAGACATCGGCTTCGGAGGAATGCGTCGACGGTGCCAACGACCTGAAGTTCTTCGTATGATCCAGATTGTTCTAGATGGTCTACCCAGTAAACGCAGGAGTAGCGTGCGACTGCGAGCGGATCTGGCGGCGGTTGGGACTGGTTGATAGGAGTGCCTAAGGCGCCCAGGCTGTACATATCACGCCGCAATACCTTGTCCATGACTTGCAGTGATTTTGTGAACATACGGCCGTGAGCAGCCATAGACCCAGAGGGGAATATGCTCAGGCCAGCCTTTTCTATCACATAGTCCTTGGCGGATTGATGCACAAAGTAGATTGTCTTGTCGCGAATCGTGAGGAAGGACCCGCTCCTCTTGACAATCGTCTCTATGTTGTTGGCGTTTCCAGCGATCTTATCTGGGAGTCCAGACACTACCCCCAGTTCCAGCAGCTGAAGCGGCCGATAGGCCAATGCGGTCGCTGATAGGACCAGCTGACAGTACTCTCTGCTTTTCCCGGCCAGTTTGTTGATCTGGTCTATCATTCGCGCATATAGATCATCCAGCCCGGTCGGTACATCGTCCACCACCTGCTCCACATCCCAGCTGTCGACATGCTGGAGTTCCTGGACCACGAGAGCCACCCAGAGAAACGTTCCTTCGGCTTTCTTCTGGAGGGTCTGCTGGACATATTCTAGCAAGGCATCATCGTTCTGTAGAGATTCAAGCTCCGCTATCCTGTCGGAAATGTAAGCTCCAATAGCCACAGACACAGATTCTGCATTCTCCTGAAGTTCCAGGCTCAGTATAGATTGCGAGTCGTCAAGCCTTGTCCGCTGCTCAACATGGTTCCGGCTGGAAATGATCCATTTGACGTGCGGGAACTCCCTCGTCCCTTGGAGAATAAACTGTAAGAGCTTGTCTTGGTCCTGCACGCATTCGTCGAGAGCATCAACGACGATATAGATCCTGTCTGAGCTGGCTTCCCGTAAGATATTCAAGAACATAACGCACAGTGCAGCCCATGCTTCCATATCCCCGAATTGTGGCTCCCCGTTTTCTTTGAATTTTTTCTGTATAAGGGAGAGGAATGATGGCTGTGTGTCCACAAGCATATAGACCAAACCGCGCAGGGCAGCATGAGCGTTACTCAGCTTGGGAACTGTGGCTTGACAGAAGAAGAAAGACAGGAATGTCTTAGCTAGGGGATCTTCCAGTTTCGTGGTCGGGCCAAGTTCGTCGATAATGCCACAGAGCAGCATCGTCTTGCCCTTACCGGGGTCCCCCTTAATCCAAAGAACCTGGCTGTTGTTGTTGTTGTTGTTGTTGTTGTTGTTGTTGTTGTTGTTGCACCAACGCTGGAACTGGGGATGGTGGAGGATCCATTCGTATGACTCCTTGAGGGCGGCGCCTCTCGTCTGGTGGATGGTCATTTTGACGTCGCGCGGATCAGTCACTGCGAAGTAGTCAAGGCAGCGATCCTTGCTTTGTCTGTCTTGGTCTTGCGAGCTTTCATATTAGACTGAGAACCATCAAGTGGAAAAGTTATGTTTAGACGTACGTTCGACATGCATGTGGAAGGTGCTAGCATGGCACTATGTCAGTACTGTTCGTCAAAGTCATACAATCATCAATATTGGCTCACGGGTTTGTCGCGGTCCCTTGGAACTGGACAATCCCCCCTCGTTATCCCACCGTTGACTCTTCATTGGAAATGACGAGTCATGCGATGCTGGCTAGGTCTGCTCTATAGTGAGTTGAGCGTATCTAGCAGTCGCACTGTAGTGCGCCACTACACAGCAGAGAAATTCGGTAGGTGACAGAATTTGAGCCGTCGTTACAAGATCAATCAAAAAGGTTTCCGCCTTGCACATGATTGAAGAGCCAGGTCATCAAGCTGAAACCACTGCACCTAGCAGGGCTGGACCCATCAAAATTTTGCATGGAGTTTGAACAGGTATGGCATCTGTCTTCTGGCTCCGCGGTAGCTGCTGCTCTAGCGGCACGCCATGCAGATATCGGGTCGTTGTCTGCACGTGGCCCACAGTTCACTGCCGCCCGCCCCTACCTTCGGGCAATCGTGTGGAGAACAGCGCTCATGCAGTGTGATGAATCGCACCACGCTGCATCGTATTGCCACGTCACGTCCCCGCGGTTGCAGATCATTGGCTCCCGTGGGGGCTGCCTTTCGACGTGAGATTGATCCATTTTCTGGCGGTGAGAGCACGGACCGCTTTCCAGCCGCAGGTAATGCAATACTCCTGCACGTTCCGGCAACTCCAGCTTCAGCACCCATCGGTCGCTTGCCGTGCGTAACGCGGCCGGCATAAACTGTAAGGTAGACCTTTGGACTATATTTGACGTGGAGATGGTCAATAGATCGGATTGGTAGTTTTTCGCCGCAGGATGCAAAACCTGCATCTCCAGTGACTCCGGCAAGATCGGCGCCTACAACCATCTAGGTACTCCAGGTCGGTCTCTTTGATACAAATAAGGCCATATTGCCCCAAGCAGTATACGTAAGAATCCATCTCGAGCTCCCCCCGGCCTATCATCATCAGCCACTCTATACATTCACACAGAGACACGCACACCACTACCAAGATGACAGGCGCGGAAGTAATTAGTGCGGCATCTGGGCTAGCAAGTCTTTTTACCACGACTATTACCTGGTTTGACTATATCTATGTTGCCAGAAAGGCGGCCCCACGACTACAGTCCCTGATCGTGAAGCTTGGCAGTGCGCAACTGAGACTAACGCGCTGGGGCCAGGCTGTCGGTCTCACAGGCTCAGATATCGAAGACGAGGAATCGCTGAAAAGCTCGGGCTCATTCCAGCTCGACGAGGAGCAGGAGGATCAGGCTATACGGATATTTCGGATCTTAGTGACTCTTTTCGAAGAGTCCAAGAAAATCTGTCACAACGAACGCAAAGGAAAGCCCGAGGGTGACCCTGAAGTGACGGCGAACGAAATAAAGCCGTTCGGCCAGGATGGCTTTAAGTGGAGCGCTATGCACCGTTACCTTCACGAGACAATGCAAAAAATCGTCCACGAGCGCAGAAACAAGATGTCAGTTCCTCGACTCTTCAAGTTCGCTATTTATGACGAGAAGCATCTTGAGAAGCTGGTGAAGGACATCAATGACCACATTGATGCACTGTACCAAATTTACACTCCGTCTGCGAGCGATGAAGAAGAGGCGGGCAAGGAGGAAATGGATAAGCTTCTCAAAGTCATGAAGGAATTGCGCTCTGCATCGGAGCGGGATCCAGTGATGAACACGGCTGTTAAGAATATATTGGAGCAAAGTGTAAGTGGAGGTCGATCTTATTCTCCTATCTTCAACTTATCATCATGTTGTTGACACAAGCAGAATGAAAACATGACCTTCAACACCACGGAGTCTACTGTCCAGAAAATAGGGCAGGATCAGCAAGGTCGCTATGAAATGACGGTCGGATCTGATGCAAGCAAAAGATGATAATGCTACATTGGCCAGCTGACTGCAGTTCGAAGCAGTAAATAGGTTTCATATATTGAAGACAATCCGACGTTCACGCCTGCCAATTGCTTTCTTTCTTTAACAAAAACCGGAGGATTTAGCGTTTAGGTTACGGTATCTCCACTTGGGCCCAACCTTAACCTTACTGAACTGTAATGGGAATGGGCCTAAACTTAAGGTGACTTAAAAAGCCTTAAAGCAACATCGTTACTATCCAGAAAGCTTTGTGCCGGCCACTATGTAAATTAAATATTCTAGGAGAAAGGTATATAGCTACTGGTAGGTGGCATGAATTATCACTGGCACTGCCCCACTTCAAGTCGCGGCAAGGCGGTTAATGAAACTTGGGTCTGTACCTAACGTGATTCATCAAATACAGAGAGAAAGAAAGATATCGGCCGGTTGGCACTCGATCCCCCAGTCTTATACGATGAAAGTGCCCGTTTCAGGCAGTCCTAAGATTACCTAAATTAGTCAGCGGTTTAATTGTCGGACCAGTGTGGGCCGGCAGTCCATTCGCAAATAGGAAAATAGCAAGCAAGTGGTCTGAATTGTCTGAACTGGAAAACGTCCTCCATACCACGGTAATTTATATGGCGGTAGGACTAAGCTAGTGTAAAATACGAATACAAAGAATGACGATACAGCGACTCCACCGCTTTCGACATTAATAGCCAATAACAACAGCCCAGTTTCAAGGGAAGACGGGAACGCCACGCTGGCCGACCGACCCGAGACAAGATATCTTTACAAACAGCCTAATTTCGAAGACGCGAGTTTTGTGGAACAACTTACAAAAAAATGATGAGGGTCCTATGTATCTATAGCTAGTCTACTTACATTTGAGGCGTCATTAGGAGTGTGGTGAGAGGAGGAAGAGATATATAAAATCAAGTCGCCGGTCATTCAAAATACCAAAGCACTGCTGCGCGGTAGATTGATGGAAATACAGAATAATCTAAGATTGTTCTAAACTGTCAAATGAGTCTGTAAATCTAAGACAGAACAATAGTCATTCATATCCCATGCTTGAATCTCTTGCTCAGCCTTGCGCTTTTCCTCCGGTTTCGAAAGCAGTTTGTCCTTGGCTTTTGACCTCTTTTTCTCGGTCGAGCCTTGTTTCGCTACCGCCATGTCACGTTTCTTTTGCGCCTCAACGATATCGTCGTAGCTCATCACTTTGGCATGTCCTATGACTGTTTGGCCACGGGATTGTCGAGAAGTCTTTTCATTGTTCTGCTCAAATAGGATCCGGTTCTCCTCCAGAAATAAGGCGCGCTCCGCGAAGACCTTTTCGGCCGCGCAGCTCAATGTTTGAAGACGATGTTTGCACTCATTGCCTAGGCTCTGTGTGTCTTGCTCCACCTCTCTGCGAAGCAAGGCGAAATGATCAGAGGTGTTTGGAGTGTGACAGAGATTGAAGGACACGGTCAGGTTGTGGTCCACAGGGATAGTGGTCTGTACCTCGGGCCGGGACACTTGAAACTCTCGGAGGATGCAAGACGGATCGAATGGAAAGAGGCCGCTTCTCGACCAGGCCGATCGTATATTGCGGGGTGTAAATGCCTCCTGCCGGGCGCGATCATAAAGATAGGTAAAGTGTGGCTTGCCGATGTTACTCACCCCGGCCCGACATATCTGCTCGACCTGTCCCCGGTATGCCGTTTTCAGAGGGCTGAAGACACCCACATCACACGGCTGTAGTTTGTGAGACGTATGAGAAGGGAGACGACATAGGATAATGCGGTTAGCAAAGCAGAATTTCATGACCTCCAAAGACTCATGGGTGCCGAAACCGTCGCAAATTAAGAGTCGTGGCCGACCGCCCGCTCGGTCTCGAGTCTGCGGATCGAACACATGTTCGACCCAGTACAGACTGATGTCGGTGTTCGTATAGCTTGTTTTGGAGCAGGCAAAATGCCACCCGGGGGTGGCGTGAGTGGTCCACGAACTACGGTGCGTGGTGGCCGGCCAGATAATGAGAGGATGCAGGAACCGACCATCGGCGGAGATACATTCAATCGCCGTGACCAGCGTCCGCTTCACCGTGGTCCCTCGGTGCTTTCTCAGGTCATCTTTACTGACGAGCACCTTGAGGGAGTTCAAAACGCTAAGAAGAACCCCCGTCTCGTCCATATTGTACACATTGCCTGGGAGAATGGCCGGATCAGCAAGCTCTCGGCCTATGACAGCAAACCAGTGTCGGACTTTATCTTCAATCTGCTTCCAATCGATCGCTCGCAGCCGTCGCGCTCTTAACTGCGGGTGCCGGCGATAAAAACCCTGCGGCCAATTTTTCCCCGGAGGTCGGACCTTGAGACTGGGATCTGTAATCTGGAAAATCGAAGACCGTTGGCGCACGATAATCAGGGCGAGCGATCGTAGGAACTTGACTGGAAGCGGATAGCCATTGTCTGCCGACCGCAACACATATTCAACCAGGGCTTGCTCCTCTTGCGGGGTGAGATACTGCTGATTGGCGGCTTTATCGGTGATTGATGGCTTGTTATTGGCCCGCCGCCACAAGGTGGATGCGGGAATCCCGGTCGATCTTGACCGAACTGCGTATGATGTGCGCGCAGGACGGTAATGAGCTGGAGACTTTGTGGTCATTTTTAGTCCAGTGTCCTAACAGTCATTTCCCACTTAAAGTGGAACCATTCAGGCCGTGAAAGGGCAGAAGTATGAATTGCGTAAATAGCGCCTAGTGAATTCCAGAACACGTTATGTATGCTGAATTGGTTGTATTTGAATTTCTCGACTAGCTTTAGATGAGGTTCTTTGGAAACAAATTTCACCAGCCAGACCGTGCCATCACAATCATGAGGGTACACTACCAAATCGCATTGAATCTCCACACGAAGCTGGACTACCGTGTCAATCACGATATCTAGAAAACGCTGAAATCTGCCAACCCGGTGAATCTTGATGACTTTTAGTGTATTTCCAGACTCAATAATTGCTGCGGTTTAGCAGAGTCATACATGAACTTTGCAGGTCTGTTGCCAATGGTGAATCTACATCAATGATTAGCCCAAAAACCGCGTTTTTGACCGTTAAGCAACCAGAGAGGACTTGAATCCTGCGATTTGAGCATAATTTTTACGTATACTCTTATCAAAAATAACAAAATTATATGACTTTTAAAATCAATACTGCACCTTTGAACGACAGCACGGGCAAAGACGCCAGAGTGATTAAACATAGCCAGATAGCGAAAGTTTTGACCGTTGAACACTAAGAGCATTTGGATTCTGTCAGCTAAGCAGAAGTAAACACTGTTGAGCAAAATTGATGGGGTGATTATGTTGATAGAAAAGAGCACACTTTCTGGCCATCAACCTCACTTGAACTACCGTACAGAGCGGGCAAATCCCACCGTTTGGCAGTTTCCACCAGGGTGCTTGACGAGCTTCAAGTTAAACGGTTGGTTTTGGTGGAACCCCGCATTCTGCCTTGGTGTGAGTCAATGGTCACGTGGAGTTCAGGGTCTACGCGATCCCCCGAGGAACAAGAAAGTTTTTCGTTTCGTCCTGGATATGGGATCACGTAAGGCACTTTTTCGTGGGGGCTAATCTTGAAGAGGCTAGCTCTGGGCTAGGCCAAGCATGGTTAGTCTGAATTACAGCGCCCGGTGTTGAAGGCCATAGCGCTACGCCGAGTAGAGAAGATGCAAGCTATGTGAGGTCTCAATCTAAGTTCTATGAAAGCGACCGAAATTACAACAGATGACTATCAGGTTTGCCCATAATTAAGTTAGGGTCAACATCATTTTTGAGTATTTTGGGAACCCAGGGTACGCGCCAAGAACCCACGGGCAGGACATGAAGGCCAAAACCCGCGGAGTTCTTGTGGCCGAGCAAAAGGGTCAAACTCCATAAAAACCCGCGTTTGACGAGATCTAGCTCTCTGTGCCGCGTATTTCTGTGGAAGCCAGAGTGGCCTGAAGCGCAGGAGTGATGCATAGGGGACACGACGTGGCAATGCGATGTGATGTGGTGCGATCTATCACGCTGCATAAGCGCTCTTCCCCACCCGATTGCTCGGCCCGATATCAGCGTGGCTTGCCGCTAGAGCAGCAGCTACCGTAGAGCCAGATGACAGATATAACACCTTTTTCAACCAGCACGCGTAAGATGACTATGTGAAGACTTTATAGGACCAGCCTCATGACGGCGTCTCTCCTTCCCTACAACCTGCCAAACTGGTTTCTGAGCATTGCCGCGCTGCGGTGCGATTATCGTATACACTCGACCTTTCGTAGAGCAAACCTTCTCAGCATCATCTGACTTGCCCTTTACAATGAACAGGCAACAGTTTGATAACAATGGGGGAAATGTCCAGTTACAAGGGAAAGTGGAATATGCGTAAGCCCAGCTCGAGGATTATATGACTTTGAAAAACAGTGCTGACATAGTATCATCCAAGAACCTTCATTCAGAATGTCGGAGGTACGTCTGAATATCAAGTTTTTCGCTTGGCGGTCAAAGCTGACATCCACCAGCCCAAGACCAAGACAGACAAAGCACGAATCACTGCCCCGACTACCTAGCAGAGACTGACCCACGTATCATAAAAACGAGGATCTATCAGACAAGAGGCGCCGCCCTCAAGGAGTCATACGACTGGATCCTCCGCCATCCTCAGTTCCAATGTTGGCACAACAGCAACGGCAGCCAGGTCCTTTGGGTCAAGGGAGATCCCGGTAAAGGCAAGACGATGCTACTCTGTGGTATTATCGACGAGCTCCGTCCTACCTCAAGACTAGTAGACCCCCAAGCCAAGACATTCCTATCTTTCTTTTTCTGTCAAGCTACAGTCCCCAAGCTGAGTAACGCCCATGCGGTCCTCTGTGGTTTGATCTATATGCTCGTGGACACGCAGCCGTCGCTTCTCTCCTACGTACACAAAAGATTCAAAGACACCGGGGAGCCGCGATTTGGGGATACGGAAGCATGGACTACATTGTGCACTATGTTTGTGGACATTTTGCGGGACCCCATCGTGGACAAGATCTATATCGTGGTTGATGCTCTCGACGAATGCGTGCAGGGCCAAGACAAGCTCTTGCAATTTATTCTCAAGGAGACGAAAGAGTTACCGCACGTCAAATGGATCATTTCCAGCCGGAACCATGTTGAGCAGCGGACAAGGCTTGACGACTCGCAGTCAATACTGAGCCTGGAACTACAGGAAAATGCTGAATCCGTGTCTGTGGCTATCGCAGCTTACATTTCCGACAGAATAGCGGAGCTTGAATCTCTGCAGGACGATGATACCTTGCTGGAATATGTTCGCCAGATCCTCCAGGAAAAAGCCGAAGGAACGTTTCTCTGGGTGGCTCTCGTTGTCCAGGAACTCCAGGACGTCGATAGCTGGGATGTGAGGCAGGTGGTTGATGATGTACCAAAAGGGTTGGATGATCTGTACGCGCGGATGATAGATCAGATCGGACAAATAGAGCCTCGAAGCCGAGAGTACTGTCAGCTCGTCCTCTCAGCGACTGCACTAGCGTATCGGCCGCTTCAGCTACTGGAGCTGGGGGTGGTGTCTGGACTCCCCGACAAGATCGCCGGAAGCGCCAAGAATATCGAGACGATCGTGAAAAGGAGTGGCTCTTTCCTCACGGTTCGGGGCGAGACTATCTACTTTGTGCATCAGTCTGCCAGGGATTATCTGATCAAGAAGGGTGGTCAGAGAATATTCTTGTCTGGCCTTGCGGCTGCCCACCACCAAATGTTTACGCAGTCACTCCACATCTTGGACAGGACATTGCGGCGCGATATTTACAGTCTGGTCGCCCTAGGTACTCCTATCAACCAGGCCAAGAGGCCTGAGCCAGATCCACTTGCGGCAGCAGGCTACTCTTGTATCTACTGGGTAGACCATCTCGGACAATCTGGATCCTCCGAAGAACTTCAGGACGCTGGCACGGTTGACTCATTCCTCCGAAGCCGAGGTATTTACTGGCTCGAGGCACTGAGCCTTCTTCGAAGTATAACGGATGGGATAATGTCGATTCAGAAACTCGGCATTCTGCTACGGGTCAGTGGCCATTTCAAGCGCTATATGCTGTTCTAATACCGGTTTAGGGACACCCAGGAGCAGCCAGATTGAAGAATCTGGTCCAGGATGTGTACCGGTTTATTCTATACCATCGAGGCGCAATCGAGAACAGCCCTCTCCAGGCGTATGGTTCGGCGCTGGTGTTTAGCCCACCACGGAGTATGACCAAGCAGCTGTTCCAGCAGGAGTGGCCCAATAATATCGCAATGACGCCGGCGATGGCAGATGACTGGGATGCGCACACCGGAGCCTGCCTGCAGACGCTGGAGGGCCATGACAACCGGGTCAACTCAGTGGTGTTCTCCCACGACAGCAGCCGCGTCGCGTCCGGGTCTGGGGACAAGACGATCAAGATCTGGGATGCACAGACCGGCGCCTGCCTGCAGACGCTAGATGGTCATGATAACAGGGTCACCTCAGTGGTGTTCTCCCACGACAGCAGCCGCGTTGCGTCCGGGTCTGGGGACAAGACGATCAAGATCTGGGATGCACAGACCGGCGCCTGCCTGCAGACGCTAGATGGTCATGATAACAGGGTCACCTCAGTGGTGTTCTCCCACGACAGCAGCCGCGTCGCGTCCGGGTCGTTTGACAAGACGATCAAGATCTGGGATGCGCACACTGGCGCCTGCCTACAGACGCTGGAGGGCCATGACGACTGGGTCAACTCAGTGGTGTTCTCCCACGACAGCAGCCGCGTCGCGTCCGGGTCGTTTGACAAGACGATCAAGATCTGGGATGCGCACACCGGGGCCTGCCTGCAGACCCTTGGCATCGACTCTGTTGTTAGCAATCTTTCTTTCGATGCCACCGGCTCATCTCTTCACACTGACGTTGGAATTTTCGCCCTTTGCGACTCGCTGACACTTACCCCTACGACTCTGACTGAAGTTGCTGCTCCAGAACTCCTATCACTCAGGGCAAGTCAACAGTCGCAAAAACCCGAATATCAAGGCTACGGTATCAGTTCTGATGGGTTCTGGATCACACGGCTTTCACAGAACTGGCTATGGCTGCCTCCCACATATCGCCCAACCTGTTCGGCTGTAGGTCAATCTGGGTTAACCGTGGTGCTTGGCTGCAAGTCTGGACGTGTCCTGATCTTCAGATTCGCACGTGAGGATTTCAACTGAGCGCTTACGGTCAACAGCCACGCACAATGGTTTCTGTCAACTCTGAGAGAGGTAAAATACTGTGGATTCTCCACTGCTCTTGGTTATTCAGCATCCACCCACATTGCAATAGTAATTGTATGGTAATTCGGGTCATTCTCGGAAAAACTGTGATGTAATACGCAGTTTATAGCCCCTGGATCATTTTCAACAGATCGGAACACACAGACACACTCTCGTTAATCCATCTCATGCATCAATTGGCCGTCCCTCGATACTAGATGATACACGTATCCGACATCCTGACAGTTATGAGCCCGGTTAGCCGCGCCGCACACGTGTAACTGCGAGCGTACCACCCCTGGCAGCACTGCAGCAGCGATTCGCACGATCGGGATACCCCTGAACGCACGCATCACGCGAGAAATTGGAACCTCGCCCCGCGCTCAACGCAGCAATCCCGTACCCTTGAACCTAGTATCAACACAGTATCAGTATCATCGCGAGAGAAGACAGGATGGCCGATTCACAAAGAGAGGAGATGGCAATGATCCCACCCGATCAGAAACTACGGGCGGAATCGCAGTGGAGGATCTGGATAGGACATATCAGGTCAGCAGCCATATCTGAAGATGTGTGGAATTATCTTGACCTCGAGAAGTCGGACGAAGAAGTTGAACAGCTTCCAATCGCACATCGGGAACCTATGATGCCTGTGGACCATCGCGGTAGAGAGAAGGATATCATGGACTTCACTGATGATGAGTTAAGGAGATGGCAGTTGCAGATACAGCTGTATGAGCGGCAGGAAACAAAGCGACAGCGGCTTGTTAAGGCTATGGCGCGCATGAATAGCCTTATTACCCGTTCAGTAGCCACTGAGTTTCACTATCTTATTGTCGATGAGGAAACTCCAAGGAAGAAGCTATTGAAACTGGCAGAGACATTCAAGCCAAAGCCTGAGAATCGACGACAGGAGCTCCGACGTGCGTGGAGATTGATGATCAGGCAACCTGCGAGAGATGTTAGCATTGATCAGTGGCTCACACAGTGGGAAAGCTTATATGAGGAGGCAAAAGCTGCCAAGGTTCCTGACTGTATTGAGAAAGATGATGCTATTCGTGACTTCCTAGATGCTGTGCAGGGGCTAGATGACACCTTCTGCTCGGGATGGCGACGTGAGCTTCGTATGAACACGACTGCTACGTTTCATGAGGTTATTGCCGATTATCGTAGCCGCCGTGGAGATCTAGCACTCACTTCTGGAAAGAAGCAACCGAAGATGGCCTTCGCAACCCTGGATGGTCAGAAAGAGGCAAAGCCAACTGGGAAAACAGAGAAGACTTATCGAACGAAGTGCCCATGCGGATACCCTCGACACCACTACTCAGAGTGCTGGTATATTGATGAGACCCTGCGAAGTGACGACTGGAAGCCAAGAGAAGGAATTGCGAAGCGCTTAACTGATGCTATCAAGCAAATGAGTCCTCAGGATCAACAGAAGATCAAGCAGCTGATGGAGAAAAAGAAGGAAGCACCACCAGCGCAGGCTCAATTAGCAGTATCAGAAGAGAAGCTTAGCTTCTTCATTGCAGCTGCAGCATCAACTGGTCAGCATCAGGTGGCCAAACCGCTCAGAAATCGCTGGATTCTTGATTCAGGCACTACCCTGCATATCTGTAATGATCGTGGGCGTTTCAAAGTGTTCATCAAAGGGGAAAGCTCTGTTAAAACAGGTGATACTATGACTGCTACTACAGGGTATGGCACTGTGGACATGGTAGGCCAGGACCCTCAAACTGGCGAGCCTCAAGTGGTAGAGCTCACCAATGTTCATTATTCCCCGGGCTTCCATACCAATCTGATATCCTATTCAAAGATTGAGGATAAAGGATATTGGTGGAATCCTAGCAAGAAAGCCATTGTCAACAACAGCAACAGTCCAGTGTTACATGTGCGAAAGGAAAAGGGATTATACTTCATGGAATACTGCTCTTCTGATGCAGCCTTTGCCACCAAGCAGTCAGAAAAGCCACTCATTTCAGCAGCATCAGCCAGGCGCTGGCATCGTCGGCTAGGCCACGCATATAGCCAGAAGATTGAACAGTTGCCAGCGATGGTGGATGGAGTCAAAATTGATGGAAAGAGTGAAGACAACTCTCATGGTAACCCTGAACGATGTGAGGTCTGTCAGATCACCTCTGCGAAACGTCAGATATCAAGAAGACCACAGGGAGCCACATACGGGAAATTTGGGAGAATACACTTTGACCTTGTTCAAATTGACCCTGCCTATAATGGTGATCGCTGGTTATCCCATTTCTATGTGGATGGAATTCGATTCCATGCAACATTCACTCACGAGAAGAAAAGTGGTTGTCAGCAAGCTGTGACACTCTTCTGTGCATATGTGAGGACCCAGTGGAACCTACCAATCCGAGCCTTTCGCTATGATAATGAGCGTTCAGCAGGTCGTACGGTAGAGCAATTCCTAGCAGAGGAAGGCTTTGTTGTTGAGCATAGCGTCGTTGGAACGCCAGAGCAAAATGGCTTCGCGGAGCGATCTGGGGGGGTGATAGTCACTATAGCACGCGCACTACTGCAGGATGCAGGTCTTCCGAAAGACCTGTGGCCAGAAGCAGTCAAAGCAGCTGTTTGGATAGTTAACAGATCGCCCACGAGGATGAGAGATGGAAAGTGGATTGTCCCATACCAGGAAGCACTTCATGTCCAGCAAGACCAACCACCACGAGTCAACCTTGCCAACCTCAGAATCTATGGATGCAGAGCGTATGTACGCAAGCAGGGCATCCCGAATGCAGCGAAGATGGAGCCTCGCGCAGAGATCGGTTATCTCGTTGGCTATGAAGCCTCAAATATCTGGAGAGTATGGTTTCCACAGAGAGGAGCTGTACGGGCAGTGCGAGATGTTGTCTTTGATGAGAACCAGTTCTTCAACCCACGAGAACTAGACAAACCACCAGTCAGCGATATAATTGAATCAATGCCTTGGATCACTGAACAGGATGAGGAAGAGGAGATACAACACCAGATAGTCCCTCTTTCCTCAAATGAAGCAGGAAGCAGAGAAAGCGCTGCTGAGAACATGCATGAACAAGCAGCAAGACATTCAGCAGGAAAAGCAACAAATTCGCAGCAGAAGGAGGGACGACAGATGGCTACACCTTCACCAACGCCATCAGCATCACAGCAACGGGCACCTTCGCTTCCACCAGGAACATTCCCTAGCTCACCACCACGGGAGTCATATGACCATGCTGAGCAGCTTCAAAATGAGCTCACAGCTGCATCACCCGCACAGGAGACTCCCAGAGCACCTAGAGATATCGATGGTGACATTTCAGAACGAAACATTGTGAGAGGAACGAGAAAACGACGAACAAGAGAGGATGACAACTTTGTCAGCTTTCAAGCTATCTCTGAGAAGGAAGAGGATAGCGTACTCGCAGCCTTCGCTACTGGATTAAACAGCTCCCGCACACACGCGCAAGTGCATCAGGATGAGTTACCTCCAGAGCCAGGAAACTGGAAGGAGATGATGAACCATCCTTACCGAGAGGGATTCCTGGCAGCTTGTGCTCTTGAAATTCAGACAATCAAGAGGAAAGGCACATATGAGGTCATACAACGACCAAATGACCACAGCATACAGATTCTACCACTCCGTTGGGTGTTCAACTATAAGGTTGATAGCAATGGCTATCTCAGCAAGCTCAAGGCCAGAATCTGCGTGCGAGGAGATCTCCAGAAACTTACCACAGAGGAGAAATACTCGGCAACCCTCGCTGCACGCACTGCACGAGCAGTCTTCTCATTAGTGGCTGCTTTTGACCTTGACACTTACCAGTATGATGCTGTCAATGCATTCCTTAATAGTTGGATTGATGAGGAGATCATCACTGAGATGCCAGAGGGTTTCAAGGAACAGAGGCAGTGCTGGAAACTCAAGCGAGCTCTCTATGGCTTACGAAAGTCTCCAAGGCTATGGCAACAAGAAGCTTCTAAGGTCCTGACTTCTTTTGGCTTACAAGTTGTACAGGAAGACCTCTGCCTCTTCTCCACAAACGGCATCATTGTTTTCTTCTATGTGGATGATATCATCATCGTCAACCATCCAGCCCAGCGCACACGCGCAACGGAACTGCGCCAGAAGCTTAATGAGCAGTGGGAACTACGTCACATGGGAGAAGCAGCGTGGTTTCTTGGAATCCGAGTTGTTCGAGATCGGCAGGAGAAAGCACTCTGGCTCTGTCAGGACTCTTATATCTCTTCTATGGCAAGCCGGTACCATCTCACAAATGGCCGCAAAGTTGACACCCCACTGCCCCCAGCACTGGCACTGAAGCCATATGAAGGAGAAGCAACTCGACAGCAGATCCATGAGTATCAGCAGAAAGTTGGATCAACGCAATATGCTACCACAATCACCAGACCAGATGCAGCAAAAGCAACCTCTGCGCTTGCACAATTCCTCACAAATCCAGGACCTGAGCACCTTGACGCCATCAACAGGGTCATTACCTATCTATATCACACGCGTTCTCTTGCTTTGACGTATCGCTCACGTCCACATGGAGATATTGAAGCAGTATCCTTCTTCAGCGATGCATCATTTGCGGATAACAGAGATAGGAAGAGCTCAGAAGGATATATCTGCAAGATGTTTGGTGGAGCAGTTGATTGGCGTGCCAGCAAGCAACGTACGGTTACCACTAGCACCACGGAAGCAGAGCTGCTAGCGATTTCGGAAGCCGCGAAGACCATGGAAATGTGGAAGCGCCTATTCTTATCCATCCGCTTTGATCCTGAACACCCTTTATCGATCAATTGCGATAACCAGCAAACGATTGGTATACTCACCAGGGAAATACCTCATTTACGTACGAAGCTTCGTCATGTCGACATACACCATCACTGGCTTCGACAGGAGGT